AGAAACCTTTAGGCTGAGATTGTATCCAGCCGCCTGGAAAATAGATTACATCCCACTTTTGATGACTGATTTACATTTCTGACAGTAAGCTGCTGCTTTAATCCGCAGCAACTTTATCCTGACAGGGAAATATGTGCCCAGCTTAGATCACTGCTGCAGTCTGCAGAAGAGTTGAAGAAAATAAGGTTGCATCTTCTGTATTATTAACAGAATCATGTAATATTAACCTTTCAATCCAGTAATGCATGTATAAATGACGCTGATGGCCAAGTTAAATAATGTATAAATAGAAGAAAGTCTGAGTTTTACCTGCTAAGTTGCAAACATAGTGAATTACACAGGTGTAATTATTCTGGTAAGTGGGGTATGACTAAGTGAAATGTGATAAAAGAGAAAAATGATGAGGAAGGTAGCCCCCCCCCAAAAAAATGTCAGAGTTCTATGTGAAAAAATTTCAGTGTATAATATGATTAAAAATGTCTTATTATAGTATGATAAAAATGTTGAAGTATAGTATGATAAAAATTTCAATTTTTTGTATGAAAATACTGTTATAGTGTAGTATGATAAAAATATCATAGTATAGAGTGATAAAAAATGTTACAGTATGGTATTAAAAAATATCACATTAGAGTATGAAAAAAATATCAAATGTCAGTATAAAAAATGAAAAAGAGGGTATGTTAAAAAATGTCATACTATTGTATGATAAAAACTTCATATTTGAAATGAAAAAAATGTCATAGTATAGTATGTCAAAAAGTCATGGTATAGTATGATAAAAATGTCATAATATAGTATGATAAAAATTTTAAATTTTAGCATGAGTAAAAAGTAATAGTTTAGTTTGTTAAAAAATGTTATAGTATAGTATGATAAATCTTTCAAATTTCTGTATGGAAATTGCTGTATGTTGGAATCACATAGTATAGTATAATAAAAATGTAAGTATTGTATATAGGAAAAAAATGTCACAGTTTAGTATGATAAAATGTCATAATAAGATGATAACAAGAGTGATAAAAAATGTTAGAATATAAAATTTCACAGTAGAGTATGAAAAACAAAGTTAATGTCAGTATAATAAAATGTGATAGAGTGTATGTTAAAAAAAGCCATAGTATAGTATGATAAAAATTTCGAATTTTGGCATTAAAAAGTCATAGTTTAGTTTGTGAAAAAAATGTCATAGTATAATATGATATAAATGTCATAGTATAGTATGATTAAAAAAATTTAAATTTCAGCATGAAAAAAAGTCATAGTTTAATTTGATAAAAAAATGTCATAGTATAGTATGATAAAAAAATTTTAAATCTTAGCTGAAAAAAAGTCATAGTTTAGTTTGTGAAAAAAATGTCATAATAGTTAATAACACTATAGTATGTCCAAAAACGTCATAGTATAGTATGTTTAAAAAAATGTCACAGTATAGTATGATAAGAATTTCAAATGTCAGTTTGAAAAAAATGTGATGGGGTATGGTAAAATATGTCACACTTTTGAATAATAAAAATTGTCATAGTTCAGTACGTCAAAAAGTCATAGTATGGTATGTCAAAAAGTGTCATAGTATAGTATGATAAAAATGTTATAGTATAGTATGATAAAAAATTTAAATTTTAGCATTAAAAAATTATAGTTTAGTTTGTTGAAAAAAGTCATTGCATAGTATGATAAAAAATTCAATCTTTTTGTGAAAAAAATGTCATAGTATAGTATAGTATGTCAAAAAGGTCATATTATAGTATATTAATAAATGTCATAGTATAGTATGTCAAAAAGGTCATTTTATAGTATATTAATAAATGTCATAGTATAGTATGTCAAAAATGCATGAAAAATGTCATAGTTTAGTTTGTTAAAAAATGTCATAGTATAGTATGATAAAAAATTAAATTCTAGCATGAAGAAAGTCATAGTTTAGTTTGTAAAAAAAAAGCCATAGTATAGTATGATAAAATTGTCTGCTATTGTAAGGATGCCTAGCCCAGATTTACACTGGAAAGAATTGAAGGTCCACACAAATTATTTTTGACAATCTTTACTGGTTGCAGATCTGGGTTACAGCTTCATCATTCCACAAGTGTTACAAAGACTAGTCTGATACTGTTCAGGTATATATAGCCATCCATGTTTCAAAACATTCTGTTTACATCTTGTTGACCTGAAGGAGAGTCCATGTAGGGTTATAACAAAGCACAAGCACAGATCAGCATGATTTCAGGGACTGTCCAGATCCAGTCCCTCATAAAACCAAATTAATATTTATTGTTCAAACTGGGAGAAGCGTTTCCTAAAAGAAGGTGCAGCTTTGCAGCGTCAGAGTTTGGTTTGTACTGATCCATTCTCCTTTTTCTCTGCGTGCAGGTGGAACAGTATGGAAACCTCATCTTTCACGGGCTTGAGGGCAGCTGTCAGGAGTACATCGCCAACCTTGTTGCTCACTGCATCAAGGTATGACCATCAGTTTACACTGTTGTTGGTGTTACTTGGAGCAAAAGAGGTTGACAGTCTCAGAACCTCTTTACAGCCTTTTAAAGGGATGACTGACTCTCCAGGGCTTCAGGTGAAGTCAGAGATTAGAGATGACAGATTGAGTTTCCTCTGCGTTGTCACTGTTTCCACACTGATGAACAACTTAAAGAGCAAGAACACCTCAGAGTAAATCGTACGCTGCTCCTACATGCCGATAACTGCTAATGGACAATAATTAAAGCTGAATCTTCTTTGGCTTACTGCTAATCTGTTACAAGACTGCATTACGGCTGATTGCATTCTGCATCTTAAGCTGTCCTCTCAGATCGCTGTCCTGCTGAAGATTACTGAAACATAAACTATCACATCTGTACTATAACATTAACTCTAACTTTGGATCCCCAAGAAGAGTTTATGTAGATGGAAACTCGATCATGATTACAGCTAATACTACTGTCGAACTGCAGGATATTGAGGACAAGGTTGGTTGGTTTTTACTGCAGCGCTCCTTGTTTAAATCTGACTTCAGGGGCCTCCATGTCAGAATTTCCAGCATCCTACTCTAACAGGAATGAAGCAGAAGGTTTGACATAAATATCTGAGTAGAGCAGAGAGCTGTCAATCATTTCTGCCTAGTACAACCCTCCACTTTTAAAGCAAATTCATTTATACACTTCATTTTAACACATACGGAAGGGCAAGCTGAGACCTTTTTCCATGTACGAGTTAAAATATTTCAGATACCTACACTGATTTTCCTGCTTTTTTTATAGTGGAGATCAATTCCACTCTGTTGCACACTCTGATGCAATGAGACAGAAACTGGCTGCAAACGGCAAACCACTACAGTACCTCACTATAGCATGATGAAACACTCAAGATACACACTGGACTCTGGTCAGTGCTGCTCCTCTACATCTGCAGATCAGCAATGACCCGTATGTAAGAGGTCACAGTATGTTAGCACTGTTGTTTTTATAATTATCATGTAGCCTGCACACATGTAATCAGAGCAGACTTGGTAACGTCCTCATGAAATCACCGCAGAGCTCAATCTGCTGTGTTACCATGGCAAAGGCACCGACTGGGGGCAAAGAAACCTGATATGAGCAGACAGAGAGATTGAGGACGTATGAAGAAATGACTGCTTCTCCAAATGTGTGCAGGTTTTTGCAGTAAATATCTCTAAATATAATGGTGACTTGTTTTATTTTTAATAAATCACAGTCTTATTACACTGGCCTATTAATCAAAACAGTCGATTGACCTTCCCTTCTATGTTAATGTGTTACAAAAGACTGTATTCCTTTATTCTGAATATCTCAGTAAGTCAGTCACTGTGTAGTTTTTATCTTGTCCTGATTTAAACCAGCTGGAAGTATCAATAGAATACAATAGATTTTGAGTAGAATAGAATAGAATGAAGTAGAATAAGAAATGACACTACAATACGATAGAAGATATTAGGATAAAATAGATTTTAAATAGAAAAGAATAAAATAGGATGAAATAGAATGACATAGATAACAAAAGAATAGAACAGATGAACTGGAAGTATCAGTAGAATAAAGTAGAATGGAAAAGATTCCAAAGAGAAAACAACAGAATAGAATAAAAAAGAATAGAAATGGAATAGAACAGAATGCAGTGAAAAACAAACTGAAGTAGAACTGAATACAGTAGAATAAGAAAAAATAGAAGAGAACGCAGTGGAATAGAATAGAATAGTGTAGGACAGAATCACATAGACTGAAATAGAAAGAATAGAGAAGAGCAACATAGATAACAATAGAATAGAAAAGATGGACTGAAAGTATGAGTAGAATACAATAGAATCCAAATAAAAAAAACAATAGAATAGAATAACAGATGACAATAAATTAGAATTCAGTAGAAAGACAAACTGACAGAACAGAATACAGTAGAATTACCAAAATAGAAGATTATACAGTAGAATAGAATATATTACAGTAGAACAGAATAACATAGACAGAATTAGAAAGAATAGAGTAGATTAACATAGACTATAATACAATACACTGACACACACAGATTAAAATGAAATGAAATATGGTAGATTATTAAAGGTGGAAGAATATTGCGATACAGAAAAGAATAGAATAGAATCATATAAATTTGACAGAAGAGTAGAATGGGGTGCATCTAGAATAGAATATATAGATGCCCTGTACTTATATTCTTAATTTCTAAAGCATATTTACCTGTCAGTTAGATTCACTCAATTGTTTAAATTAGAGATTACATCTTAGCTGATTTTTTTTTCATTCTAGACTCAATAGAACTATTCCTGTTTTTTTCATTGTCATTCAAAACTTTTCTGCGTTTAGATCCAGTTTGTTTCCTCCATGTTGTCTTTTTTTTTTCATTTCTCCTGTGACCTCCTGGCGTTAGCTCTGATCTTATAAACATATTTCCGTGTATTTGTTTCTGCAGACTCCTCTTGATCGACTCGTTTTGATGATATTTTAAAACCGCACACGTTTTAAAAAGGTCAGGAGAAACGTCTCCATCCACTGCAGCCTCTCTGTATTCTCGGTGGCAGCGACGCGCCTGGAAAAGCCCTTTCTGCTCATTCAAATTCTGCTCTTGCTCCATTTCTCTCGGCGCATAGTAGTAGTAGATTTCTTTTTGTTTCCATGACGACGTGCTCCCGTCTTGCCTCTCTCTTTGCTCATCATCTCCCTCCTCTCTCTCTCTCCTCCCTTTTCTCCAGTCAAAGCAGGAGGCTGCAGGGCTCGGTTGTGACGTGGTGCGGGTGGAGGTGGAGGAGAGCCTGTGTAAAGAGCAGCTGCTGGACACCTTCATCACCTGTGGTAGGGACACACACACACACACACTAACACATGTACCCAGGATCCAAACACACACTGACAGAGACAACCATACAGCCAACTGAACATACTGCAGGCTTACACAGCAGCTGCTCTGGGATTTTTTTTAGTAGTATTCATTCACACATTTTGAGCTGAAACCAACCCGAACCTGGTCAATCCAAAGCCCCCCCTCCTAGTCACGGTTGCCAGGTAACACAAGTTAAAGAAACACAGTCTTATTGGGTTTTTTAAGAGAAGAGTGGAAGCATGTATTGGATTCAGGGACAATAAAACATCCATAATAAATACAATACATCCATATATAGGTGTTGACACTCTTATAAGTTTTCATTTTGATGTAATTCCAGGTTTTCTGGTGCCAGCAGTGGGGTCGGGGGTGGATGTGCGAGGCTCTCACTGTGTGGTTGTGCTGCTAGAGGGACTGGAGAAAGCTGCGTCTCTAACAGGTCTACTGGGAGACCTCTGCCACAGTCTAGACAACCGAAGCTCTGCGTCACCGCTGCTTCTCAACACGGGTGAGAGTCGCTGCAGCCAGACTTGGACCTGTAATCTTATTTAAATTCACACTTTAAAGTCTGTTTGTTTAAAAAAAAACTTGACATGTACAGTAGAACTTTTTTTATTCATGTTGTCAGCTGTTAATAAATCACAATCCTTTAAATAAACCAGAAAATCTCCTCTCTTAACTGAAACATCATTTGTATGCACTTTAAGATCAGCTTGTCATGTTAAATCAATCAATCAATCAAACTTTATTTTTAAAGCACTTTTCATACATATAATGTAGCACAAAGTTCTGTCCATTCAAGCAGGATATTAAAAACAATAAAATGAATAAATAAAAATACAAATACTAAACCCCACCCACCCTCCCAGCCCTCATTCAACACATACAGCACTCACACACACAGATACGTACGCAAAAGACCAGGTGAGGACTCTTCAACTCACCACAGATGTCTGAGGAAACGCTGGATCAAGGACTAAAACGATTAAACCATGATAAAATATAATAAAGGTGATAAAGCGTTAAAAGTTAAATAAATAAAACAGTCTACAAATCAAACAATAAAAGAAAGTAAATCAAAAAAGAGGTGATTAAACATAGAATTGGGTAAAAAGTACAATCACGTAATGCAGATTAAGAGATTTAAACAAAATTTAACTAAAAGCCAGACTAAAAAGGTCGGTGTTTAGTTGACTTTTAAAAATATGAACAGTAGGTGTCGCTCTCAGGTCTGCAGGTAGGCTGTTCCACAGATGGGGACCGTAATGTTGGAACGATGATTCCCCGTATGTTTTAGTTTTTACTTTGGGAACAATTAAAAGACCTGAAGACCTGAGGGCTCTAATCTGCAAATAAGAAGGACCAAGACCATGAAGAGCTTTACAAACTAATAAAAGAACCTTAAATCTACTCTAAAAGACACAGGTAACCAACGCAGAGATTTTAAGATTGGAGTGATGTGATCTCTCTTCCTGGTCTTCGTCAGCATGCGTGAAGATGTGAAATGTTCTTTTTAGGAAGTCCAGGGAGGAGAGCGTTGCAATAGTCAATTCTACAGGTGATAACAGCATGAAGAAGAGTCTCTGCATTGGCTTGAGAGACAAACTGGCGCACTCTGGAGATGTTCTTCAAATGATAAAATGCCTTTTTGGTAACATCTCGTATGTGTGTACTGGACTTTGGAGAACCGTCTCTATATGATGAAACTTTTGACATCCTGAGTCATCTCATTCTCGACTCTCCTTCACTCGGTCCTCTCTCCCTGCCCTTGTTCCTCCCTCAGGTCCCCACCATTTCTGTGACAGCAGCTTCCTGATTGCCACGCTGTCGAAGCCCCGCCTGCAGGGGTCAGAGCTCCGCCTCCAGCAGCATTTCCGCTGGGTGACGCTCCGCTGGGACCAGGAGCCGCTGCATGGCATGCTGGGACGGCACCTCCGCCGGAAGCTGCTTCATAAGGTCAGAGAGAGGTGTAGTACTGTTGAATAAGAATCTGAAGAGGATGTAGTTTTTTTATACCTTAGCGTCTACCTCTCCCACAGACGGGGATGGAAGTCTGGTCACCTGAAAGCGTCACGGAGCAGTCGGTGTTGTGGGTGACCCAGGTTTGGCAGCAGCTTAACGCCTGTTTGTCCCGCCTCGGTACCCATGAGGCTTTGCTGGGCCCGCAGCTCTTCCTGTCCTGTCCTGTAGTCCAAAACAACACCGTGGCAGTTGTCAGGTGTGAATCATGATGTTAAAAAGATGATTTCTGATTGGCTGATGATGTTGTCATAGCAGCAGGAAAAGCAGCAAATGCCATGACTTAAATCCGTGTGTGTTTGTTTAGGTGGCTGTCTCGGCTCTGGAACGCCGTGGTCGTCCCTCGTGTGGAAGAAGCCATCATCTCCCGGGTAACAGCCAAGCGTTCCTCTTCCTCCTCCTCTCCTTCGTCACCGTCCTCACAGAGACCGTCTCCTAGCAACTGTGGGCTGAGTGCCGGGCAGCAGGCTGTAGTGAAGGCCGCCCTCAGCATCCTGGTCAACAAGGCTGTACTCCCAGGATGCCCTCTGCCTCGACACGGTGTGTGTTGGTGTGCTTCATTAACTGATGTGACATTAGGCTGTAAAACTTAGAATAAATCTCCTGATTAAATGTTGATTTTTCTCTCGTTTCCCGCAGAGATTGACAGGTACCTGCTGGAGTTTAGGGGCGGGGCCTTCCCTCTGTCAGCCATCAGCTCCTACAGAGGAAACGGTGGAGGCGGAGGTGGAGGAGGGAGGAGAGGACGGGACGGTGGGAAGCTGAGACGATCCAATACCAGCCCTCGGAAGAAAGGAAGCCCCGCCTTAAATTGGAGCAGCGGCGGCTCCTTCAGAGAGGGTGAGAAAACAGAGGGTGGAGCAGAGATTTGATTTGATCAGCCACACGAAAACATTTTCTTTGATTCAGGTTCAATTTTACTCTTTAGCCTCAAGTATGGAGCGAACAGAATGAGGGCATCCTCTGTCCACAAGGGGGCGTTGTTTAACAGGCTAACACACACTCTTATTGAAAAGCAGTCTTCTTTTGACTTAAATTAAGAATAAGGATCCTCATGGTTTACCTTTGTAGTTTGTATTCTATTTTATTTCTCCATTATTTATCTTTTAAAGTGTTTTTATGTGGTTTTATTATGATTTCTTTTTTTAAATTCTTTTTTATTCTCAGATGACCATCTATGTTCCGTGTGTTTTAACTTATTCTACTGCACTGTGAAGCACTTTGCTAAACTTGATTGATTTTTTTAAATGTGTAAGATAAATAAAGTGGATTAGATCGGATTTAGACAACTCTAGTTCATCAAACTTTTCTGTTGCAGGTTCTCTGTCCAGCACTGATGTCAGTTTCATCCCCAACGGCAAAGTCCAAAGGTTGGTGATAGTTTCACCTGTAGGAGGTAGAAGTGTTTGTTCAGTGTGGACCCTTCTTAAATATAAACTAGGGTATATGGATAAAAAAACAAAAAACACTTCATAATTCAACATTTTCATCAATCAAACTTTTTTAAAAATACATGAAAGCTGGTTTTACTTTTATCATTGCGATTGTTTTGGAGAAAGGACATGGAAACTTTCTAAGTAAATTAAAGAAGAAGAATTTTAAGCAATAAAAAAAAGTTTACTGATTCAATTTTTTTTCTCATAGTAACTAAAAATCAAAGATCAATGATTTGTCTCAGTTCTATTGCTTAGATACAGATTCTGCAAACAGTCAAGGAAGTAGAACTCTGTATTAAAAGCTCAATCTGGACTCTAACTGTGTCGTATTTGTGTCTGCAGGGAGCCTGTTGGTATGAGCGTGTTCTCTGACGACGAGACCGATCTGATCAGAGAGCTGCAGACCATGTGCTCCAGCAAGTCTGAGCCCGACATCAGCAAGGTACAGCGAGTCCGTTTACTCAGTACGAGACAGGAACAACTAAAGGGGGTCTTTATAGATCCCATTTTATTGTAAATGTACTATATCCAGTTCCCCTTCATTCTTATATCAATAAAAAAGACAGGTCTCTGACTTCCAGCGTGTTCCTCTGTCTCCAGAGTTTAAGATAAACCTTCTCAGAAAACAATGATGTGATCAGATGCCTCTCTCTGACGTTCTGCTTTGACCTCACTGTTTTGACTCATGCTCAACTCTAATTCATCGCAGTCATTCCTCTAAATTTAGACTGTCTTGTTCTTGTATGTGAGTCACTGCGCAGTCATAATCATAATGATTCCGACCTTCAAGTACCTCCTGAGCTGTTGAAACTTATTCCTGAAGTTTGTTTCCACCTTACTAAAGATGTAAAGTCAGTTTAAAGATGAAGCGTTAGTGTTGTTATAAATTTAACTCAGACTAAAGTATTAGTTTGGCATTCAAAGGAGGGTTCACTATGATGTGTCTCCCACCTCTCATATGCGAACAGATTCTCCACAGGCTCCGCCATCACTCACGTTTGCGCTTTCTGTAGATCTCTCGAGCCAAAGACGACCTGATCCTGTTCTCCAGCTCTCCCAGTGAAGCCACGCCCCCCTGCCAGGCCAAGCAGGAAACCGCCATCCAGCAGCAACCACAGACGGTAAGATGAGGAAATATTCCAGTATCAAATGAACAACTGGTCGCTCAGCGTATAAGTGAATAATAATTCTATGTACCTAAATAAGTGTGGTCTGACATAAAGACTGCATAAATCATTTCTCCTGCTGAACTTGTTTTTTTGTTTTCAGCAGCTATTTTTCATGATTTCTTTTGTGCTCTGAAAAAAAAAAAACACTCTCCTCTAATCTACTGTCATTATCGCTCCATTAGGAACCACAAAGTGGTGACTCAGATTTGAAATGAATGTTTGTGTTTGTTTTGGAAACTCCTAATAATGTGTCTGTGGTTCAGGTCGTGTTACCTCACATATAAATAACCCGTGCGTGTTTGTAGTGTCAGGACTGCGCAGGTTTGATTGTAGTCAGGGTTTAGCTTATCAACTCTGTGAGCTAGCCGGACAGCCTTTTAAACTTTGTTGTTACCTTGCTACAGTAAATTATGGAGCTTCAGGAAAATGGTGAAGTTGATTTATAATAGAAATGATCATTTGAATTTTATTTTTTTATTTTTATTTTATTTTATTTTTATATTGCATTTTTTTATAATTATTTTTAATTTAACTTTTATAATTAATTATTTATTTTATTTTTTAATTTTTTTTAAATTTTATTTATTTAAATTTCCCTCCCGCGATCAATTAAGTTCTTCTTATTCATGTTCTTATTATTCTTATCTGCGTACATGAAAAGCCAAGGCAGGGAGAGCAGCAGCAAAGACATGCAGCACAGAGTAGCGCAGGCATCAGTGACAACATACCGTATTTTTCGCACCATAAGGCGCACCTGATTACAAGTCGCACCATTAATGAACACGTCTCTTTTTATACATAAGGCGCACCAGATTATAAAGCGCATTAAGCCAAACAAAACAGTCAGATAAGTCAAACTTTATTGAACTCATTCAATAACTCCGCGAAGCTAGAGTAGCTGCAGTGCTCCGACAAGCCAAAAGGATGTTAAGTGCGAAAAATACAGTATATATGGGAAGTGTGTATGGTAGTGATCAAATTGACTTTCGCTCACCTATGTCTCATTTCTTTCCACAGACCAATCAGTCCGTCCGCAGCTCCAGCCAAGCAGCCGTCCAAAGCAGCGATCGACGTCCCAGCTCCCGCGCCAAATCGCAGCTCCCTGTCCCGAGCAGCAGGGGGCAGCAGACACGAGCTTCTCCTGCTGCCACCAGCAGCAACAACAACAGCAGCAGCAGCAGCAGAAGCCCCTGCCGAACCCAGACGCCCCCGAGCCGCGGCAGATCCTCAACCAACAACAGCAGCAGCAGCAGCAGAACAAAGCAGGCCCCCCCATCCGGCAGCAGCAACAACAACTACTACCGCAACAGCATCAATGACAACAACCAATCACACGAGGACATCTGGATCCTCCACAGAGATCTGCATGAAAACAACAACAACAAATAATAATCTCCTCCCTCAGCCCCCTCCCCTTTCTTTCCCATAATTCCGCTGTGAAACCTCCCTCCATGATGTAAAGACTAGGTACCTGACGACCTTTGACTCTTAGTATTTGTACTTGTTATCTGTACTTGTTACACTGTACTGCAGTTGTGTACTTGGGGACCATAGTTTTATTCTATTACAGTATTTGAAGTATTTGATTGTTTGGTTTTGGTGAGAATTAACGTGGGGAAAAAAAGACAGAAGGTAATGCAGCAGGTTACTTTCCTGTCGCCTTATTCCAGCGTTTTAACCCGACAGTGTTCAAACATAGACTGTGTATAGAACGGACGTCGTGAAGCCTCCGCGAGAACAGCACCCACTGGTGACGGGCTGCAGTATAGGTCAAAAATCGAGCAAACTTAAAAGGAGCTGTGGACAAACTTTGGAAATTAATTACACAGAAAATAAATTGTTCTCCCCCTGGTTAGGGCTGGGTGATAAACCGAAAATTTACCGATATCAAAATTTACAACAATAACCAATGTTGTTTGCCCAAGTCAATATATTATATAATATATTTGGTGTTAAAAAGATAAATGAAAGTTGGTTTTGGATGTGTGTAGGTTGGAGATGCTACTCCACCTCATCCAGTTCGTAACAAAGAGCGAAAGACGAGTGAGGAGTTGTAGCGGCTGAAGTAGACGAAGTTGATGTGGGAGGGGGTGAGCAGCTTGTGGAGTAGTTATCGTCCATTTATCGTTATTGAGGTGAACTGATCAATATATCGTGATATTGATTTGAGGCCATATCGCCCAGCCCTACCCCTGGTTGCGATGTTGATGTGTAGTCCCCTTTTTCTGTGCAGCTCCATTTTTAAGTTATTAGGGGTTCATGTTTTCTCTGATTGACAGTTGATACAGCCTATAGCTGTACAAAGATTGGGTAGATCATCCGAGGGCTCGTCTGTGACTCTCCCGCCGAATGCGTACAACACTAATTCGCAAGTGGTGGTTCCAGGAAGTGGAGGAAATCCTGGAAATACGGAGAGCAGTTTGGCTTTAGATTTGTGTAATGATGGAAGGCGGGGCCAAGTCGTCCAGAGTATATACAGTCTATGTGTTCAGTGGACAAGAAAGCGTGTCAGAGTTGATGAAAAAAACAGTATAAAGTGGTTGAAACTGCCTCAGAGTCAGCACTGGCACAGTGTTTGCATTAACTTAAAGTGAAATACTGTCCTCATCCTTCTGGTATAAGGCCATTGAAGAGTAACTGAAGGTACTTACAGGTGTTACCTTCCAGTGAAAAGTGTTTCTGGATCAAAGAAAGAGACGAGCAGGTTTTATTTTCTGTTTTTTTTTTTCTTTTTGTTGTTTTTGCTATTAAGTATTTTGAGATATTCAAGTGTTTAATCTTTAAATAGTTGCAAGGTTGGTTTAAATACTGTTGAAATTAATCAGGGTTTTACCAAATATATTTGTAAATAAGAATTAGTAAGTTTAAATGCTCTATAGATTGGTGTACGTGGTTATGACGCTTGTACAGTGATGAAACCTTAACCAGAAACTGCTGAAAAAAAAAGAGAACTTGTACATAGTGTTTGTAAAACTAGTTTGGTTCTGAACCCGTCACTTGTTTCAAAGTGAAGGCGCTGTGGCAATAAGTAATAGAACTGTATAAACACAGGATGTCCTCAATCAACTGTAAGCCATAATAAATACTTTAGAGCCCACCTTTGACCCACCTGAGTCATGTTCAATTCAACCCCAGCTGAGCCTGAAGGAGTCACTCATCCTCTCTCTCTCTCTCTATTTTGCTTTCCATTATCACTGTGTTTCTTCTATGTCTTTACTTTGAAAGGACAAGTGTTGTTACAAGCGGACATTGTTTATATATAAATATAAATATATCTATACATATGTACAGGAGAGATTTTAGTCAACCTATGATTTTGATCTGTACGATAGCTGTTTGAAGTTTAAAGAATTGTCTTTCAAGCACAAACATTAAAAATGACACTGATAAAAATCCCATTCTGACTCTTTCTGTTTCTTTTCTTCTGGATTTGTTGATTTTTGATGAACCACAGGACTTCAACAAGTCCCAAAAGACGATCGAAGACAGGACTACTTTAGTCAGCATGAACTATTTTCATGCACCTCTGTTCGGAGAGCTCCCTGTCCCTCCATGTGCTTACATGGAATACTAAGGAGCTTGACCATGTGACCTGCCTGGACTAACTATAGGGCTGGACGATACACCGAAAATTTACTGATACCAAAATTTAGGACAATAACCAACTTCATTTTGCCCATGTCAATATATTTGGTGTCAAAAATGTATATAAATAAAAGTTGATTTTGGATGTGTGTAGGTAGGCTCATTAGAATAAAAATAACTTTATTCATCCCTGAAGGGAAATTTCAATATTTAATTTTTTTAAAATATTTTTGATATTTTTATTTTTCAATATTATTTTTTTAATATTATATTTATTTTATTTAAATACGTTTGAAATTCATGTCCCTTTAAGACGCTGTCCTATGTCAGAGATGTGACTCCACCCCATCAAGACAGGTGAGGAGATGGAGGACGGTTCAAAAGTTGTAGCAGCTGAAGTAGACAAAGTTAATGTGGGAGGGGGTGAGCGGCTTGTGGAGAAGTTCTCGTCCATTTATTGTTATCAACGTAAATATATTGTGATATTGAATTGAGGCCATATCGCCCAGCCCTAACTGATTGGTATTTGTATTGTATTTGTTTATTTAGCACAGATTAAAAACCCAATTATTTAGTAACAAATGACACAAGCACGCTGAAATTCTCAAAATCTTTAGTTTTACTGGAAATATAGATGATTGAACAAATACATTTATACATTTTTTGGACATCTGCGTCCCTTTCCTATGAGTAAGAAACAGCTTTCTTCTTAATTTACTTTGTAAAAAAAATTCATCACAGTTAAGATATCGAGGCATTTCTCCACAGTACCTTAAATTTCTGCATCACTGCTTTACAAAACTATTGTTCAGTATGAAAGAAGCAACACACGTTTCCCTCACCCAAAGAAAATAAAGTGAATTAGAGAGAGAGAGTTAAAATGGTTTCCAGTTTCTGAGGGAAGTAAAGATACAACATGGAAAACTGTTAAAAAAAAAGAACATGTTTAGTATTCGCACTACTCCGGAAAATCCTGTTTTTGATGAATTACTGGCTTTTTTAAAAATTCATCAAGAAACAGAGACAGAACATTTAAGGTAAAAAAGATTATTTGTTATGACTCTACTGAACCTATACTTGATTTTATGGAGAAATTAAAAAGAAAAAAGAAAAAAAACACCTGTACAGCATTCAATCATTTGACTTTTCCTCGCTTTGCAAGCTGATGAGTACCTCAGGCTGTTTCTAAAGTGCATTCAGATAGAAAAATTAGAGTTTTTTGAGTCAGATCTGGTTAAATGTGCCAGCCAACAGCTCCACTGTCCCTTTAAATGTGTGTGGTTGTTTGTGTGTGTGTCCTGTAAGGCTTACAGACTTTAACATTTCTTTCAGTTTGACATTTAAAATCTATGTTTATGCTTTCTAGGATGTGCTAATACCGATATTTGCACCAGAATTTGTCATTATTTATTTTATTAAGGAGGCTTTTGTATGGAAGAGGATTAGGGCCACTATCAAAAAGTGTGTGTGTATATTTTTTTTTCTCAGGATATTGACATTTTTCCCAGAATTCTGAAAATAGAAATGTTTTAAGTATTGAGAATTCTGAGATATAAAGACAGAATTCTTTTTTTCTTTGGGGATAAAAACAGAATTCTTTTCTTCTTTTCTCCTGCAGCTCATGAACGTCATATGCTTTAAAATTTAACTTATCTAAGGTTTAACCACTGGGTCTGTCAACATGCAAACAATTAAAAACATGACTTTTTAATGAAAGTGTGCTAAGCATCCTTCACTAACTGTAAATTTCTGGTAATAAATGTCATGAGTAGCAGCAAATGTGCGTTTTTTGAATCGTGTCAGCTCTTTGTGTCATCCCCCTGCTCGTGTCTTTAAAGGTAATTTACTTCAGTTTGATTGGCCGTGTCTGTATGAGGGTTGCTTTGACATCTTGGCCAAGGTTTTTAGTGAATTGTAAAGATAATTATGGTTGAAGGTGGCTCCGTTTTTGAAAGTTTTTGAAGCGTTAAAACATAGAAGTGAATGCTGTTCTTGTCTGTGTTTGTTACATGTTAGTGTGTGTCTGGCCGGTTAGAGGCGAGTGTCCTGGACTTCGTCCTCGGCTTCCTCCGGCAGGGATGTGATCTTGGCGGCCTGCTGCGGCGCTCTCTTGCTGGAGTTCAGGCGGTGAAGGTTGGGGAAGAGGCGGAGCCGGTCAGCAGGGCTCATGGCCTGTTTCAGGTGACTCGTCTCATTCAGAAGCTTCTGGATGGAGTCGTAGCTCTTCATGGAGCTGCCCTCGATCATCTGCAGGAAGGAGAGGGTGGAGAAGTTTGTGAGATGAGTTCAGATTTTGTGTTTTCTTGAATTTATGGTGTTTTTCAGATTAAAGTAAAGCAGCAAAAACTTATCAAGAGGAAGATAAATAATCATGGGGGGGATTGCACAGATCAAAGTGAACCTTCCTCAGTGCTGAGCAACATTAGGTCCACTTTACAACCACAGCCCACCAACGAACAACGTGTGTGTGTGTGTGTGCGTGTGTGTGTGTGTGTGTGTGTGTGTGGTACAGACTGCATCGTTGTGTTATCAGTAATATGAAACTGCAGAAATCTTATATAAGAGGACAATTTCAGAGGAAACAGAGATGTGACGGCAGGTTAAGTTTCGGTCTGTTGGAACCATATTTAAACTGTATTAAATCGTCTCTTAATATGTGTTTAAGTTTGTTAGAAGTTTTGAAAACATGTGGGTTGAGGTCCCTTCACCAGAGCGGAGTTTGCTTGCTGTGGTGCTTGGTCTGAAATAGATTTCAAAAAAGCAAAAATCTCCAAACCGAGCTGACTAATCTCCAGGTTAGTTAGTTGAATGATGTTCATTCTGTCTTCAGTTTCTTAGAAATAGTTTTCTTTTTCTCCTTTATCATCCATAACAACAGCTGATATCCCAACCATAGTACTAGCCATCAAACATCTTTTTATCTTTGCCTGTTTTCTTTAGCAAAGAGACTAAACACAACTCACCCACTCTCCTCCAGCAGCTGCTTGTTTGTGGAGGGAGCCCTGACGAGTCAATCACAGAGTGCAACGGAGTTTCGCAGCTCAAGGAAGAACATTTCCGATTATTACTTTCATGAAAATGCAATCAGAGTTCTTGTGTATCTTGTATGTGCACTGCAGACGCAGTAGTTCTGCCTTAGCTTCTTGGTCTAATTGCTTTTCCGTTAAGTAATAATCAGAAATTTTTCGCTGCACTCTGCCAGGCGAAGCTAAAAAGATGTTTGATGGCTAGTACTATGGCTGGGACCCTATATGTCCTGTTGATGAAGTTAGGTGCTGTTCTGAGCATTATTTGTGGCTATAGAGTGTCTTTTGGGTTGAGGTTTGCATGTGGAGACATAGAGCGTTGTGTATTGCTATTGTGCGGTCTTTACAAACGTTGGTATAACTAGAGGAGCAAGCGGTCGGCAACATTTATCTTACAAAGGGGGGTGTCTTACTTGGTGTTATGGTGCGTTTGACCATTACTTAAATTTATGCCAGAATATCCCTTTAAATAAACTGCATTTTTTCTTTCCTGTAGACTAATCGGTTAGTCAGCTTTGATATAAATTATTAACGTCAGAGAAGTGCTGGGAGGACTCCAAACTACTGATTCACAGTGCCCTCTGCTGGACAAATAAGATAACACCATTTCTACATCACCCACAGCTGTTTTCTGCAGGATTTACTCCACAAAAAACTCTTATATCTTCATATACCAGACATATAAATACGCAGGTTTGTCCTCGTCCTGGTTAAAGTATCGTTGAGGTCACTTCCCCTATGCTGCTGTCACGCTCGCTGCTTGTCCCAACACAAACCCTCATGGCTCAAACAATCCAACACACAGACGCAGACCCACACTGAAACATCACCACCGCCAACAAAAGTTCCAGCACCCATATTCTGTCTGAATCATCCCGGAGAGCACAGGTATAATCCAAAATATAATCCGTAACTCACCAGGAATGATTGACACTCCAGCAGGGGCTCCACTCTGTGTTCAGACAGGATGACGGTGCAGCCAGAGAAGGCGTGCTTCAGCGTCTTCCTCAGGACCTGTAACGTTCTGCTCGCACATGTAAACACACACAAACACACGTAATCCTCATCATCATTAACATCATCATCATCATCATCATCATCATCATCAAAGCTCGTCTCTCTCTGCTGCTGTTACATTAGCTGAGCGATCCGCTCCTGCTGAAGTAAACATAAAAGAGCAGGCAGCATTAAACTAGATTGGTCATTATAGGCTTCATTTACAATCAAGGAACTCCCCCTCAACACACACACACACACACACACACACACACACACACACACACACAGTCACATTTACTATAAGTACCCTAGATTGTCCCCATATGCAGTGACAGGAGCGGCACACATGCTGCCTCAGCTGCACCGGGATCTCAGGGTGCCACAAACACAGAGAAAGTACAAACAAAAACTTTGATCACTTTCAAGCTTCAGCTGTGTTTGTGGGTGCAGCAAGGACCGTGATAGAGTTCCCTGTTAACCCTCAAAAAGGTGCAATCTGAGAGAGCAGGGTTACTTCATGCACTTAAAAAATAACTAAGAGTAGACATGGAGGCAGAGTCCACCAATGTAAAGCTCCTCTCCTGAGGGAGCAACTTCAAGTTAGGATCTGGGGGACTGTACTTTTAAGAAAGGGCTTAAATGAAGAGTAAGTAAGGTCCTGTTATTTCTGACAGACCTTCAGAGACAGTGTGTTCAACCCAGTGCAGGAGGCCGACACTTTAAGAAAATAGTTATTTATATGATCAGAGTAATGAAAGAAACCTGACACCAAACAGTGATGATCCAGAATCTGAGGAGCCTTGGTCACATCTAAATCGCAGCAGATCATATGTTCAACTTTTGTGACCACTTCTTTTAGGCTAATGGTGAGCCTTAAGTTACACACACACATATAGGGCTGGGCGATATGGCATCAAATCAATATCACGATATATTGATCAGTTCACCTCGATAATGATAAATGGACGATAACTACTCCACAAGCTGCTCACCCCCTCCCACATTAACTTTGTCTACTTCAGCTGCTACAACTTTTGAACCGTCCTCCATCTCCTCACCTGTCTTTTCCTCTTTGTGACAGACTAGATGAGGTGGAGTCACGTCTTGACATACAACAGCGTCTTAAAGGGACATGAGACCATAGTCTACCTAAACACATCCAAAACCAACTTTGATTTATTTTTTGACACTGAATAAATTGACGTGGGCAAAATGACGTGGGTTATTGTCATAAATTTTGGTATCTGTAAATTTTCGTTTTATCGCCCAGCCCTACACACACATATAAACAAACACGCAGATGTGAGTGTTTGGGGTTTAATACTGACATGGGGTCCAGGTAAGCGGAGGGTTCGTCCAGCAGGAGGATGCGAGCCTTGCTGAGGATTGAGCGGGCGAGACAAAGCAGCTGTTTGTGTCCGTTGCTCAACACGTTGCCTCCGTCCTCGAGCTGGAAGTCCAGCTTGTCTGGAAACTGCTCGATAACCGACTTCAGGCCCACCTGTGGAAAATTTGAAGAATCAAAACTGCTCCTACAACATTTTATCTCAGTGAGTGTTTAAATCAAAACTGATGCATGTGACCTCTCAGTGCAATTACCTGTGATTTACCAAAGCATGCTATACCTCCTGTCTCCAGAGCAAAACAGAGAAAAAAAAAAACAAATTAAAGGGACAATTTAAGACGGCGCCTCACCTCCTCTGCTACCCTCCAAAGCTCCTCATCACTGTAACGTCCATGAGGGTCCAGATTCATGCGGAACGTCCCCGTCAGGATGAAGACTTTCTGTTCAAAATAGACAAAATCCCCCTCACCATCTCATTGCCCTTCAACAGATATTACATTTATCATAAATGTACTTTGATTATTTTGAGTCTGTCAGGCGTACCTGCGGCACCACTCCAAACGCCTTCCTCCACGTGTGCAGGGAGACGGAGCTCCAGGAGACGCCGTCAATCAAGATTTCTCCGTCAGTGGAGGCGAGACGCAGCAGAGCAGAGAGCAGGGTGCTCTTCCCTGAACCTGTCCGACCCAGCAGACCTATCTACACACACACACAGACACACACAGACACAAGCAGAACTGTAGTTTGTATGATTTATACATATGATGCACGCAGACACAATGTGCTGCATCTGTTCTACTGCGATTAACTTTTAAGGCTCTCTATCCAAATCTCTATCCTGGTTGATTAGCCTGTTTATGGAGAGGCCATAGAGAAGCTGATGGGATGAGGCTGAAGTGCAGACACTTATTGAGCTCTGCTGTCTTCCAGAATTCATTAGGAGGAGAAACTACTGACTCTCTCCACAGGCAGCAGCAGAAAAAGATTTACTCCAAACTCAAATCCAGACTGAAACTGTTTTAGCCACAGCTGCCAGAGCTCCTCAGTCCTCCTCAGGAGACATTTATGTAAATCCAGGTGTGTATGTTGCAGGTAAAGGTGATTCTATGAGTTTGAGGAAACGAAAATCAATGTAAGGAACTTAAAGGAGAAGAGACTTACACTCTGTCCTCCGTCCACAGAGAAGGAGATGTCACTGAGGACAGCCCGTCCAGCCTCGGTGTATTTGACAGTCAGACCCTGAACGTCCATCTGGCCGCGGTTGGGCCAGCAGTCGTGGGCGTGTGGGTTGTTGATGACGAGGTCGGGGCCTCCTTTCCCACCGGATTTCCCCGGCAGCGGCTCCTCTGTCGGCAGGTCGATGAACTTAAACACCCGATCAACTGAACGCATCTGAGAGAAGTAGGAGACAACTGGGCTTGGACTTTTTCTTGTCTAGAAATTATTTAATCACAGAGTTAAACTCTGTTTAACCAAGATTAAAGGGATATTCTGGCATAAAATTAAGTTGAATGTTGCCGACTGCTTGCTTCTCTAGTTATACCAACTCAAGTAACGACCAAACGATAGCAATACAGAGAGGTCTACGTCTCTACACACAAACCTAAACAAAAACGCCACTCTGTAGCGTCAAATAATGCTCAGAACAACATCAACAGGACATATAGGGTCCTAGCCTTAGTACTAGACACCAAACATCTTTTTATCTTTGCCTGGTTTCTTTAGCAAAGAGACTAAACACAACTCACCCAACTCTCCTCCAGCAGTGGCTTGTTTTGTACAGAGTGCAGCGGATAATTTCCATGAAGTAATAATCATAAATGTTCTTCCTTGAGCTGCGAAACTCCACTGCACTCGGTGATATCGTGTGGTCATTGCCAAAGTTGGTATAACTGGAGAAGCAAGCAGCTGGCAACATTCATCTCTTGAATGGGTGTCTAACTCGAAGTTGCGGTGCGTTTGACCATAACTTAAATTTACATCTGAATATCCCTTTAACTGCTTATGCACAGAACGAGAACAAGACCCTCAGTACCACTGCCGTTTGTAGTTTCAGGCCGGTTCCAAAAAATGAAATGCCGAGAACATTTTGCCTTCATAACCTTTTTGCAGCTGCAATTATATTTAATCACTAAATTAAATAGACACTTTTCTTTTTTCCCAAAACAAACTAACTTTAGTCCAAAACACCCAACCTCGCACCGTCGTCATAATGTGCTGAAAAACAAGAGAAAAACTGATGTTCATGAGCATCTGATTCTGAGCCAGCTGAGTTTAGGTTTTTATACATGAAGTTAGAAGGACATCAAATAAAAACCTCCTCAACTTTGATCTGACGGAGTCGTAGTGGGTCGCTGGTTTATCAAAAGCCTTAATATGATGGAAACATTTACAGATTTTGGTCGTGGATGACCTACCAGTCCGTCTACGGTGATGCTGGTGATGACCGCCCATTGGAAAGTCCCCAGGATGAGCATAGCCAGAGCCACGATGATGCCGACCTCCCCTGGTTTGTCCTCTGCAAGTGCACACACACAAACACACACACACACACATATACACACATACATCAGTACCGTCCAATCACAGCTGCTCTCTCTGATGTCAGAAAAACACTCAGGTATTTCAGCTCTCTTACTGGCTCTATTGGAAACTAATGAGCTGTGAAATGACCCTTTAATCTGCTCTCGGCATAAACACAGACTCTGACGCAGCAACACATGTTTGAATGTCTGCGTGTGTGTGTGTGTGTACTTGTGTGTTTCCCATTTATTTAATCAAACACACGCATGCTTCCCTCTGTACATGACACTTCATCCGCTGGTATTCCGGCAGGTTTTGATCCGTTCTCACAAACAGAGGATCCTGATATCTGACTCTGGACACTGTAGCGAACAGATAAGACAGAGGCTGCGTCACGCCATCAGCTCGACACAAAATAAGAAGGTGTTTACTAACTAACTTTATGGAATTTCATGACGATCTTTCCTCTTTCTATTGTGTGCTGCAGCTCTCATTCCCCGGACGCTGTCGCACTCGCTCACTGCAGTAAAAGGTCCTGCAGTTTCTCCTCATTTGGGCATAAATCTCATGCATGTAACATCTGTTTACTCACGGTTGGTTCCGACAGCGATGAAGGCGGCGGCGGTGAAGAACAGGACAAAGATCATATCACATCTGAAGAGGAACCATCTCAGTGTAGCCAGGTAGTGGAACCAAGCTGCTGTGTGGGTGTTCAGCGCCTTGTGGAAGAGAGTCTCAAAGTAGGTCTGACGCCCAAAAGCCCGGATAGTCCACAAACCCTTCAGGGAGATGATGAGGTGGGAGAAGATGGGGCTACGAGCTGCAGGAGAAGGACAGGAGGCAGATATCGCACAAGTTTGTGAGCAGGACTGGCACTTAAGGAGCGAGGAGAGAGATTGTTTGGTTACGACAGCAGGACACAGAAGGGAAAAGGAACAGTACACCAAAAATATAATGCTAGATATCATTCTTGCTAAACCAAATCAAATATGGGCTTTATTAAAGGCTGTGTTAGGTCAAACTAGCAGACAGACTGTTTTCTACGGTGGCTCTAAGGTGCAAAACACAAAGGCAAATGAGAAAACACGTCACAAAAAGAGAAAACACAACAACAAAAAGAGAAAACACAACAACAAATAGAGAAAACACAACAGAAAAAGAAAAAAAACAGCAAATCAGAAAACATCTTTTGCCATTGTGCTTCCTCTTTTTGTTGTTGTGTTTTCTGAATTGCTGTTGTGTTTTGCACCTCAGGGCCACCATAGTTTTCTGAGTTTTCCAGTTGAATAGATAAGAGGAGCAAAATGAAATCTGGGATCAGGTTCAAATAAAGAGGACTGACTCAGGGTTGAATTTAAAAATCACTCAGATTTAAGACGTATTGATTCTGAACCAGATCTGTTTTATTAGTTGTTGTCATTGTTACCGCTGTAAGGGATATTTATGCTAGCACAGTGTTGTAAACTATTGGTGTCATATTAAACTTTTGGACTTCCTAACAAATCGAACACCCCTGTTAAAGGTTTTGAAACGGCAGAAGGGAGACAGCCAATCAGAGTTCTCTTATGACAATGCCAGACCTGAGAGCTGACCTGTGTTAGGCTCATTCTTTCCTATTATATCAGGTAATTATCGGTAAATAAATCACCAAATATCCATGTTTGTTTTGGTTACCTATCACACTTACGTAATCCCTCTTCTCAGGAAAATCCACCAGATTCAGCTTCTCAGTGCAGCTAAATATGAGTCATCTATTTTCTTGAATACCTCTCTGCTTTAAGAATTCGCTCCAGCTGTACAACAGGGGAAAATATTCAAGCTATGTCTTTGTGATGTAAATGGAACAATGCTTACAAAAACCACAAGAATGCTACAGAGCGTTTGAGTGACTAATGTACACAACATCCACTGCAGTTCAGCTGACGAACTGCCAGTACATCAGGATGGGGTGGAAGGAAATCCCAGCACGGCTCATCTCTCTGACCCCATCGTGCTTTCAGCGGCTCCGGAAACCTCGCCATCATCACGAAACTCGTAGTCAGTGAGAGGATCATTTTCAGAGCAGGGAGGTCCAAAACACACAGAGGGGCATTTTCGTCAGCAGTCCTCTGACCTGGTTTCTAATCCTCTGGTAGTTCAGAGCGACACCGCTCTCACTGTGACAACTTCACGGCAGCGGCAGTGTCTGATGGTGCCGACACATTCACGTCTAATAACTCCACTAAATCCTGTTTTCATGCAGCTTAACTCACTGCTTTTTATAGATTTATAAAAACTTGCAGACATCCTGGATCACACAACAAAATAAAGTCAGTTTTTAGTGCTCTGGACTGCAGGAACACGACTTCATGTTCCCCACGACTGTCTTTGCCAAAAGAGTGTCAGCAGGCATGAAGATCTGTGCTTCTGAGCAGCACATCACTCAGAATAAACCCTCACTGGGGGAGTATAACAGCCCGCTAAAACAATCACTTTATGACTAAAGCCCCTTAGAAATGACTGAACTCTTCAGACAGGGGTACCATACTTGTCACTGATTGGAGGACAGCATTTGTCACATCCCCTTCCTCGCTTCCTTTAACGGTTCACGCCCCTGTGAGGCAGCCCCTCCATCCTCTCCTCTGACCCTACCTCTGTCATGTTTTTTGTTCTTTAGTCTGACCTTTGCCCTCTTGGCTCTGGGCCATCTACCAGCTCTGCTTCTGACAGGTAGTTATGATAGAGGTGGTGTCTTCCCGCGAGTTTCCCTTCCCCTCACCGCACAGTCGGGTTTTCCTATCGTGCACTCACTTTTACTTCTCCTGGATATTTGCCATCTAATAAGTCCTTTCCAAGCAGTAATGACAGCATCAAGCTTTTATATTTGACATGTTTTGATGGATTAAGTCATATTGCAAATCTTTTTTTTTACTCTATATGCTATCTGTAACAACGACACATAGTCCATGTACTTCACAAACTTCCCTTCCAGTTCTCACCTTCAGCCTCCAGTAGCTTGAGCTGCTGTCCGGTTCTTAGGAAGTACTTTCTGAGGATAACAAAGATGACAGCCAATGGGATGGCAGCGATGAAGATGTACGGCCGCATGATGGACACAGTGAAGATGGCGCCGGTGACAATCAGTGTCAGCTGACGGGAGGAAACAGAGGAAGTTTAATCAGTTGGAAGTAAGCGTGAAAATTAACAGTTAATCCAGTCTGAGTTGACTGATTCTCATATTGAGTCAGCAGGGTGGGGGTTGAAGTTTAAACATGTCAAAATGCACCCACCAAAAACCCTCAATCTCCTCTTCTGGGAGAGTACAGCTTCCACCAATAACAGCGGACATGGACACAGACGCTGAGAACGTTTTTACAGAACATTACCCATCTTCGGATACAAAGCCAACAGACTGGTGGAAAGTCAATGCAGAGGGATTTCCCAGACTGGCAAAGCTGGCATGCCAGTATGTCTGCATACCAGCTACAGCGGTGCAGTCTGAGCGTCTGTTGGGCTGATTGTGACTCGGTCGTGGTCCGAGTGGACATGCTTGTTTTTTTTCTCAGTGAGAACAAACAGGCGGAAAACTAGACACTGTGAGTCTGAAGCATTTGTGTTAGTTACCTGGATGAGGTCGAACAGAACCAGAGGCAGCATGTCATCAATGGTGGCCATGTCCTTTGTGAATCTGTTCATGATCCGACCTGGAAGAAGAAATTTAAAATTGACATCACTGACATAAAACTACATTCTCATATTAAACATTTTTCACTAGGGCTGGACGATAAACCGAAAATTTACCGATACTTAAATTGACGACAATAACTGACGTCATTTTGCTCATGTTGGTATATTCAGTGTCAAAATAAATACAGTTGGTTTTGGATGTGTGTAGGTAGGCTATGGTCTCATGTCCCTTAAGGATGCTGTCCTGCGTCAGAGACGGGTGAGGAGATTAGGGACGGTTCAAAAGTTGTAGCAGCTGAAGTAGACAAAGTTAATGTGGGAGGGGGTGAGCAGCTTGTGGAGTAGTTATCATCCATTTATGGTTATCGCAGTGAACTGCTCAATGTATCATGATATTGATTTGAGGACGTATCGCCCAGCCCTATTTTTCGCATTGAGAAGGAAAGGCGAGGGACTCACCAGTCTTCATTGTGTTGAGCACGGCCATGGGAGCTCGTATCACAGCGCTGAGCATCTGTTCATGGAGTCTTTTGGACACAGTGAGTAACGTGTGCACCAACGGGAGACCCCTGAAGAACCCCAAAGCCAGCACGCTCTCTGATGTGGCCACGTAGATGTAGATGATGTAGTAAGCACTGGTGGGTGTGACGATGACCGCCAAGTGGACAGGGGGTGAGGAGGCATTGGGGTGCTGCTCATCAATGTAGTTGGGCGAAGAAGGGTTGGCGCCGTCCCTCCAGATCTCACTGGTTGAATGCAACATCAAATAAGGATTAAAAACCGTTATGATCCATTTAACAGGTTTACTCAATCTAGCAATATGACGCGTGTAACATCCCCATGTTTTTATTTAGACTGTAGATTCATGTGAGTATATAACCATCCAAAAGTTTTTGGGAATATGAAAAGTTACACTCACTCAGTGATGAGGAAAATTCCAATGACCGAACCGGCAACCTAAAGGTGTTGAGAGGAAAACAAACATATTTAACGTTTCTTCTAAATCCAAATATAAAAGTTGTGATGATTCAAGCCAGGTTCAAGCACCGGGATGAAGCTTGTATCACTTCTTGTTGTTCGATATCCTCACAGCGTTAAGAAAATACCTGATAGATATGGTCTGGAAAAACATGACCTCTTCTGGTTCAAATTGGGACACATTTCAGGAGATTAAACTGACTCTGACCTTGTTGACATCTTTGATGATGAGCACAAAGACGAGAACACAAAGAGGCTAGTGTCAGTTTTATATTCTAGAATTAAATCCATGCAGATGCACAAAACAAACAAGGTTAGACTACAGTTTTATATCAAAGGAAGGCATGTGTTTGACACAGTCCGCCTCCGTCACTTTGGGCCTTTGGAGAAATCTTTTGGCTATTTCTAATGAGATATTTCATAACTCCACGAATAACGTGCATACAAACAGCCGAGGTCGGCAGGAAATGCGGCAGACCATTTTCACATATTTTGGAGCTGGCCAGAAATTCGGCTCTATTGGCGGGGGGTAACACAGGTATTACAAAATAGTTTTGGTACTGGGATTGACTGCTCGTTCTCAAAACTTTTTATCTGGGTGAAAACTTTTAGAAGTTTTCATTAGGAGCAAGCAGAAAGCCGTGACATGAAAACAGTTGCCTGACATTGAGATATGGAAAAAATGAGTTTTCATTAAATTTGGGAGCAGAAAAATGTCTGGAAAATGTTACACATGGATTGTGTGTGTAACATTAAGACTGTATAAACTGCCTGTAATTATAACATTATACAACTCAAGAAAATAACAATTACAAGATTACAATGTCATTTAGCAGACGCTTTTATCCAAAGCGACGTACATACGAATTATATACAAGTGGAGGACACACACTGGAAGCACGGTAGGTTAAGTGTCTTGCCCAAGGATACAATGGACAGACTGGAGATAGGGGGGAATCAAACCGCCAACCTTCCAGTTATTGGGCAACTCTACCTCTTAAGTGACTGCCGGGAATATATAGAGGATCTATTTCTTCCTCTCACTGAGCTTTGCTGTCGACTTATTCATGTCTGCAAATATAAAAGTGTCGATTTTACCTCAATCATGAAGACGAAGAGGATGAAAAGCAGAACGTAGACTAAACTCTTGTTTGTGGTGATGTAGCGTAGATAGGTGCTCCACGAGGTAGTTTCAAAGACGTTATCACGTTCATCTGCGAAACATTGCTGTGAAAAAAACAGATTTTTGTATCACTCCTCAGCCCAACAGGAAAACAGTTGAACTACTCATCCAACTAAACTTTGTCGTCAGAGAAAAAACAACTAAAGCTGAAGTCTACCTCCATGTCTTCCTCATCCACTTCTTCACTGATGTCATAAACGCTGTCCTTGGAGAGGCGGCGAGCGTAGATGTCCAGTTCTGATGCCAGGTCGCACCCTGGCGTGATGGAGAGCTTCCTCCTGAAGGACGACTGCATCTGCTCCCTGCGCTCGTGGCCCTGAGAGTGAGTGATGAAAGCCAGGACAGACTGACGCCGCTGTCCGTTGAGGTGCTGCAACCCATGATGGTACAAGTTCCCCCTGGGGAGAACCTCCTCCACCTGATCATCCTCAGGTACTACGGAGAATTTCCTCTCAGAGAGTTCCCGAACTCCATCCTCAGTCATCATGGACTGAGGAGCATTCGCAGTCTGTTGAGAGTTCCCGATGAAGGAGAATTTGCGAGCCGCTGCTAGGGGACTGAGGATGAGGGACTGTTTGCGTTTTTCTGGATAGCCGTCACCCCCAGGATGGCTTTGGGGTCCTGAGACTATTATAGGAGGGTGCGGCTGGCGGAAGGACTGACGCATTGGATCTGAACCTCGGAAGCCTGCTGTTTCATCCACTGAGACCCTGCGTAGAGTTTCTGTGAGGATGGAGCTACGTCTCTCCGCGTTGATGTTGTCGTAAGCTTCCAGGCCCAGGAGGAGCGAGCTGAAGTCGGGGCGCTGCGCCTGCAGCTCCAAGAAGGAGCCGTAGAAGTAGCAGTCTCCGTTATGAAGCAGCAGGATTTTGTCGGCTCGTTTGAGATGCTCCAACTTGCTCGTGACCACGATACGAGTCTTGGAGGCCATTAGTTTACAAACACATCTGTGTAGGGATGCAGAGAATGAGACTGTGTTTTGAGACAGTTTTGTTAGCACGAATAAAGTATTTTTTTCAACTCCTGATAAATTTAATGGCCTTTTTCTTGATACTAATGACGTTTTTTTTTTAAATGATGACCTTTAAAATATTCACACATTGTTTGTGAAGTAAAAGCAAGAACTCTGATTTCTCAGAAGGTTACAGAGTGATGACACAGTCGACTCCAGTGTGACGTAGAAAACAAGACATAACCTTGACCATGAACTTAAACTTTAGCTTAACTACCCCCAACCCCCTCCACATGAAAGACTCTCTGTTTGAATACACACTTCTCAAAGATCTCTTTCTCTGTCACGATGTCCAGGTGGGTGAAAGGTGCATCGAGCAGGTAGAGGTCTGCATCTTTGTACACGGCCCTGAGGGTACAACACACACAAACACACAATGAATGAGTGAGAACAGACAGCAGAAAGGTAGAGGAGAGAAAAAGGTGTAAATGAGGAAGTCATGAAAAAACTTACTGGGATAAATCAATCAAAGTGAGCATTTACAGAGTCAGCAAATCGACACTAAAGCGATAAATACTGCATGGGAAGATGAGAGTGTCTGACTGAACTCAGATTTAATGGTGTAATAAAGCTCCACTGAGGACGACACTCGTCTTTTAAAAGTGTGACTATAAAACTCAATATTCTCCTGCTCTGCAGGCAGACTCACAGATAAGGATGATGAACGACAGTGTCAGCCTCACAGGGTGTGATTATGTAGAAAAGAGGTTCATCACTTACAAATACTGGAACTTTTAACACTGTCAAACTAATTTAATCTCAAAGGCTCATAAAAAGTCAGTGCATGTCTTTCCTGTCAACTGCTCATCATAGCAGCAGTGAAACTGATGATCTTGATTAGTTTATAATCTTTAAACTGAGATTTTGACATTTTCACTGATAATTTAATGGCACAGCTGCTCTGACAGTGTTAAAGAAGGTAGAAGTAAATGTGTTGGTTTTGGGAAAATCATGGAAAAATGCTGCTTCAGTTATTTTTTATTTTTTATGAGATCTCTGTGATCTGCCGAAGAGCAGGTGATATTTCAGTTCTTCTTAAGCTGCAGGAAAATTAAAGGTCATCTTGACATTTTCAAACTGACTCATGGGTACAGCAACGATTCTGAAAACGGTCTCTTGGCTTGCTTTGGTAAATTAGTACAAATGGCAAATTAATATTACATTAGATCAGGTTGTTATTCTTAAAGTATTGCAACTATATTAAATGGATCCAAATAGGAATAAACAGTTGTTGAATTTATCTCTTTAAACCCACAAGACTGCAGAATGTGGGAGTCGCTTGTCTACACCTACAAATATTATTTTTACAGTGAAGTAACCTATTCTTTGGTGTGTTTGTATGACAGCTTTTACGAGCCAAATAAATCACGTTTTATATAATTTCTTGTATCATTAAAAATACTTGTTTAGCCAAGTGAAGAGAGCAGGCGCCCCATTTACAATGGCCACAGTCCAGGTATTACGCTGCACATATTAAAGTCTGTTTTTGGCTCCTGGCTAAATTTATGCAAACCTAACCCCATGCAATGGCGACGGTCTTTTTGCTGCCATTCCGCATGAGGTAGAAATTTGGGGTAAAACTTTTTTGCAGGTGTCAGTTGTTCAAACCCAAAACTATGCAGAAGGGCATCCAGTGATTAAGACACATGCTGCACTTTAAACTTTAGGATATTTTCTATTTGCTCTACTTAAATCCTACTCAGTTGGAAGTGAACTAAACTCTCTGACCACATTCCTGTATGTTCATATTTTACATACACTCTAATTGTAACTCATCAGCAGCACAGACGGTCTAGTGCTGACAGACACGAGGACATGAATGAGGTTTACTGAGAGATGCTCAGGTGTATTAGGAAGTACCTGGCCAAGCCGAGGCGAGCCCTTTGACCGCCGCTGAGGGTCACCCCTCCTTCAACAAGGAGAGTCTTGTCTTTCTCAGGCAGCAGGGCGAAATCCTGGAGAGGGCAAAAGAAGCAGGGATGGGCAGGTCAAACATGAGCATGCAGTCACCACATGTTGTACTGCCTGTACTGTAAATGCTGAAAGTCTGACTAAAACAGAGTGTGAGCTGCACTCCCATTGTGCTCAATGTTACAGTTACTGAAACTGGGTCAGTGGTTTGCTGATGTACTGTAAGAACAAACTGTATCTACTTCTTCTGATAACTCAAGAATGAAAACACGATCATAAAACTGGACCTGCTACTGAACTTTATACTGAATATGCAAGGCTGCTTTATTTTAGCAACAGGTCAAACTGCTTGTTTTGTCTCCTGTAAATGGAAGCTTTTGGAAGCAGTCGCCTCTCTGCACAGTTTTAACGTCCTTGTACAAAGTTTCTAAATGAAGTTACCTAGGAGAGACTTCCAAGAGTCCTTGAACTTATTTTAGGGGCTGAAAAAAAGCTGGAAAGTCCAAGAACGTTTGGTTGAAGAAGATTTTTGTGTAAATGTTTAAAAAATAATTCTGTCTAATGTGTTTTAGGCAGGAGAAGGGACAACTTGGACTAAATCACACACCAGGGGCAGCTTTCAATAGCAAAATATCGTTGTTCCATGAGAGCTATACATCCCAAATAAAATACATGTATGCTGGAACTCAAAAAATAGCTTTTAATAATCCTTACGTAGTTGACATTTTATTCAAATCAAGGCACAGATTCATATTTGGCATAAAAAGGTAATACAAGCAATTTCCGTTCATATGGTCACATATTCATAGTGAACCTGAAAACCACACAAAGAGTACAAACCACAGATGGGACAGGCACATGGAGGAAGTGTTGTTGATGGTAATTGATCATGAAAAAAGACGACCATACCACAATGATGAAGTGACAGCACAAGTTTATCATCGTTAAAAACATCCTACCTCTTTAAAAGCAGCTTCCGCTGTCCTGACCGGAGCGCATAGGGAATCAAGTTAACATGTTGTTTAACAGCTTGTTAAATAAGGCAGCACAATAAAAAGACAGGTTGTGAGTCTAAATGTGAACAAAAAGCACCTGCCGGGCCAGCAGCTAGAGACTGGAGGAGGAAAAGATGAGTTTACAGTGGCGAGACCACCCACGGCAGTCTGTCTGGTGCTTCAGGGGGCAACAATAGTGAGGAATTACAGTCTCAAGCCCACTAAACCTCTCGTCTGTGTCTGGAGGAACCTGCTCTGGTGAGTCAGGGTTGCCCTGGGGATTTTTCTTCAGAAGAAATCCACAGAAGCGAAAAACCCTGAGTGCACTTTACTCCTCATCATAGATCATTTCTAGCCTCTGAAGCTCATTTTGGATATAACATAGAGATTTTATGTTTAGATTCAGGATTCGGTCTCCTGAACACTAAAAAAACTTGTGTCAAATATCGATGCGTTAACTATATTAAGTATCTAGAGTCAGTGTATGACAGATAAGTAAATAATCCCAGTTAATTAGTATGTAAGGGATGTTTTTGTTGAAGATTGTGTGCAGTTTTCCTTTAAAAAATACACTTTTGAAATATCGTCTTCACCTTTATTTGTCCTTATTTGACAGTAAGAGAGGCAGAAGAGCGGGAAGGGGCTCAGCATTAATGGTATGCACTCTACAGGTGAGCTGCTGGGGGCTCCCAAAAATACTTCCATTATTACTTTTTAAGTAAAACTTTCCAATACAGTTTGTAATGTGAGTTTTTATTACTTTTCAAAAGCATGGCAGATATTTTTTTAAAACAATTCATACAAGATTTTCCTTTTTTTCAATAGAATGCAATATGTTTTTTATTACTTTGCATTGTTGTGTGCTGTTAAACTTTTCAATATCCTGTGCAAAATCATTTTTCCGTACTTTCACCGAATTTGTCCCACTTTTATTGTGCTTTTAGTCACTCCTGTTTGTTGATACTCCTCATGCATTACTGCGTTAATTAATCTTCATGTTAAGCTTTAGTTTTATCCAGATGTCGTAATAATTTCGATCATCTCAGGGAAAATAATTTCCTTTCATGAAGGCTTATCAAAGCCTGGAGTTCTGGAGTTCTTCATATCTTCTACATCCGAGTCCTGGGAATCCGTTTGGTAACTGAGTGTGACATTGAGCATTACTGTGATCCAGGCTCCCATCCTTCGCATGTTTCACACATCCAGTAAGCTAAGCCTTCAGCCTCTACTTTTCCCCCCAATGTTATTTTTTTTAAAGATCTACCCTGATGAAAATCATATTTTTCTTGTTGTCTACATGTTCATATGGCATTTTTCTGATGCTACCCAGAAATTGGGGCGCGCTAACCTGCTTGGCCATCCGTGCAACCTAGCATACTTAAGTTCTTAAGCTCTGTGTTTATTAATAGAACTTTTAGACATACAACACTACTTAATAGAGCTCCCAACTACAATTTACTATTTAAAAAAGTTTTGACAACTTCAACCCCCTCATAATTACAGGCCCTGAGAGGACTTAAGTCATATCTTAAGTTTACGATCAGAGCAGACAGAGTGATTCCTCCATTTCCGTTTGGATGACGCCTCATGCTGGAGTTTGACACCTGACCTCACAGACACGTTGGAAGCTGTAGTTTTGCAGCAGCAGATGTTGATGTCAATATTGCATGCCAGCTTTGTTTGCTGTGACAACATGTTGTGTTTTTTGTCAAAACCTGTGAGGGACTGCCAGTGCCACAGGAGACGAGGTGTGATGGTAAATACTTGTGATGGTGTCATCCTCGGGGTGTATGACACTGCAGTACTTTCACTTTAAATATAATCAACACAAAATGACAAGAAGTTTCCTTGTAATTATTTTCATGAAAGTCTGGACTTAATGAACAGATGTTTGGTTATACTGTATTTCACAGTTATTTACAACTGGGTCAATATTTCAAGACATTTTATCCAAAACATTTATACATGTATGCTACTGTCTATAAATATTATAAACCAAAACATCGACAGAAATATTTTCTACATGTGGTCTTTTTCTCCTGTTCAACAACTTTAAACTCATTTGATCGTGTTTCTATTAGTTTTTGTTATTTGATGTTTTAAACAGCTCTTAATGAGGTTTGTTGGTTTAACCTCAACTGTTGACTTTCTGGCACTTTATTCATATTTGATCACTTATCTTTGCCCTGTAATTATTACTTTATCTGAATATCAATGTGCTTTTTATAGTGCTTACATCTCTTCTCTTTCAGTGTTGCAAATACATATAGTTTATTACTGTTAGTGTGAATTAATCTTCTGTTTTCATTCTCTGTAAGCCTCTATTAAAGACCTACTCCGATGAAAATCATGTTGTTCTTGTTGTCTACATGTTCATATGACATTTTTCTGATGCTACAGGACATATCATGAGAAAACCATGTGCAAAATTGCATTCCTGAGTATTTCTGCATTCAAATGGATGTGAATATCTGGCAGACCCAAACGGCAGGTTCAGATACAGTGAGATTTCCAACGTAGTAAATCTAAGCTCCGCCCCCAGATCCCCCGCTACGACTTAGAGGTGAATTGTTAATGAGCTACTGGAGCTACGCATAAGAAAAACCCTTGAAAATGACACAGATAACGCAACTTTGGCTAAAAACATCAAAATCATTATTTAAAGACCACTGAAAACACTTTAAGTAGTAAAAACCATTTGGAGTGGGACTTTAATGCCTTAAACTATTAAATGAATAAAGCCTGATTGATTGATTAAGTTGATATTGAAACACTACAGACAGTTTGTCTGTGTTGAAATGTCTGTCACTGGGAATCGGCAAGCTCATATTCCATCTCGGTGACATAACCCGAGATTTCCATGGCAACAGAGGAGACATTATTCTGCTGAGGGGCCGTCATTCAGCGCTGAGGCTAATGAGAGTACAAGTGTGTGTAGACAAGCATGTGTGCCTCTGTGTGTGAGTGTGTGTGAGGGACATAATGGGTGTAAATGTGGACTGAGGAAATCTGAAACTCCTTGATGGCTTCAGAACGACAACTCAGCAGAGCATCAATCCAACGAAAGAGAGAGAACTCGAGAGAAAAGCTGGCGAAGACGAATAAACATGGGAAACTGTGTGATTTAGATCAAGTATAAAAATATATCTGATCAAATTCACAGAGTAAAGGGAGTGAGAATCTTTCACTGTTAAAGAAATGGTTTTATGTTGTATTTTAAAGGTAGATTATTATGCTGTAATATTGAGAAACAGTCAGCAATTGGAGCAAAAAAGAAGGAAGAGGTAAAGGGTGAATAAAAGGATAAAAGAGACGGTACCTCCTCCAGCTGGCAGGCTTTGATGACAGAAGTATAGCGGTACTCGTCATAGGTCAGGCCGAACAGGATGTTGTCTCGTATTGTCCCCGGCATGATCCAGGAAGTCTGCGGTGAGAAGGAGACACGGCCGCTGTGTCTGATTTTACCCTCTGATGGTACCAACTCTCCCAGGATCATCATGAGCAGAGAGCTCTGGTGGAAAAGAAGACAAAGACAGTGACTCCTTACATTAATACTTGGATGCATTTAGATGATGCTGTCAACTTCCTTGATGGGCTTCAGGGCCTCGCACGTTCAGCTTAGTCCCTAAAGACACATCACACTTTGAAATTTGGATGACCCACCTTCCCTGAACCGGTGGATCCAGCCACCGCCAGCATCTGGCCCTTCTCCAGGTACAAGCTGATGTTTTTGAGGACAGGTGTGACGTAGAGGTTTGTGAAAAACAGGCCGGCGTCACCGTTCAGATGTCCGTTCGCTTTGCTCTCCTGCTTGATCTTCTCAAACAGCTCACCAATGCCCTGCAGAGAGATCGAAAACAAAGTGTCTTCAACTGCTGAGCACTAAAAAAAATAAACATTAAAAACAACCCTCTTATATTTTGTTATTTCTCAAATTCATAGATCTTTCCCCCCCTTTTTTTGGTTTCTGTGTGTGTTACATAACAGCTTCCTGCAGTGAGTGATTGTGTCTGTTGTGCCGAACTTTTAGACAGTGACACCAAACCAAACAAGAGATTGTTCAAAGACAGAAGAAGCCTCCCAAAGTCTCACAGTGGCCTCATTTCACCTCATCTGTCAGCGCCTCTGTAGAGATTAACGACTGACACATCAATGTTAGAAAAAGGGGAACTCTGCTTGACTCGCCGGTTTAATCATTGACCCCCTCTGACATTTTATGGGTCACCGTTCCTCTAATACCAGGACTTGGCCGTGGTTTGTGTAGGTTTGTCTGAGCGATTCTCATTCTAATGAGCTGACGTCGAAGCTGTCAGCTGTAAAGAAAGGCGACACCCCTCCCATTCATCTGCGAATGGCACATTCCAGGAAGAGGAGAAGGCAGGAGGAGAATCAGGGAATTAGACGATGAACACCGGTCTAAATCTCAAAGGGGGATCCAGAGTGTTCCCAGCAAAGGCGACGTTTGGTGACGGTATTCAGAGAATTAATTATGCATCGTGACGGAAAAGAAACACGGTCTAAATGATTCTTTTCTCACAGTACAGGGGGGGTCCATGAATCACATCGGCTTGTTTACTCAATTTACAGCCTCTGTCTATAGATACAATTCTACTGGTGACATATAGAGGATTTACAGGATTTATGACTCATTAAACATCCACATCTCTTACAGTAAATACTGACTGGTAGTGTTTTTTTTACGGGGATTTTTACATAAATAAAATTAACCATTCAGGACTTTTAAGTACACTCAAATGATCTAACAGTATTCAATGCTAATGCTGCAGCTCTACAGGTTCGTATGACAACATTCTCTATCAATAAGCTGCCACATAACAGCAAAGATATCACCGTTAATAAGAAGATACAAGGACCACCCAGCTATTAATCGAGACTCGCTCTTCAAAAGGTTGAAAGAGTAAAAAAAATAGATGATCGGTTTTACACAAGAAACTGACTGTTTTGCAGTACTTAAGAACATAATCATTTTAATAATTACTTGAAAAAGAGAATTAAGAGATTTTTCTGGGGCTTATATTTAGGTCATCTTTTGAATATTGTCTGGCTAGATGTCGAATAAAAACATATATATAGCAGGGTCCATTTTGAAGATTTGAAGAAAATCTTTCATTATATTTTATCAAATGATTTCAACACCCTAACATGCGTGGACTGTACTGAATTCCTTGATAGCCTGAGGATCTACTCTAGCCCTGCGGAGTGGATCACCGAGAGCAGCGGGGTTTCACAGCTCAAGGTAGAACATTCATGATTTTTAACTTCATGAAAATGCAATCAGACCAAGACGCTAGGGCAGGAGAACTACCGCGTCTGCAGTGCTAAATGATTATTATGATGATTATTACTTCATGGAAATGATCCACTGCACTCGGTGATCAACTCGTCAGGGCTCCCCCACAAACAAGCAGCTGCTGGAAATCAGGCAAAGGTAAAAAGATGTTTGATGGCTAGTACTATGACTGGCACCCTAGATGTACTGTTGATGAAGTCAGGTGCTGTTTTGAGAATTATTTGAGGCTCTTTTTCGTTGAGGTTTGCATGTGGAGATGTAGACTGATGATCTTGATGCTTAAATCTTTTGCAGCCCAGAAATAAAAACAGTTTTTATAAAGTTATCCCATATTGCTCTAAGTCTCACATTCAGCAAATAACAGAAGTGAACACACCTCGTCCCAGGATGCAGACACGTTGATCAGCTCCACCTCGGTGGTCGTCAGGTTGTACTCCAGCACTCTGTATTCTTCCTTCAATAAGAATTCCTAGAAAGAAAACACAAAAAAACCCACAAATTCATTATATTCCACCAAGTCTGATGCAAAGCACTTGAAAGGTACAGCTTATCTGATATTTTGATATTTTTTTGGACCCACCTCGATCTTCTTGACCAGCGCCAGTGTGTCGTACCACATCTGAATGGATCCTGGCAGCTGGCGGGTCAGAGTCATTCTCAGCACCATGCAGTAAGAGGCTGTGGTGAATATACGGCGCAGGATGATGCCTTTACTCAGCGCATGTGGCACGATGGCTGACACGATGACTAAGATGGCGGAGAAGAAGTACGCGGCGCTGTAGAAGTAGCGCAGGGAGCCGATCTTCCTTGTTAGTGTCATCTCATCCCTGAAGGAAGAGGGGAAGTAGGAGGAGTGCATTAGGACAACACCGATACTCATAACACATTATTGATATGAACAACATCACACAGTCTCGATGGCTGAATACTCAGAGGTACTGAAAAGGCGCTCAGGTTAACAGTATGTCAGATTTTCATGCAGCTATTATCAGGTAGATGTCAGGTCTTGTTGTCTCTGTGTTAGCTCCAACAGTTCTCAGTATCTCTCCGCTCCACAACATCGTGGTTGTACGTCTACTTATTGTGATCTTGGTAAACCGATTGTTTTAACATCTCCTGCTCAGTTTTAGCACAAGGCTGATTTTATTTCTACTGTAGAGTCAAAACCTTTGGATTGAGGAACCTGCTCAGTCTCTGAGGTCACTCTTTGTCCTGCCCAGTTCAGTTTCTAACAATACATCCATCATATATTCAACAGGACGGCACTTTACACTCACGAGGGATAGATCTGTATTGTCTGAAGCCGTCTATGTTTTTAAGCTCTTGTATTGATACAATCAGTTGAACTGGTTTAATCCTGGTGCGTTAAAACAAAAAAAAAAGATGTATGGTGAAGATATCATGTGTCTTACTGTCTGATGTTTTTGATGATGGTTTCCATCACATCCTCCCATCCGTAGGCCTTCACAGAGTGGATATTTTCCACGATCTCTGAGGTGAGAGCCAGGCGGCGGTTGATCATTCCTCCTCTCTTCACCCTTTTTTACAAAAAAAAGCTTATTAGCTACACAACTGTAGTAAATGCACTTTATGTTTGTTTATGTGTCAATCAATGCAATCAGAGTACTTCCATCATTCAGAGCAGGTTGAGACTGTATTCATCATTATGCTGCATTCATACTATTTTTGTGTATGAGTGCTACATGTTTAAATTTATAGAGAGATCCAGCTAGGTTACTGGCAGACTGCTACTCTTTTATGTCTTCATTTAAAGGGATATTCCAGCATAAATTTGAGTTATGGTCAAACACACCGTAACACCGAGTTAGACACCCCTCAAGAGATGAATGTTGCCAGCTGCTTGCTTTTCTAGTGAAGTTAGGTGCTGTTCTGAGCATTATTTGTGTCTATAGAGTGGCGTTTTGGTTGAGGTTTGCGCGTGAAGACGCAGACCCCTGTGTACTTTTGTGCGGTCATTACTGAAGTTGATATAATTAGAGAAGCAAGCAGTCGGCAAAATTCATCTCTTGAGGCGGTGTCTAACCCTGTGTTAACTTAAATTTACACCGGAATATCCCTTTAAAAAAGTGTGACAACCACTTTCATCTCATGGTATTAGTTTGCTTATGTTAAGCTCTATACTTGCATATTGTGACAGCCTTCTCTACAGTTGTAACTATGTGGGGGTTTCTCTCACCTGTGAGGTCCCATCTTCTGTGAGAGCCATGCCTGAATGATGCCCAACAGAGTCAGACTTGCAAGTGCACAGAAGCCGTTCACTTCGATCAGCTCCCAGATCAGACCCACGCACAGTATGCACTGCAGGGGGGTGATCCATACGAAATGGGCCAGACCCAAACTCTGGAAGAAACACACAGAGGAAAAACTGATGAGACTGGTCATTGTCGAATATCATAATTCTCAGTATTTTCTGACTTTTTCTGTATCATGTGTTTAAAATGTTGACAGCACCACAGCACTTTCTTGTGGCTCTAAAGAGATGACTGAATGAATCATAACATATTCACTTTTAAGGAATACTTGTATGTCTCCAGGTATTATTGATGGTGCCATGGATGCTGGGAAAAATTCATTTTGTGTTACTGAGAAATTCTTTGTAAAACAAACGCTGAACCAGTCAGCACTGAACTGATGAACCTCAGCTTAAAACTCAGTCTTCACTTCAATGAGGTCCCTTTCATATCGCTCACATAGAGGGTAATCAACTGAAGGTCAAACACATGCACACACATGCACACGCACACGCACACGCACACACACACATACGCACAACCAGACCAGGTAGCCACCACCTGTTTTTACAGAGAGTAAGTAGTACTGAGCCTCTCTACATCCGAGCCAGGTGATAATTGTCTCTAAGCAGGTTGCAGAGTGTTTCCACATTCAACGCTTCAGTGAGACCCAAAGCAAGACTGAGTTCACTGTACACACACACACACACACACACTCACACACACACACACAATCTACATTGACTTTATTATCTTGCTATTTCCCTCATTAAGATACTGACACTCATAGTTACAAATGCTTGCCCAGAGTACTGACTGTGTGAATTTGTGTTTTTTTGTGTGAATTTGTGTGTATTGTTCCTGATCTTTTGTCCTCTAATTGTCCCTCTGTATGAAGAACACTTACCTCCGTGTTGGGTAATAAAACAGATTCACTGAAGTGAATGAGGGTGTGAACAGCAAAGCCTCCTTCCCTCATCATGCCTGTGATTCTCTTAAGTGGAAAACTACTGAGTTGTTCCATTTGGCTTGAAAAAAGTGATTTTCTGCACCCAATGGGATGAAATGACCTTATAAAAAAGTGTCACGGATGTAAATTGTATTAAAATAATTACATTTTACAAGTTTTATATATATATATATATATATATATATAAAGTTGTCAGAATAAAAATTGTAAATGTTTCATGGGAATTTTAAAGCCTTCTTCACACATGCACTTCTGAGAATGTCCATTAATGTCAACATCCCAACCATGGGGGAGAAAAATTTATACTCTGTGTAATTCATTTCTTAAATTTGTCCACAGCTCCATTGGGATTGCTGGAGGAGGCGGGATTTATGACCTATACTGCAGCCAGTCACTAGAGGGTGCTGTTCTCGCAGTGGCTTCACCCAGCGAAGAGGCAGACGGCGTCCGTTCTATATGCAGTCTACGGTGGGCACTCTGTAGCTGTTAGTGTAAGTTAAACGACATGCACCTAGTCTACTAGTCAAGTTAGTTTTACTGATAATTTACAATAAAATGGGGTCTTAATGGTAAATGGCAATGGATGTATTCACCTGTGATCTCATGAATCTTAAATTCACTGCGATCCTCGAAAATAACAGATTTCATAGAGTTCAAGTGTTTTTAGCTGAAGGCAACTCAGCCAGCAAGCGTGCCAGGTACCTTTTTCTGAATTGCCGACATTTCTCAAAGTAAAGGTTTATAGGAAAGTAAAAGATGGGCGATGTGCTTGTCTTTCTCACCTCATCCAGCTTGTTTAGGTGAGCAGACATCAGACTGACCAGCTGACCGGTACTGATTTTATCCAGGACCCGACTTGAGAGCTTGAGAGTCTGCAGAGGTCAAAGGTCAAAGGTTAGCAGAAGCACAAAGAGGAGAACGTGAATAGGTTGAGAGGAAGCTTGAGACACGTGGCCGCACTGTAACACAAAGCTGCCACACCTCCTCCCTCTCAGAGTCCCAACACTACTGGACTTAACGCATGTGAGAGACTCTCTGGGAGTGTTCAATCATGCATACTGAAGAAGGAGAAAACAGTAGATGTAGAAAAACATCAGCAACAATAGAGCTGACTAATGCTCACACACAGCTGTTACACAATCTTATCAGCCGGGTTGTTTTGTTTTGTTCTGACAACTGTCTGTAACAGCAGAGACTGTGAGAAGCAAGTGTTGATTCGAGTGTAATCACTGGATAAAAGCTTACAGTGTTGATTGCTACAACTTTTGGATAACTTTGAAAGACAAATGTAACTTATCTCTTTTATTATGGTGCAGTACGATTCAAAAAGATATCATATTTCCTATGGTGATTTAACACGAGGAAAGAAGGCAGTGAAAGAGTCTCAACTTGGAGAAAACTTCCCTGTTTCAGCTTTTTTGTTTCCTACCTTCTTGTATATAAGACTGAAAAGCGCGATGCGGATCTGCATGCCCAGGTGATGCAGGCCGAAGATGGCAGGTTGCAGCAAGAGGAAGCGGGCAGTGAAGAGGAGGCAGAGGCCCAGGGCCAGGAAGTATCCCTGGCTCCGCTCTGGAGCATGGAAAGGGTCGAAGGAAGCGATGATGCGACCCAGGAGCTGAGGCTGTACCGTCTTTGAGGCCTCCTACTCAGAGAGATGGAGAGACAAAGAAGAGATTCACTTCACTCTTAGATTAACATCCAACTTTTATTTACTTCTTTGTGGCTGAGAAACAGTAATGTGCTTTTTGAGCCTGTAAAAGTTGACCCATAGTTTATGAATTACTTGAGAAATATAATCTATTAGCTCCACACCATCCAATAGATTTACAGATATTGAGAAATTCCCACTGGCAGCACAAACCTGTTTGTTTGATATTCATCATGATATTCTGTAAACCATAAACACATGATTTAGTGGACAAGAAAAAAGACAAAATTAAGAAATTAACTGATTCACAAGTTGTGGAGACTACCAGCTAACAAAGGTGTCCTATTAGAGCTCCTATGATTATTTTTTTTATTCATCTATGTGAAATTGAATGAAATTCTTACTGATGCATTTTTATGACATCCAAAAGCAAACAAGATCATAAGTGACAAGTCTGGTGATTTTTGTCTAGAATACTGAAATCAGCTCAGGATGTTAGGTGTCGGGGTAATAGCCTAAGAAACACCCCTGTGTCCACAAAGATAAGTCCCAATGAATTATACATTTGACTGTTGAAAGTAGGGCTGGGCGATAAACCGAAAATTTACAGATCCTGAAATTTACGACAATAAACCACATCATTTGCCCATATCGGTATATTTGGTGTCAAAAAACAAATAAATAAAAGTTGTTTTGGATGTGTGTAGGTAGGCTATGGTCTCATGTCCCTTTAAGATGCTATCCTACGTCGGAGATGTAGGATAGCATCTTCAAAGAATCAAAGAGAAAGAATCTTCCACAATCAAAGACTGCTTTGTCTACAGGGATACCAAAACTGGCACAAACTGAAAGTTCCCCCCAGGACCTTTAAAGATAAGATTAGATATTCCTTTATTAGTCCCACAGATTGAAATTCCAAAAGACGCTGCTAATGTCACTTTTTGGTTTTCAGTCTGTTTGATTTTCTGCTCAATATTCATCCTAGGAAAATAAATAGAGAAGAATGGTCTAAAAGTAGTAATTCATTTGTTAGATTTTTGTGAGTTTACTCTTCTGACCCATGATGCTTCATGTTAAACTCTCAAAAGGGCTGATAATAGGGGCCCCTTTTTATAAGAAAAATGTTATTTGATGTTTTTATCTAATCGCTCTAGTTTCTTTATCATGGGTCTCTGCAGCTGCATACACTTAGCTCTGAAGGGCCCTCGTTTGTTTAGCACACAATCACATGGCACAGAACTTACACCTCTAGATTAATCTATTGCCAGCTCTTCTTACAGCTGTCAAAACAAAAAAATACATCACTGACAAGGTAAAACAAACTACTGAGCAAAATCTACTGAGTCTGACAAACCTCTCCACACTTCTGTGTATTCCCCACTCAAACTCTTTAACATCTAACAGGCATTCTTGTCGCCATGGCAACCACCTCAAACTGTACCAACTGACGCAATGGCTGTTGTCACCACAGTCCCATAAGTCTTGGACAGTGAGGTGGTTTTCTGACACTATGCTGCGACATGCCAGGGATTTTTGTGCGTCATCCCACTTCAGCTCTGCACTCTATACAATAGACCCTCACCATTCTTACACATGTACACATGTATACACTGTTTTTTTTTGTTGTTGTTTGTTGTTTGTTTGTTTCTTCATCATATGAAGTTTATGGTATTAACTAAATACTTTCTGGGTTGACAAGCAGGTAGACTCACCCCGAGGTAGAGGAGGACGCCAAAGAAAGCGAAAGGGCCGAGGAAACAGCGGGCCAGCGCTCTCATCAGCTTGGGCTGCTTCTTGGCTGACACCACTTCTCTGTCCCATTCTCTGCAGAGACGACACCAGAGTTACGACACAGTAAACAGCAGTGCAGGCAGGATGGACGAACATACCCGAGCAAATGTCAGCAAAGTTTGGCTGCCATGTTTGTTTACTATTAGTCTGGCTGTCAAGTTTTCACAGTCTTATTCAAACTTTTGTCTGTTATTCAGTTACAGTTTCAGCTGCTCATCAGTTTGGCGTCACCTTGGTTGTGTTTTTCATTTCATGATGCACCGAATGTTCCCAAGCTTGGACTGAGGGCAGGACAGTAAATGGTTTTAGAAATAATCCGGAGTCCATGCAGTAGTTTCCACTACAGAGTTCAGAGTTTTCCACATTTGCTCCATCTTTTAATAATATCATGTTCTGAAACTGTTGAACTATTCGTTCACACAGTCTCTCACAGAGTAGTGAACCCATTCCCATCCTTTTCAGACTCAGCCTCTCTGTAATCACGAAAGAGGATTAGAGCCACATGAAGAGAAAAAAATCAATGACAGGAAGAAGATAAAAGTTAAAATTTCGAGGTTAAAGTCAAAATTTTGAGATTAAAAAAATTGAAATTATGTCAATATAGTTGAAAATTCTAGATTAAAAATTTAAATCTTGAGATTAAAGTTGAAATTTCAAGATAACAAAATGTCAAAATGTGAAAGAAATTTCGAGATTTAAAAAAAACACAAATTTTGAGATTTAAATTGAAATTCTGACTTTATTCATGTAGTTTCAAATTTTTTATCTCGAAATGTCTATTTTTTCTATATCGACTTTTTTCAATTTCGACTTAAATCTTGAAATTTCGACTTTAACCTGGAAATGGAAATCAAAAAAAAATCTCCTGTAATAATTTTTTCTCTTCTCATGGTCAGAGTACTCTTTTGTACTGTAATGCCTTTATTTATACCTAGTAACATAATTAATCTGCTGCAAATTGGCTTATAAATTGGATAGTGTTCCTCCGGGTTTTTTTTTTAATTCTCAACTTTGGGATGAGATATTCACTGTTGAAGTTTCCGAGTTTGCTACCCTGATGATAACACTGTTGGATCAACTTCCCCAAAGTGCTCCTGTGAGCAGTTACAGCCACTGTAAGTAGCTGCATTGTTCTTCGAGGGTCATTTATAACCTGGGCGATTTGGCTGACCAGCTCTCTGGTGAGTGATGGGAGAGTAAAATGGGGAGATAAAGAAGGATGAGTGAAGAAAGAGAAAAAAGCAAGGGGACCAATTAGAATGAAAAGGGTTAAAAACTGAGTAAGACTGACTCTAATGCCTTTACTGTCACTGTATTGATATCCTTATAATTTATGGATTAGAAAAATACTTCTATACCAACAATCAAGAGCAAACACTTGGATTTAAAGGCTAAGTGATATCATGGTAAGGTTGCACTAAATTGGTCCGTCATGTCGACACCAGAACAGATATCTTTAATGTCGATTTGTCAACCAAACAGTTAAAATAATATGTCCGCCCCTTTTGTTTTCCTTCAGGAGTCCCCAAAGTCCTCCCTTTATAATCCAAAGTATGCATTGAGTATTTATTTTCTTGTACTGTTTTTCTGGGAAATGAGAAAAGCCCAGTGAACCAAAATGACCTGAGTTGGTGGGTGATGAAGGGGCTGACCGTACACAGCATGCTTTAATGGAAGGTAAAGTTCACATTCCCAGAAGCCTTCACTGTTTGCCTGATTGGAATAAAGAAAAGTAAAATCAACCACCATGGCTCATTCATCACCCGACGGGCAGAGGGCCCTTTCTAAAGGTCGACTTTTTACACCCGTGTACATTAACTGGCTTGTTGGCACCATTCAGAGCAATGCGGGCCCCTGGGTTACCAAGAGTCGAGGCGAATGCGGGGCACGGCTGTGTGTTACGCAAAGTTAAAAAATAAAAGACACAAGACGGATGAGTATTTAATCTTGGGCTCAATGGTTAAATCTTTTCTGCTTGTACAAAAACAAAAAAATTGTCAAGGATTTGGCATTTGCTCAACGGTAAATGAGAAGTTGGAGGACAGGAAAACAAGAAAGAGCTTTATAAGAGATGGGAACTTAATGATTGAGAAAAGGAGAAAGAGGAGAGTGTAAATGCAAAAATTTAAATACAATGTGCCGAGAAAAGCAGAAGAAGAAGAAAGAATTGGGAAAAGAAAAAACATGTTTATTTATATTTAAAAGAATAATCACATCATGCACTCCTTAGCTTGAGATTTCCAAGGCTTATGGTTAAATATAAACTCACATCATGTACCGTTAAAGCTCCTGTAAAGACTACCTGACTTAGTGAAAATTTAAAGTTAAAAACAGATTAGTTCCTGAGAATTTTATTTTTGCACAAGAAGTGATGTACTAGTTTTTGTTTTGCACAATAAAAATGAAGAAAGACTCAAATTTTTCTGTGACAAAACTTGTCTTACACATGTGCAGGGCAAGATCAGAAAATTTGTAAGGCGTAGCAAAAAGTTCCTCACTGGAGCTTTAAGGCTTTTGGGGAATTTTTATTGACTTCTTGATCAATTAAAACTGATTTAGTTAACAGGGTGTACAGTGGTAGAGGTAGAAACTGAAAAGACAAAAAGAGAAGAGAAAAGAGGGCGATAAAAGAAAACAGTACAGCCAGTCTGAGGTTTGTTTAATCTGTGGACGGAAAGTAAGTCTAAGGAAAAGGAGTAGAGAAAGATGAGCCATGGGAGATAAGAAAAATAAAATCAGGGAGAAAAGAGTTAACCTTGTCAATGTTTGTTTTCCACACACACTTGGTTTATGTAAAGCCTCATTTAAATGCCAGCCCATATTTTAACTTTAGTCTGAGGGAAGGATTGCAACTGTAAACACATGGAAAGGGCAGAGATGAAAAACATCGAGGATGCAGGCTTATAGGTAACTGTTTTTCAGCCAATTCATCCTCCAACATGTTTTCTTTTTTTATCCTTTAGTTTGTAATAACAGATAAGTCTCTTGTTTTGGACATGTGGCGACTTAACGCATTTCCCTGTATATCTTACATCCAGGTCCTAAAAATGGTCTTGAACTTGTACTGCAGAGACATGATTCGTAGATTAAACTATTCACTGTGCTGAGAGGTTAATCCCACAATTTTTTATGTTATTGTGTGTAATCTTGAAGTCCCTTTTTATTTACAAAAACCCTTATGAGGGAAAAGACTAAGAAACTAGTGACAGCTAAAATATCTTTATGTAAACATCAGTTGCCACAGTTTTTAACAGGAAGAAGTTGGACTGTAGAGTTTGCAACATCCTGATCAGATAATCACTTGAATAAATAAAAAATAATGGACAATCTCTTAATTTTTCTCAACCTGTTACCTATATTATTGACTAAAATTAACAAAATAATTACCTCACTTGTACCAAACTCTGTATAATCCCACAGTGAAACATGTGACAGTCCTTTGTTGATATCTGAATCACTTCCACATGATGGTGGAGTCTGATATTTTAGTGTCCGTAGGAACAAGCAGTCATCCACACTCTTAACCTGGCAAATTCCAGATCTCACAAAACCTGGACTTGCGTATGACAGTCAGTAAACAGTGTGCTGCTGGGATATAAAGACTACAAAAACAACATTTGCATAAGTCATGGTGGTAAATTTAATCTGGACAAACCTTTCGAGCCTCTCTGAGAGGTTGTCCGCCAAATCATTAGCTGGAGCCTTATATACATCTGAGAGCTGTAGCTTCTTTCTGAAGCCCTTCCTCAGCAGCGGTGATGTCCACCTGCAAAGAATAAAGATCAGACTGAGAGATGGGTAACAGGTGTTTGAAGCGCACAGAATAAATGTGAGGACAGGAGGAGTCCAACAAGTCCAAACTCTGCCACTGAAATCTCTTTGTGCTAATTCACATACAGTAGATTCAAAGACCATTGAAACACCAGAAATGAACTATACCAAATACGCACTTACTGCATGAGATACTTTATACATTATTGTGTACTAAGAGGATAAACACTGTGGCATAAAATGAAACATTGACGAGTCAAGAGCCTCTAATATAAACTCATGTGAGTTGTTGTACAACAGATGATCTCTAAGGTGTCACAGTCAGACTAATGACGGGGTAGATACATCAAGTCAGATGTTTTCTTTTTCTATGTGTGACTACATAGAGAGTAGGACCATCCCAGCTGGGTGACAAACAGAAGTTTACATCATCTGCCTATTTCTTTATAATTAAAGCTCAGGACCTCTAATTAGTGTGAGACGAGAGCACTAATGCAGAATAGAGAGAGATTTTTCATTTTGGTTAAGAATATCAAGTGTTAGTGAAATTATGCAGGCTGAAGGCTATAAACCACTGTGATGCAATACCCTGCCAAACTACACCGTAAAGAATAATCTTGCAAATATCATAGGTTTATGATCACCATGGTTACGCTATAACACCCATATAAATAACCAGCTGTACAGAAACATGAAGGCAAATGAAAACAAATCAGAACATAGGGTCAAGAAAAAGTCATAATATTAAGATCAAGACATCGTAGAATGATGTTGAAATGTCAAGAATGAAATTTCCATGTCAGACATTGAAAATTTAAAGAAAAGAAAAGTTTGACTTTTTCTGTACATGTATATGGATAAATAAAAACAGTGGGGGACCAATTTTAAAAGACCAGAAAAGGTCAAAACATCAAGAAATAAGCTGCAACATCCTGATCCCAGTCTCAGTTTACCCTGCAGTGTGACGATCAGTAGAAGTGCCAGGTATCAAAAATAAATCTTTTGTTTGTTTATGTATTTTAAGAAAAGGTTTGAATTTTTGATTTTATGAGCAAAAAGGTTGAGATTTGATTATTACTGTTACAGTTAAAATGACAGGAATCTATAAGGTAAAAATAATGATGATGAAAAGGCATCTATGTCGGTTGCTTGGTTTTGCCTGGTTTTGTTTGATAGGCAAACATTAACAAAATGTTGTAGCCTACTTGAAATGCCATACTCTTTAAAAAATTGCATGACTTTCAAGAGCGTCCTCAGTCCACCTCACAGCAAGTTCTAGAAGTCACCTCAACTCAACATTCATCACATTTCGCGCACAGTTTCAAACAGCCAAGTGCGCATTTTACGCACGCAGTATAGCTCCAGCAGCACCGGCTTCACTCTGCACTTCTTGCGCTGAATCTCATCTGAACTTTATATCCAAAGTTTTTATGATCTCTTACAGCTCGTTTGAGAACTAAATCTCTCTTTGATTTCACTACAATCTCCTTGCCTATCTCATGGTGCTCACAAAAAAAACATTTTCTCGAAGATCAGAGCGAGAAAAGCACATGTTGATCACTAAAAATATCACCCTAAAGCGGTGAGGTCAAATAGGAAGATGATCTGCCCTCAAATGATCTTGCAAGGGAATGAGAGCTGCGCCTGCACCTTGCAATCTGGAGGCAACACAAGCACCTTCAAATGAAAGACTACTCAGAGAAGAAAAGACATGTCCTACCAGAAGAAAAATTTGGAGAGGAAGTTCGCATCTTCCACTGGTGACTTCTGCATCCTAAGTGCGCCGCCAGTTTGGTTTCTCTGCACCTGAGTCTTATCCGTGCGCGTCGCTCACATTTGTATGTCCCCTGAGTGGCTCCGTTTTCACAGATGGAGATAGAGAGAGGGTGGTCGCTTATTTCGTCCTCCAAATGTTTGCCTCTGGTGGATGAAAGTGTCACGGTTTTGTTGTTTTGCTCCTCCAAACCGAGGGACTGGTATGCATCTGTGTCTCACCGGTCACTTGTGGTCCCACTCACTCTCTGATGAGAGAGTCGCTCTTTCTCTCGTCAAAGTGCGGCTGTGAGAGGACAGTCCATCCTTTATGGGCTCGCCAAAACTTGCGGAGTCACACGTCATTTCCACGCCGGCGAGCCTCAGGTTGCATATTGTGGCAACAAGCTGAAGAGGCGCAGCCAGCTGATCCAAACGGGGCCACTCCAGCAGGCAGATATTGATCCATATACAGTACCAGGATGTGCAAGGGACAATGAGATTCCAGTGGGCAAAGGCGTTGATTTTGTCCCACTTTTGTAGAATTACGAGGAAATTCAGTGTATTTTATTGTTTTTAATCAAAATTGTCTTACATTATTATCCACTGGAACTCTGAATAAGATCTTGTATAACCCCTGTAAGAGTGTTGGTCATGTTTCTGTCAAAAGGAACTAAAAGTGGGATGAACTCCTTTTAAGAGAAACTTTGAAGGTTCATTCAACCTGCCTGTATTACCACTGTGAAGTTCAGGTGCAGCTTGGTAATAGAGATATTTAGTTTAGTTTAAAACATGTGCAACATTGCAAAACTTCATCTGAAATTGCAGGAAATATTTCGGGTGGAATTCACCGAATGAAGCCCAAGTAGGCTAAGTTAAAATGTCATATGTCAACACTAAATACGGGCAAAGTTTCAAATATGAAGTGAGAGTGTGCTGAAAGTAATCCTAGGATGAGCTTGCAAACTGCCTCTAAAGGTTTGTTTAAAAAGGAACAAGAATTTTGCAAGATCTACATGACATATGCTGAAAAAGTGATGCCACTGATAAGTGAACTTCTCTTAAAAAAGCTAAATGTAATGGCCACTGGACAGAAAATTTCTTGCCAGGGATTTTTGTACCTTTCTGAATTTTCTGGCTCATATTTGGGTTCCATAAAATATGACCATATTTCATCATTTGTAATGAATATGAAAATGTAATTTTGTAACATTGCAACAGGGGAGGAGGCTTCTGGAGTGCTGGGAAAGAGGTTTGACAAAGAGGCTAATATAAGTTTTAAAAGACAGGTTAAAAATAACCATTAAGCCCCCTCTGTAATTTAATTTAATTTAGAACCTGATCACCTGGTTGAAAAATAACAATATGCAATGAAAGTTTCTGATAGAGTTTGGGGATAAAAAGCATTAATGTGTTTTTTAACATGCTATAATTTTTCAGCTATGTGTCAAAATGTTGACTTTTTCTGTTGAAAGTGGCTCAACCACATAATCTTCCTATTGCACAGCAAACTGTTTTGACAAACCTCTCAGCATTGTCTTCACTAAAATAAGTATATAGTTAAAAAAATGGAAATCAATGACAATAACTCATCATTTTAAATACGCTTACATACATTTATTTAAAATATAGTAGTCTTCTAAGATTCTTTGCTTGGCGATATTGATACAAAAAAAAAACATTTAAAAGGGGAAGATCTGTTTTCAGTCTTAAAATTTGTAATAGAGGAGGCCATAATGGAAATCTTTGTTTTTATTTTAAATATAGAGTTGTTATCATTCTCAAAATCCTTCAGTTGATTGAGCTAACAATGTCCAATTTCAGAGTCATACGATTCTTGCATACAGATTTTTATGCCAACAACAGGCGTAACAATCATGGTGTTTCTTCTGTACTTCCAGTAAAAAATACATTTGTGAGGATCTTTTTCAACAACCCCAACTAGCTTCTCATATCACTTTATGTGACCATTAAAATAATCTGCTGGTATATCTGTTATTGATAGATGCTGTTTTAGTTCTGCTGGGCCATGCAGGGTATAGTGGCTTTCTAACTTCACTCCAGCCAGCTGCTTCAGTATTATTCACAAAAGAGCAGAAACAGTTCAGAACAACTAAATTAAAGTGAAACTTTCTTTTATCAGTTTCAGATTACACACAGTTTCATTAAGAGGGAGGATCAAAACCTCCAAACATTCCATAAAGGAACAGAGATAAAATGTGAAGATACAGCGAGACTTCGCTTCCAGAGACTGAGTCCTATTTTTTTCCTGTCAGCCATACTTACTTCTGCAGTGACACACAAACTGTGTAAATCCACATGGATGTATGCACATTAAACTCACTCTGGTCCCATTTAACTGCTTTCTTGTTACAGAGAGAAGGGCCAAAGTTACACAGACGTATTACCCAAGAGAGGAAGAAATATACCCATGCTGCTGACAGACGCAGCAGTTTTTGTCAGATGAATATTTACACCATGTACAGAGATCTACATGAGTATTTTGAGATACTCTGAGCCTCTGTACTTGCTGGAATGGTGCTCAATTATTTTCATATAGCTGGGTGTGCTGCAGGAATGGGAAAGACCAAGGGGAATCCTCACTCTCAGGGTCTGACCAGTAGCAGTAGCTGAGTAGGGAGGAGGAATAAACTGGATTAGGCAAATATTTATGTATCTTCCCTACTATCTTAAATGTTACAGGGTATGAGCTTTCGAATGAGCAGAGAGATCTGGTTAATTTATAGTTTTTTGGATCACTATTCCTGAGGATCATTTCCACTGAGTGCATTTGCCTAAAGGAAAGAGTGACCTCTACTGAACACCTACTGCAATTGCAAAATGGTTCATCCTGAGGACTGTATATCAGAATACTGTTTTAAGTATGACTAATAAATTACACTAATTGACATTTATCAAGGATGACAGCTTTAATGAAGTACATCTGATTTTGACTCTCAGTGGGGAGCACACATGCAGTACAGTACAAGCATTTGATTAAGAGGTCTGATAATGTTGATTTTAGACAGAATTATGATGAACACCTTGTAAAAATGTGAATGATATCATGCAGGATGCAAAAATGTACTGTTAATGTTAATGAAACAGTGGGAGAGGACACATAGGAGTAGATCTGGGTGGACTTGATTCCCACAGGTATCATTTTGGACAGGGAAACTAGTTAATCAGTGACCAATTCTGATCGATTTTTATTCACAATATGAAGGCGTCAACTGGAACACTTACCTGTCATAGCTATTACCTCAAGTGGACTCCACAACAAACACTGATTATTCCCTTCACCTGTTGAACCTGAAAGAGCAAAAAAGAGACAAGCAACCCTACACGTTAGCCTACACATATATGATAAATTATGATCATGTTGTTGTTGAGATAAGAGTACAATAAGCACATTTAGAGCGTAAAACACTGAAAAAAAAGCTATATTTACTTGTGGGGGAGCGAAACCCCGCCCTCGACGAGACTGCACCCCGAATACACCTCTCGGTTTGCCGCGGCTACAGTCTTCATTTCGGGCTAACAGGCTAACAGTTGAACCGAGCTATGGGTTCTTACCTCGAAAACGCCTTTCCAGCCGGAGACGAAAGCGACGCCAGCGACTATGAGTGGGATATTGGGTCGTTTACGGATAAAAAACCTTCCTCCAAAAAGGTTAGTGTTGAAAAACTCTTTCATTTGTTCTCGGGGGTCGTCATTTCTAGTATGGCAGGATAAACCGTTAGCTAGCAAAACCTGGCACTAACATCGGCTGTGCGACCGTTAATTTTTAAAATAACTTATAGCAGTGACCTCACGCGTCGCTTTCTCCTTACTTACTTGCGAAGTACTGTGGTAACAATCGTTAAAAGACAGCTTTTCTAAACTGACATAGACCTACTTAATATCAGAGTTGAACGTATTGTATTGTATGGTGGCTAAGAACCGCCACTGCTGCAAAAAAAAAAAAAAAGAATGCAAAAAAATTAAAAAAAAGAAGTCACTGGTATTTTTCATTGGTAACTTCTGTTGTGGCTTCTTTTTTATATGCATTCTGTTTTATTTGCAGCCATGGCGGTTTGCTAATTATTTTTCCACATTATTCTATTCTATTCGTTTTTCTTGGAGAAACTTTTATTAACTGTGAATGTCTTTCTAACTTTCATAGATCCTGGATGCTGTTGTACCACAAGCAGAGGACAATGTGTCAGTGCTGAAGAGAGCCATCAGTGCCGGAGACATAGACACAGTTGAACAGCTGTTGGACAATGGCAAGTACTCCTTTTCTTTTCATAAGCATTTCTTTTCCTAACTTTAGGGGTTTTATATTCCTATTAAATAGAGTTTTTAATGCTTCAGCATAGCAACTAAAGAGACAGCTTCACTCTTGAAAGCTAAGATACTAATCCCTCTGCAAATGCTGCAAAACATGCTGCGTAGTGTTTCGTACTGCGCCTTAAATATTGGCACCAATTTTTCAAGTCTTTAGTTTTTACCGACTATTTACAAGTTCTGTTTTGACAACGCTTAGTTGGTAGCACCACAGTTAAATCCGTTTTTTTTGTACTTTTTTTAGGATTGGTGAAAGATAAGAGTAAAGGAAATGTTCTAGCATGGTTTGTTATTTAGTGATTATATTGTATGTAGTCTGGACTTTTTGTGCCAACAAAAACAGTTAATTTCCAAAATTTTAAAGCAGAGGAACAACTAAATAAAAAGAAAAATGTATTGGATATAGGCCACATACTTGCTTTTCATGTAATCAATGGATTGCCTCGCTTAACTTGATACCCTTGGTGTTGACAGGCATGGATGTGGAGACCAGGCTTGGCTTTGAATGGACTCCTCTGATGTGCGCTGTCAATGTGGCCAACTATGACCTGGCCAAACTGCTCCTGGACAGAGGCGCAAGTGCCAACTTCAGCAAAGGTCAGATAAACGCGTGTAACTCTATCTAGAGCTGGTTATCTCGAATGCCTTCTCAGAAAATTTTGCGGTTAGGTCACAAAGCTGGAAATGTTATATTAAGAATTTAACACCTCTAGAAATGATCTGTGTGGACAAGGTGAAAATCTCCTCCATTGGCAAATCCCTGTACATTAACTGTCTAACTGTTAATTATTTGACAGTTAACAGTGCATCGTTGTCTAATCCCTAATGGCACAGAGAGAGCTTGTGTCTTGGTCTATTTAGAGACAAAGTATGTTTAGATATTGGAGCCACAGGATGCCTCTAATACCTCAAGTCTATTTTTTAACCACTACTTATATAAACCCAAAGTTTATCTTTATAAAAAGCACCAAATCCATATCTTGAGTTAACATTGATCTTAATGTCTACGTTACAAAGGCAACAAAGGAAATGCTGCTCTGATGTCATCAACAACCTATAGAAAATCACCATCATGTATTAATTCAATTTATGACCGACTGCAGTGGCGTTCATTTGCATCTGTTGATGGTAAAAACATAGCAGCATCTTTGGTCACACATGTCAAAGGAAGCTGCACATTATGAGGTTTGTGTTCTGCTCAGATGCTCCTTTGTTCCTCACTCACTATTTCAAAGATACAAACTCAGACACAGAGCCATGACAGGATCTTCGGTGTCTCTTGAAGGCTCTTGTCAGGTGAGTGTCTGACTTGAGTTACAAAACACAAGTGAAGGGCAGATCAGACAAACTTTGAAGACATGTGTAACACCCACACACATCCTGAAGTTCTCTGGGAACCTGCTTTGTTTTCTTCAAAGATGTATTATTCAATAATTTTAATTATTTCTTGAACTTAATTTATCTAAGAGGATTTTAAAATGTTTTTTTTACCAACAGGATTAAAGGTTTTCTGTGTAGCTGCACACTTTACATGAAAGATTCCCCCCCACAAAAACATTTATTTCTGCCAGACTGACGTTGATTCGACACATGCCTTTAATTTCTCCTGCTTTGGGATGAGTGTGCAGTGTGCATGAACTAGAAACAACTCACAGGATCAGCCGTGTGTTCCTGCAAGAGTTCCTCTTTGGCGTCATCGGCATTAAGTAATGTCAGATGAAGCACACTGGTGCACGGGCCAGATGGGTCTCCTGGCTTTTGGCTGCAGCAGGTGAGGAAATTGATAAAAGGTGCCACAGGAAAGGAAAGCTCGACACCAACGCAACAGGGACCGCCAGCAGGATTAGGGATGGCTGTTTGACATCCAAATCAAACTATCTGCCTCGTTTAATTGTCGGAGGGGATTTCTTGTAGTACAGAGAGTACTGTGAGCCAGACTCTTGTGAATATTAATTACTTTAACAGCTGTTTTTGGAGGGGAGAATCAGGAAATCATTTTGAGAGGATGAAATAACCATGTGAATTTATCATTAGAATTACATTATAGCCTTTTACAGAAGTTTAACCAGCTTCTGACTGTAGCGGTTTTAAACAGTTTGCATAAAGAAGACATTAAAGCATTCGGATGAGCAAAAGAAATGCCCAGGTTTAAAATTAAGGAGTTGCACTTTATTTTCCTTTGAGGTGGTAAACCTCTCATAGCCCCTAGATGTCCCAGTCTGATGCATGAACCCCCACTCTCACCACGTTTGTTAATTCTCAGAGTTTGACTGTGCGTGTTATTTAATTCACATTGTCTGGGCGTCTTTTGCTCCAGGCAGGTGAAGGAAATGATTAAACCGAAGGATGACGTGTGGTCACGACCTGATGGCATTCGTCAAAGCAAGCAGACCCGGCAGAGGAATGTATGAGTGATTTATATCGGTCAACATGCTGCCATCATACCCTCTCACCGATTCGCAGGCCTCCGATTTATTTACTCCGGGGCTCTCAGGATGCAAACCAGGCAGTCTGGTTTACACCCACACACACATTATATAAACACAAACACATACGCACACATGCACATACACATAGATATAGAACCAATCATGCACAGGAACCCACATGCAGACTCAGATATATACGTAGATACACACACAGGATTGCCTTGGGTCTGATCTAATCCAGATTAGATAAGGAAGCAGCTCCTCTGAAGTCATTCAGAGCTGCCATAAAGGCTGCTACACTTCCTGATGCCAGATAATCAATCTCCATCACGGGGCTATCGTCAGGATTTTATCTGTTTCCTCATGGTGCGTGATGATTGACTTCATTGCGATTAAGAGAAATTAACCTCCTCTTTCCTAAAAACTGTTCCGCTAAATACTGTAATAATAAGGAAAAAAACTGATAAAGAGGATTTTTATGGCTTCTTGTTTCTTTTGAAAAAGTAACCAAACTTATTTCTACACAATGAAACATTACTGGAGGATCATCCGTCTGATAAAGGTACAATTTGTAAAAATGGCATGTTGAGTGATATCCGTCCAGGTAGGGCTGGGTGATATGGCCTCAAATCAATATCACGATATACTGATCAGTTCACCTCGATAACGATAAATGGACGATAACTACTCCACAAGCTGCTCACACCCCCACATTAACTTCTACTTCAGCTGCTACAACTTTTGAACCGTCCTCCGTCTCCTTACCTTCCTTGCCCTCTTTGTTATGGACTGGATGGGGTGGAGTCACATCTCTGACGTAGGACAGATCAAAACCAACTTTTATGTCTTTATTTATTTATTTGACATCGAATATACTGATACGGGCAAAATTACGTTGTTTATTGTTGTAAACTTTGGTATCGGTAAATTTTCGGTTTATCGCCCAGCCCTATGTCCAGGTTTAATTATCAGCCCGAAACACTCCTTTGCTCACCCATCCTGTCAGGAAAAGAAGCTCCTGTGATGATCCTTCACTTGTAAACCTCGTCTGAATGCGGCTACATGCTACGAACTGTGCCTTTAAGACAAAAACTGAGTGCAAAATGTTAATAGAGTTTTAAGTGAACTGCTTTCTGTCCTTTACTCATGAAAACTTCCTAAAAGCTCTTGTTATCACAGCTGAAACTCCCATTGACAGTCTAAATAGAAAGTAGAGATAACTCCCACCTCATTATCAGTCAGTTTATTCGCCTCTAACTGGTGGCTACCATATCACCGAGACAGGAATTCCACCTGTATATAGAAAAGCATTCAAACAAATACCCTCCTTCTACTCAACTCAAGGAAAAAAGCAACGTGACTGGACTACCTTCCAAGTTTAGCTGGTTAGAAATTTAAGGCATGCAAAAAATAAAACTGTTGAAATGGTTTTTCATCGTTCTTGTCCACAGATAACCTGACGGTGCTCATGGCCAGCTGCAAAGCGCGTGCAAGTGAAGACAAACTCGCACGCTGTGTGGAGCTCCTGCTATCCAGAAATGCTGATCCCAACATGGTAGACAGGTGAGGGGAGGGGGTGATGGGGAGTAAAGACATGTTTCAGGTCAAAATGTTTACAAGATACTGAAGCACATTACGCACTGTGACACCCTTAGTGATGCAGGCCAAATAGAAACACTCCAGACCGTGACTTGAACAGGGGAGAAAAAAACCGGGGTGGGGGATCAGGTTTCCTTTGATGGTTCTTGTTATGTTTGGCTGCCATGTGGTAGCATCATGCACCACAACGCTCCATACAGTGCGTGTATATTTGTGTGTTTTGTTTGGAATGTCCTGTTATGGCATGTGCACGTACGGACGGGTATCAGACAGACAGACAAACAAACAGGCAGCGTAAGGGGGCGGGAGGATTGTGGAAGCTGTTTCACCAGCTTGGATGCAGCACATGGAGTTTGATTTTGGTCATTTGTGGGTCAAAAGTGGCACAGGTTAACAATCCGGGACGTATTTTGACCAAATGATGTAAAGAAGAACTAACTCTCAAAGGGCATTCAAGACCAATTAGTACATTTCAACAGAGTGAGGACTTCTTACACATTAATGAGAATCGTAACTAGGGCTGGGCGATATGGCCGCAAATCAGTATCACAATATATTGAGCAGTTTACGTGCGTAACTACACCACAAGCTGCTCACACCCTCCCACATTCACTTCCTCTACTTCAGCTGCCGCTCCAGCCGCTATGACTTTTGAACCATCCTCCATTTCCTCACCTGTCTTTCCCTCTTTGTGGGGTAGTCACATGTTCGACGAAGGACAGTGTCTTAAAGGGACATGAGACCATAGCTTACCTACATACATCCAAAAACAACTTTTATTTATTTGGGTTTTTTTTGACACCGAATATACCAATATGGGCAAACTGACGTCCGTTATTGTTGTAAATTCCGGTTCGTCGCCCAGCCCTAACAGTATCCATGCAGTTGATTTAGCTTTTTCCAATCTTTGTGTGCAAAATTTTGCTCTAAAGTCAACAAACTAAATTTTAAATCTGTCGCCCAAAATAGTCAGAATATATATCTATCCAGTATTAACTAATGTCCTAAAAAAGAAGCTCAGGAGGAACTGTTTGTTAATAGTTAATAGCTTTAAATGTGGAGTCACTCAAACACAGTGATGGCCTGTAACTGCTAGTATTCATTAAGGTGTGAGGGAGGGTAGTAAACAAAAATCGATGATAATAAAAGAGACTACAAATTTGAGAATGGTTTCAGGAGAGCTAAAGTATCGCTCAAACTTACTGTAACACTGCAGCTTTCACATATAATGTAAATGCATCCAAAATTAAGTTAAAATGAATCATGATTAACTTTTAGAATTAAGTCATAAATCACAATCATGTGACAGCCCGAAAAAACACACATTCTCACGCACTTTCAGCTGCTACCATGCCATGAGCAACTGTCTTATCCCAGGACTATTCCAGGATTACATATGCTGTGAAATTCAAGGTGTTGTTAAAAAACACGTATTATAACTTCTTGCTCTGCTACATAAGATGGTATCTGACTTGGGGGAGAGTTTGGGATTCATCGCTCAGTGGAAATAAAATGCGGTTTCATCCCCGGTGAGGTGCTGGAAAAATTCCATCTCGTGGAAAAAATGTAGAGAAGACATTCTTCAGTCACTTTTGCTGTTAACATCTGTGGATTTTTGCCGTGTCAAAGTGGGGGGATTCGGCCCCCCAGTGGCTTTCTTGTTTAGCTATCCCTAATCCCCTGCCACTCTGTCACTGCCAATATGCCATTACATGCACGACACAATCCTCCCGATGACACACACCGTCAGGCTTTTGGTTTGGGAGACTGATTGGTTCTTTCCCAGACAAAATATTTAAAGCAAGGTAACAAGGTACAGGAGGATGTTAGTGAGTGTTGACCCCTCCTCTTCACCACTTCCTCTCATTAAGATCTAGAGAAAGAGGAAGATTTTGAGGTTCTTGTGGGTGCAGACCATAAACCTCCTCCTCATCATCATCACCTCTTACGTCTGAATATCAAACCAATGATTAACACCAGCTGCTCGTCCCTCCATCTTAGCGTAAACAAGAACTGTCTGTCATCTCTCAAAGTCCTCCAAAGGAAAACACCATGTGGGGTCCATTTGTGTCCTTTTTTTTCCCCCTCACTGTGCTGTTTTGTGTTGATCAAATGTATGCTCCCTCAGGCTGTACACAGTATACATCATGTGAATATGCAACAGGGTCATTCGAACTGCAGATATAAACCCAAATGATTTCTGTTCTGAGCTTCAAATTGGAAGTAAATCCATCATTTCATGAATACGACAAATTGGTGTTTAAAGTATCTTAGTTCTTCCAAAGTTCCACTCCAGTAATAACTAGTAAGTAGGGCTGCATGGTAAATCGATTTTAAATCGTAATCGGATTATTTGATTATGACGATGTTTGAAAAATTTTCTTCTCTATCATGTCTTGCGGCCACCGTAGGCTCCCCCTTCCTGTGGGAGCGCTCCCCAGTTTCCACACACTCCAGTGTAAACAAACATGGCGTTTGTAAAAGGAGGCGATAATTTCATGGCTAAATAAGACAAGAGCAAGTCTGAAGGCGGTATCAACCCGTCCACACGGAAACAAATTCAGGATTAAACGCAAAAGTTTTTTGTTGTATCGGCGTTTCATCCACACGGAAACGGCGTTTCGGTGGACTGTAAACGGTACATTTTGAAAATGGGTCAGAGAGTGCATGAATCTGTAAACGACGACCATTTCATCTCTGTGTGGGTGCCTATCTGCATCTCTGGTAACGATCATGTGACACACAGTGTAATTCTTTTATGGCGCCTGCGTGTCTGGCCAAAACAACCTTTATACACATGCTCTGTACTCTTCTTCTGTCTTTGGTGCATTTCCTCGGCAACATTATAGCGCCACTTACTGGCTTGGCATATTCACTACATCGTTTTCAGTGGTTTCGTTTTGAGAGATGATAGAAAAACTTTTTATTATTAAAGTGAAGTTTGTGGAAGTTGTCACTGAATAAAAAAAATCAAAAATCAAGTTGTCAGAGAAAATAATCAGGATTTTATTTTTGGCCAAAATCATGTAGTCCTACTAGTAAGTACGGCAGACTACTTCATCTTGAAATGGTTTATTACAGTTGGAGTTTTTTCTGAGGAAGAGCTTACATTTTGAAGTTGAAAGTGTCTTTGGCGCAGACACAAATCCTGCTCTGACTTCTGTAACATTTTGCTTTTGAGCGCCAAAAAGCTCTACTGAATAGCCGTTAGTAAAAGCTTTCACAACAGTCACATCTACTCTGCGTCATCTCGCTGACAGTCAATGAAGAGTGTTGATTGTTTTTTTTCACTCTCTCCACAACACCAGTGGAAACTCTGAGCCAGGGCTTGTTTTGAAGTGAAAAATGCAGCTGTTGACTCTAGATTTGGAATCTGACTCAAGCTCACAAATATGAGTTCATGAAACGTGGCTTTGGCTTCAGGACTATGAGGGCATACTCACATTAGACAATCTGTAATATCCCCAAGCACACTTGACCCCCAATGTCCAGATTTACAAGTAGGAGAGCTGGTATAGTTGCTTATGCATGGGAACATTCAGAGGCAGGCGTGTGATGATGCAGCTTCTCCTACATCTAGAGCTGTATCTTAGCCTTGCCTTAGCACAGGTGGAAAAGGCGGCCTTTCACTCGACTCAAAGCCACAAAGCAGGGTTTACATAAGTTGTATACTGGGATAGATAATAATAGATAATAACCATAGTGGTCTGAGAATAAAATATATTTTTTACTTAAAATACATGAGGAAAGTAGTAACCTAACCTTTGCTGCTCTGTGTTTGTTCTGCTACAATGAGTCAGGTTTTTCTGGAAGTCATCTTTGTCACTATCACAACACCTGGAACAATGTTTACTCTGGATTGTCTGTATATCGATCAGCTGTCAGCGAAGGGACTCACCAGATCTCACAACCTGAGGGACACACAACAGCACGTGAACGGCCTTGTCTCACAGCAAAAAGGGCCCCTGGGAACGTACAGTAGCGCAGGACATGAAAGCAGCCGTGAATGATACGACCTATCCTGTTCTCTCAGGGACAAGAGGAAATGATTTATAGCAGGATACAGGAATGCAAGCAAATAAATTTTCTTACACGTCAGAGCTGTTGGTTGGTTTGTTTAAGTTCACATAAAACATTAACTTTTGTATTCTTGGGAATTTGGTAAAAGGACGCGTAATGCCCTGAGTGTCTTTAAAACTCAGCGACATAATGCACAGATTCACACCTGTTTGTTAAAGGATACAAGCTGCTTTGATTTTGTTCAGTAACTCTTTGGTGCGCCAGACGGATTAAAGACTGTGGGACAGTTATCACCTGCAGAAATGCAAAGGAAAAGTGAAGTTACCTAAACCAGTTTTAAACCAGACGACTACTACAGTGTGAAGCAATACAGGATTAACTGCAGGGCCGGCTGTATGCTTCCAAGAGACTAAAACACACAAAAAACTGTCAGTGATCATCATTCATCAGGTTTCTATCAGGGAGCTAAATCATCTGCATTAATCTTCTCTTTGGTGGGGGGTTTACAGCTCATAAAAACCAGTCACAAAAATGACAAAAGAGTAATGCAGAAAATATTGGTTTCCACAGAGAAAGTCTCCATGGATAGTTTAAGAAGAAAATCAATTTAGAGTCTCTGTTGTCTGCAGCTCAGGGGGAAACTACAAACGTAGGAGCCATGTTTCAGATCTGGAGAGAGAACATTTGAGAACAGGGTAATCTACGATTTAATGTGTCCTTTTACAGCCTGACACGTTACAAAGAGAGACCTGACTTTAACAACTTTGACCTTCCTCAGTATTACTCACTCCTCTGTTGCCTTTGTGTGTTTACTTCTATTTGAACAAGGCCTGTTTATAAATCACCTCTGCTGCAGTTTTTCCTGTATCTTATCACCTCCAACTCAAATACAGCCAGTGAGAAAGAAACATTCATGTGAGAGGGATGGGAAAGTGTTGAGGCGGGACACAGAGACAGAAAAGCCATTAACGGGTCTGTCCATAATTTATATGCTAATGTCGCCATCAGAACACAGGCTAAAAAATGGACCGATTATTGGCCTTGGCTGATATTTGGCTGGTTATCTGTATCATCCTCTTACTGCACAGATGGAGTCGGATGTTTTTTGCACCACATGAGGTCCTAGCTGATTGGCTAAATGTAGAGATAGACCTGTTTATCAGCTGGTCGATTAATTTGGCCGATTTTTTGTATTTTGACATAATCAGCTAGGGCTAGGCGATATGGCCTCAAATCAATATCACGATATATTGAGCGGTTCACCTTTATAACGATAAATGGACGATAACTACTCTAACTACTAACTACTAATATGGGCAAAATGATGTCGGTTATTGTTGTAAATTTTGGTATCAGTAAATTTTCAGTTTATCGCCCAGCCCTAATATGTAGTCTGTGATTATTGTGAGACCCTGAAGAAGGGATGGGGCCGATCTAATCCAGTATCGGTATTGAGTTCCAATACCAACGAAATTCATGGATCGGATTGGAATCCTGCGAAAACTTCCGATCCAACCTGTAAAAATTTCCGATCCATAAGTCATGTATTTGCTTTAAGTTTGTCTGCTGAAATGACCGTACAAGTGATTCTTGCCGGTTTGTCTGCTAGCTGTCTGTAAACTGCGCAATGGATTTTCTGAACAGAGGCGTGTCTCAATGAGACATAGAGATGAGACACGCCTCCATTTAGGAAATCATAAGTACATAAACTTGCCTGTAGAAAGGAGTTCATCACAGCCTCATATAAAATAAACTATAATGATAATTATAATGATTAAGCTAACAGAGCTCTGGTATCGGTATAGTATCCGTATCGGCAGATATCCAAATCCAGGAATCAAGATTGGATTGGATGTGAAAAAATATGAATTGGTGCACCCCTACCCTGAAGATAATGAAGAAAAATTCAGCTGCTTGTTGTATCACTGTTTGTTTCTTTATGTCAAAGTGGTGAGATGAATCAGCTCTATTACATTCAGCATGCTAGGATATATGAAGAAAAAGAAATAACAATCCTCAACACGAGAAGGAACAGAGATTGAGTAGTGATTATGATCATAAATGAGATTCTGTGTCCTCGTCAGAGTAAAAGGCTTCCTATTTTAACAGATCTTCTGCCATCTGGTGGTGGTTTCCCAGTATTTTCATCACCAGTCCTGCTCAGTTATGTCCTTCTTCCTCCTTCACTCTTACCAGTTTTAACGTCTTTGCTTCACCTTCTTTAAATGTTCATCACAAATTTTTAATGCCCTTTTTTTCTCATCCGTTCCTTTTTTTCTCATTTACTTCTCATTCCTTTCTCTTTTGCTGTCTTCTCTTTCTTATTCTCCTTCTCAGTTCTCATTTGACCTGCTTGATGTTGGCAGCCAGAGACGGTTACAGCAAGCTCATCAACCTGCTGGTCTCTCATGGTGCAGAAATCAACGCCCAGGATAAGTACGGATACACGGTGTGTCACAAAAGTCAGATACCCTGCATTCAAAAGTTGAGAAAACCCTTCCATGCATCTGATTTTTAACTGGTGCTTCTGTTTCTTGTAAGGCTTTATCTATGGCAGTGCAGTACAACAGAGAGGAGGCGGTGTTGAAACTCCTCCAGCTGGGAGCGAATAAAAACTTGAGGAACAAAACTGGCAAAAGCCCTGCTGACCTGGCAGCATTCTTCAAACACGCACAGGTACCTAAAGTCCTTTTAATGATGTATTTAAGACACATCACAAAAACACAGCAAAGTCATACTTTGTCCTTTTCACAGATAGGAAGGATTCTGGCCTCTTCGTCCCACATCTCGACTGTCCAGGCCTTCAGCTCCATGGAGGAGACTCTCTCAAAGTTCTTCAAGACCGGCTCTGAACCACCACCTTCCACGGACAGGTGAGAAAACGTCAGACTTAGTAAAAGGGATGTTTGAAAATGAGGGTATCACCATGATCTTTACAACACTTAGACAATATTACGACCACTCAATCTTTAGTTTTTGCCTTTTTCATTGAATAAGCTGAAAATCAAGCTCATATGGATACAGATTAGAAGAGCTCTGTTTGGCTTGTTAGTATTTTGCTTCACTGGAGTCAACTCAGAGGGTGTCTGTTTCACTAGAATCATCCTACCCATTAGTACTGTCTGAGTGCCTGCTGCCCCCTGTTGGATTTCCTGTGCACTCGTGCCTGTGCAGCAGGTGTTGTTGAAGCAACGCTCAACCAGACATAAACAATAATAAACTCTTTACTTTGAGTGTTTAGTCCGCTCAGGCATGGCTGGGAAACGATCATCAGCCAAAAAACATTGTACTCAAGCATGTGAGGAATCACAGCCCACAAACAGTTTAGCTGTCGGTCTCTCGTGTCAGATGCGAAGATACTTCAACCCCAGGAACACACAACACATACTCTGCATGCCACTGGAAAACAGAGTCGACTTTTAAGCTCGACAATTCAGCGGTTAAGCTGAGAGTGCATGAATGCTGCGGTTCGTCTGATGTGTATGAACCCGGTGACACTTTCACTGCACCCACTCCATTCCCACCGGAGAAAAGACGTTTTATTTTGCACAACCGCTTCAGTAAGAGATTTCAGGCTCAGTATCAACACATGACCTGGGTAGAATAGACTTTTTTACTGCATCTCACCTTTTGACAGGAAGTTAAATCTTTATCTAGCCGCCTCAGCCTGGTGGTGGCTGATTCAATTACTCTTAGTGGGCTTTCTTTGATTGGACTCACTTTATGTCTCCGCCATCACAGCCCATTAAGCAGTTACAGAGCTTCTAGTTCCTCCAACATGTTTAGAGCAGAATTTAGTCTTTGGTTTAGCCCTTTACCTTCAAAGGCGATTTGAAGATACATTTTGTTATTATGGCTGTAAAATGGTCAGAAAAGTCTGAGAGCTTTGGTCCCTTTTTCTAAGAGAACTTAAACTTCACTTTTCAACATCTGATTATTCCACATTATATGGAATTGACAGCTGTTTAAAAGAAGAAAATACAAAAACTAATTTGTTTTTTCATCACTTTTATGAGAGCAAATTTTGTAAATGCTCATGAAGTTTTGATTTCATATTTGAAAAGTCAACCTAGACATGTTTCGAATCAGAAACAGTCGTTTTTAGGACTCTGGGTGTGCAAATGATGCACATTTTACTTCGTCTGAACACACTGCAAGTTCAGAAGAAGCGTCCTCCAAATCACTCTCCTCCAGGGCCAACGGTGGTGGCTGGCTCCTCTCTCTTCGCTGTAGGACATAAAAGATGCAGAAGATCTTTTGTACCAACAGCCATCAGACTTTATAACTCTTCTGTAAATAGTAGATAACTTTTTGACACGTGACAACTGAGACTACAGACGATTGAATTTCCCATTGGGGATAAAATAAAGTTATTCTTATTCTAAATAGCTCCTCTACATACTGTAGCGGCTGTTTCATATATTATGATATATTTATTATTATTTATCACTATATTTCTAAAACTAAAAACACTATTTCAGTTGCTCTGTCTGACTTCACTCTCTTTCTCCACTCTCCTTTTCTCCCACGCCCCTGTCAAAGTTGCAGTTTTGGTGGTATCGTTTTAGATTACTGTAATTTATACCATACATCATGTATTGACAGAAATCACAGATTCTCAGCTGAATTTTTTAGATTGAGCAAACTTTTAAAGAAGTAACAGTATTGAGAAGCTGTGTAGTGCTTTGCCGATACTTCCTGTGTTTTGCAATGACTGCCTACCTCATATGATTATGACTACCAAAGTAAATCCTATATGTGAAATATTGAAATTTTTCTGATTGGACAAACTTTGGCGGAGTTACGGTAATAACTCTCCAGGCACAGAAAACATTGCACCAGTGCGATGGCTGTAGGTAGAGGGTTAGCACACCAGAGTTACAATTCGAAGGCTGACTTCCTCCTTTACAAATGTGCACAGCTAAGGGTATACCCATTCATCAACTTTTAACACAGCTGGTTAAATAAGTCAACAATTTTCAGGGTGAACTCTCTGCCCTCCACAGTGTGAAGAGACTTGATGACCTCGAGGTCTTCCTGCACGGCCTCGATCTTGGCCACCTCGCTGACATCATGACTGTAAGTACCAGTCCCACGATGGATTAAAATCCAGATATATTATTCTGCGAGCACAGTGCCTCTTTTTCAGACCCTCTCTTATCTCACTAATGCTTTGATAGTTTGCTGAGATAACATGCTGTTACACAGCTCAGTGCAGCATCAGGTCTACGGGTGTAGACCTGAGCGCAGCTGCATTAGTGTCTGAATGACACTTAAACGCTTTAAGACACAGCATGAGATGACGAGTTTACATATTTGACTCTCTGTTTAATAATGGATCTAGTGTTCTGGATTGGCTTGGCTCAAATGAAGCTCGGGGTCAGCTCAAGTTTCCGGCCCTATCTGATTAATGAAACGGGGTTTGATGAGTGCAAATGGATTCTCGTCACTGCGTGGCAAAGCTTCATGCAGGCACATCTGTTTGAGGTGGCGGGGTCAGGAGGAGCAGATGCAGAAGTTTTGATTCGGTGAATTGCGAGGTGGTTGTTACTTGATTTCTTTCACAGTTTTTGCTCTTATTTAGGAAAATGACATCACCTGGAGCTGCCTGTTGACCATGGAGGAGGAGGACCTGGAGAAGGTAGAGGATTACTCCGACATCTGTTTGTCTGTCAGCTCTTTCGCAAACCACCAGACACTGAGGTGACCCAGAAGTGATGAGGGCAGCAGATGATGTCCCATTTTCAGCAGAAATCGGGTGTTACAGATCGGACCGATGCCTGCAGTTATAATGATACTATTGTTTACATTTCTAAGAAGACGTGTTACACTTGGTCTGTTGTCAATTCAGCATCTTTTCAGACTGGTCATTGTGGTCAAATCACAGCAAAATCAGTGTAAGTGGGAATTGCCAGAAACAGCGATGCTGCCACTCACCTGAGACAAATGGAGAAGAGCTCTGAGGCTGAAGCTGAATGTTGATGTCCAGATGAGAAATTTGGCACCAATCCTCGTAAACAGGTCTTCAAACTGGGCTCTGGTCAGCTTAGACTGGAAATGCCAGAGAATGAAAAGAAATAAAACACACATCTGCATTGAGACTCGACAATAGTGAGGCAGTCTGGCACATCAAGACGTGGCCTTACAGTAACTGTAGTCAAAGTCAGACTGGGCGATTTCACTGGACCGCTGTCTTTGACTCGGTCCAAAAGCACTGGTCCAGAATCAAATTAACAGTGAGGTGGCAGCAAACCCCTTTTCAGCTCAGGACCGTTGGATTGTCTGCTGGCTGGCTGACTATGTCATGTGTCAAACAAGCGACCAGTGAACAAGAAAGGATGTTCTAGGGCTGGGCGATAAACCGAAATTTACCGACACTGAAATTTACAACAATAACCAATGTCATTTTGCCCATATCGGTATATTTGGTGTCAAAAAATAAATCAAAGTTGGTTTTGGACGTGTGTAGGTAGGCTGTGGTCTCATGTCCCTTTAAGAGGCTGTTCTACGTCAGAGACATGACTCCACCTCATCTTGAGGGAAATACAGGTGAGGAGATGGAGGACGATTCAAAAGTTGTAGCAGCTGAAGTAGATAAAGTTAATATGGGAGGGGGTGAGCAGCTTGTGGTGTAGTTATCATCCATTTATCGTTATCGAGGTGAACTGATCAATATATCGTGATATTGATTTGAGGCCATATCGCCCAGCCCTAGGATGTACATCAAAAGATAGAGACACTTTCACCCTTGCAGCTCTACCTGTGGCACAACAGCTTTGTCCCTTTTCACATCCGTTTTTGTCTTGTGTCAAGGTTTTAGTTGACTACCTGGTTTCCTAGCAACAACAAAGCATGCAAACTCAAGACTACGCGCAGAATACTTTGGCCAGTTTCAGTCCGATGGAGCTAAACATGGAGGAGAAAATCTAACCCCAAACATGTTAACATGTATTTTAAGACTTAAATAATCTATGTTTTGTTCCTGTAAAGGTACTGACTGACATTGTGCCTCATACAGTATTTTTAAACATTTCTTTAGATAAACATTTTCGATGAAAGGAAAATACTTTTTTTTTTTTTTTTTACATCGTCAGATTGGTATCACTGATCCTGAAGAGCAAAGGAAGGTGCTGAGTGCCGTGCAGCAGATGCTCCTGGACAAAGTGGACATAAACACTATCAGCCAACTAGGAGCTGCAGACAGTGGGTATGAGACACTTTTTTACTCTTTAACCCTCTCACCTGAATACTGCAGTCATATTTCAGATCATTGTGTTTGACTAAAATCTTGAGAAATATTTGTCAGTCTTGTGTTTGTCCGCTGAAAAAGAGTCTTAAACTTAAACTGCATGAGTCAAAAAGCAAGATTGACTGTATTTGCAAAAAATTAAACACCTGTCAGCCATACATACAGCACCATCACCCCTCCCCCACATCCAGCCTCCCTCCATCAACCCATAATGGTCCATCTGTCCTCCTCCACTGGAAGTCATCCATCAGCCCCATGAGCATCTCCCTGTCCTGACTTCTTATCCCCCTTTCCTCATCTCTGCGGCCGAGCGCTGAGCCAGGTCCTAATAGTTTAAGCGCAGCTGTAATGATTTGTAAAGTGAGAGGTGATGCAAAGCTAAAATAAGCAGGAGGGAGCCAGCGGCAGGGGCCACACAGAGTCTCTGCACCGCATCCCATCACTTTATGAATCTTAGCTGGGACGGATCTCTCCCGCTTCACCTGCTGGACGAACAGCTGTGGATACTGGCTTCAAACAAACTGTCTAAATAGAATCATCCTGATGTAGGGCTGCACGATAATCAAAGAATTGAATTATTTGATCATGACGATGTTAAAAAAATAAAAATCGTCAAATCGATTTTCCTCTCGATCATGTCTCACGCCCCTTCCTGCGGGAGCGCTCCCCAGTTCCTACACACAACAGTGTAAACAAACATGGCGTTTGCAAAAGAAGGTGATAATTTTGTGGCTAAATAGGACAAGAGCAAGTCAGCCGTGTGGAATTGGTACGGCTTCACAGTTTTGGATGAAGAGTAAACCACTCCCCGCTGCAAAGTCTGTCTGGAGGCGGTATCAACCCCTCCACACGGAAACAAAGTTTTTTTGCCGTAACAGCGTTTCGCTTGACTGTAAGCGGTACCTTTTTGAAAACGGGTCAAAGTGCATAGATCTGTAAACGACTAACATTTCATCTCAATGTGGATGTCTATCTGCATCTCCGGAAACGATCATGTGACACACAGCGTAACTCTTCTACGGCCGAAACAACAACCTTTATAGGCATGCTCTGTACTCTTCTTCTGCCTTTTATGCATGTCCTGTGTAGTGGCTTGGCATGTGCACTACATCGTTTTCAGTGGTTTCCTTTTGATAGAAAAAGGGTTTTTTTTGGTGAAGTTGTCACTGAATAAAAAATTGAAACCGAAATCTAAAACCAAGTTTTCAGAGGAAAATATTGGGATTTTATTTTTTGCCCAATTCGTGCAGCCCTATCCTGATGCTTTCTTTGCATTTTTCTTCGACGTTTCTTAAAGGTACCCAAAAAAGTTTTTAGATACTAACCTGACAAGAGGGTGATCCAGGAGCAGATCCAACCCCCTGCAAACAAACCCCACCCTGAATGAATGGTGGGATGGTCTTGGTTTTGGGATTCATCATTATCATGGGTACATTGTTGTTCCTTTCCATCGGTCCACAGTCCTCACAGCTCTTGTCAGGTGGCTGCAGTCAACCAGCAACTGAAGAAAACAGACAAAGATTTTAAAAAGCAGCAGAACAGCTCGTCTTCTTCATGTTGAACTTGGCGTTAATTTCTGCGTCTGTACAATCCCTCTCTATACTCATTTATTCTCTGCCTGGAATTCAGTCAGAGTATATCACTGTTTCAGCCGCTGCCGTTGAGCAAGGCACTGTCTTGCTCCAGAAAAAGGGGTCAGGAATGTCTAATTTACTCAGACTGGATAAATAACGGAGCACATATGAACGAACCTTTTATCAGCATTTCCTCATAACAGCGAGTCTTTTGCATCTCCGATCATCTGCAACAGTGTTCCCACTAGAGGCCCATCATCACTCTCTGCTCCCTAGATAAACTAACAGTTGGGAGAAGGGAGGTGAAGGTGCAGCTCAGGCTGACTGACAGTGTTTACTCGCCCCTCTGACAGAGTGTGAGGAGGGCTGGGACGGCTGGCTGCCTCGTCCCCTAACCGAGGGAAATGTACCATTAAGATAAGAGCTATCAATATCCCACAAGACCAGGGGATGGGAAGATGGAGACGGAGAGGTTGATGAATATAAATAACTTATCATCTCATGTGGATGTTTTTGGGGAGGAATGACAGCAGGGGCTAGCATGTAGAGGAGGAGGAGGAGGAGGAGGAGGAGGTGGGGAGAAGGCTTTGCCACCTGCTCAAAACTCATGAAGAATGTGAACACAAAGTTTGCACCAAACTATCAATCTGTCTGCCTGCCCTGTTTTCGCTGCATCTCTTCAAGTCGCCTTCATTAGCTGCTTGTCTGTTACAGGAGTGAGGATCTGTATAACTTCCTGATCAGTCTGAAGCAGCAGTGCTGCTACCTGACAGAAACAATCCAGGATGTCGTCAGCCGCTTTCCCCGACATCCCTCTCAGGTACATTTCCTCTTTTGGGTTTTCTGTCATCATTTATCACGTTTAAGTGCTGCGCAGTGACCAGTTTGTTCAAATATATGTAGTAAACTACTGATTATGTTTCCTGGGAGACTAATTTTTCTATTTAAGTGTTTTAAAAATGTGTCGATATACACTGATGAGCCGTAACAGTGAATAATATTGATCGCCATCGTCACTTGTCAGTGGGCTGAAGATGATAGATAGCAGGTTTGTCCTGGAAGTTGACATGTTGGAAGCATAGACTGTATATAGAATGAATGCTGTCTGCCTCTTCACTGGGTGGAGCCACCATGAGAACAGCACCCTCTAGTGATGGGCTGCAGTATAGGTCATAAACCCCGCCTCCTCCAGCAATCCCTATGGAGCTGTGGACAAACTTTAGAAATTTATCACACAGAATATAAGTTTTTCCTCCCTGGTTGTGATGTTGACATGTAGTTACTGTCAGACTGGTTTTTGCTCAAGTCCTCTTTTTTTCTGTACAGCTCCGTTTTTAAAAGTTATTAGGGGGTTCATGTTTTCTATGATTGACACCTGATACAGCCTATGGGAAGATTGCGTAGCTGACCTGGGGGATACGTTGTTTGAGCCAAATGGGTACAACGCTACAATGGGTACAAGTGTGTACAACGCTACTGCACAATGTTCGTTTCAGGAAATGGAGAGAAAACGTGAAATTACCGAGAGCTTTTCGGCTTTAAATCTGTATACTGGAAGAAGGCGGAACCAAGTTGTCCATGGTCAAAACACAGAGTGCATTAGCAAGAACTCTCTTGCCCTTTCTGCACAAACCAGCTTTTATTGAACGTCCATTCTGCTGTCTTAAATGAGAACAATTCTTTTCAATGAACTCAGTCCAGATTTGAAACAGGAGCAGGTGGAAACGAGGCTTTAATGAGTCTCATTCAGCTGCATAATTATCCACTGACCCTCTGCCCTGTTCCCCAATGTCTGATAATTCTTCTGCCCGTCTCACTCGACGTCTAAACTCGACCTTTGTCTGTCTCTCATGTAGCTGGTTTTCTCCCTCGATCCAAAGAAGGAGGCCAAAACTGTCTGCAACCAGCTGGTAATCCAAATGACAGACCTGCAGAAGGAAGTCACCTGCCTCCACAGTCTGCTCTGCCAGGTCAAAACTCACACACACAGACAGAAAGCAAACACATGGATGCAAATGCTGCAAAGAAATCAAAGCCCACTTTTACCTGTATTCGCTTTGCGAGATGTCTCTGTGATTGACGAGATAAAAACGGCAAGCATCTACAAGACTCACCACACACAGCGCCAAAGCCTTCACTGCCAACCTCTCATGCAGAAAGAAATGAATCTCTGGCTTCATATTTGGTTATGAAACAGCGCAGAGAACGAGGTTAACAACACGTTTAACGTACGATTGAAACTTGAAAAGAAATTCTCATTTTCTCTATTCCAATTATTTATCTGTATTTCATATAAACGGACAAAATCAGGTGGTAATTTCAGGCTTGAACATGTTTGTACTTCATGCGAGTCATTGTAAATTCCTGTCTTAAACTCTGGACTGTTATTTGGAGAGCTTTCCTCGTACTCTTGAGGATTAAAAGCTACACGAACAGTTTACAGTGTGCGTCTGTGTCAGATGTGTCGGCGTATATGAATCCTGGCGAGCTCCAACAGGTATGTGCGGGAGTGCTCGCTTGTGTGCACCTGACTCTGTGTGTGTGTGTGTGTCTGTGTGTGGGTGTGGGTGTGTTTGTATTCCAAGAGGAGAGAGTCGTTCCTGACAGGGCAGAATCCTCACAGCCCATAAGTCAGCACCACTGTGACACCGACCTGTCAGCACGCAGACGATGAAGCGAAGGGTTGAGGGGGCTGATGGGAAGGACGGGGCGGGTTGAGGGAGTTTAAGGCGGGGGGGAGGAGGCGTTGTTAGCGGCACATGGAGGTGTGTACGCAGGAGGATATTTCTGTATATTGGTGTCTGTGTATGTGTTGTGTTGATAGCATCTGCGGGGTTGTGTCAGACAAGAATTTGAAGGCCGAATCTTCAAGGCATCAAAACACACACATACAGTCCAACTGTAGATATCAACCAATCAGATTTCACCGCATTTATCTAACCTGAAGAGAAACATGAGAGAGTAATACAATCTAATCTAGATGCACTGAAGTGAAGTCGGATGGCTCTCATCGCTGCCACCTGGTGTCGACTGAGATGAATGTGTGACTCCTGATAAAAACAAAGCATATGGGAAAACAGCAGCATGCCAAGTTTATCAAACCTGCTTTTAAACACCGTCTGAACTTAATCATAGCGCACAGTGGTCATGAGTTAATTAACCCAGGAAGATACATGTGTAAAAAAATGAACTGTAGTAATTATACATGATTTAAAGGTGGTGTAGGCAGGAATCTGTTAAAGAAGCATCTTTTTTTGTGGTGTATTTACAAAAAAGCTTTTAATATCAGTCAATAGCTATTAGTTATTGATGACATTTGGGAATATAATGATATCGCTGTGTTTTGTTATGTCTGTGTAGTCAACATTTTAAAATTTCAGAGCGGTCCGCTCTTTCTGACTGTAAACAAAGCCTTTCCCTACCTCCCCCATCCTGATTGGTTGTGAGGCAGACGCTGCTCCCCCGTGTCGTTCACGAGCCCAAACAAAGTTAGCGTGATACAATATCGGACAGTAGAAACCAACCAGAAAGTTCAGAAAAATGTCTGAATCCTCTTTTGGCCACGACTGCCGACACAAGCAAGAAAACAAAGTAAATACCGGAGACTCTGGAGGAATAACGGGCGCTTAGAAAGGAGGCAGACCACAAGCCGGGTCAACAATGATGGGGGACGCTTTGGGATCTTCCGGACCCTGTAACCTTTCTGCTGGACAGGTAAACCTCTTTAATAAAGTAAACCAAGTGTCTGTAACAGAAGTGTTTCTTGTCAAACGGACCTGCTGCATGTTGTAGCGTCGCCAAACAGTTTACCTCGCGTCCTGGACTATGTCACTTTATCCTAGTTGTAGAAGTCCTGCAAACATTGTGTTTGCTGGTAGTCTGTTGGCATCTACAGTAGCACCAATGCTTTTTACTTTCATGTTGACTGGGCCCCATTTGTAATGATCTGAAGTATTTATCTGCATTATATCTGAATTTAATTGGAACGATACGATTGTTGGAGCAGAGAGGGAGGGGAGAGGAGGAGCTAAGAGGAAAACTGGTTGGGAGGGGTCGAGTTTACATTCAAGATTTCTCCCAAAAACAGGCACTTCCTTAGATCCTGCCTACCCCACCTTTAAAGAGAGTTATTAGTGAGGTTTAAAGCTGCAAAGGTCCCACATGTGATGAATGCACACCTGCATGCTGTTTCCTCAGCTCTGTTCCCAGCATCAATATGACCAAATAAGCTTCCAGACACAAACGGACAAACAGACACGCAAAGTAAGCGTCAACAGAGATCCTCATAAGGAGGTTTGGGGCTAAAAGCAGCATAAATATTGGATCTGCTTTCAACAGGTGGACAGAAACATCACCACGAAGAATGATAATATTTCTCCATGTCTGCCTGATGTGTAAATAGGCAGCTGTTTAGAAACACGCTTGGCATAATAACAACTAAAGGAGTATTCCAGGAAACATAAAAGTGATATTTACATGCAGTGTTACTCTGTTTGCCTCATTGTGCTCATCAGTGACGGGCAAAGTACACAAATATGTCGCATGACTTCAAGTATAAATACTCCAATATGAGAGAAAGTGTCTCAGTCAAATTGTTTGATTTTTACAATGCATGAGTTTAGTTGAGAGAAACATGAGCGTACATTCTGCCGTGTTGTTTTAATCTAGAAAATATGAACTTCAGAATAAGAGGGGCAGAGACAGGAGGAGCCAAAACAGCAGCAAAGAAAACCACAAATACAGACAGATTAGTTTAGAATGTTAATCTGGAATAAACGTTTAGTTTTAGGTAATGGTGAACTTCATGCACGGACATTTAAAACAACAAGATTCATTTTCATTTAGGAAAAACCTCAAACATGGACTTAAAATGCAGCCATCACCATGACTACAAAATAAACCTGCTGATCTTACTGACATTTGCACAGTCATAGAGATGCATCATATACAGGTATATCAGTATCATGCAGAGGTGTCTATCTGAAAGCACCTTCGCCTCTGGGGTCCAAAGGAAATGATAATATGGCCTTATAACTAGGGCCCGACCAGTATGGATTTTTTGGGGCCGATTTTAAAATTTTTATGAAGTTTTAAAATTTAGTTAATTGAAGTAATATATCTACATATTTACTTTTTCTTTAACAAATGGCTGCTTTGAGGCTTTTAAACACTTTGAAGAATTAAAGGTAGAAAATTCATTTCAAATCCTTTTTATTGCTAAAACAACTGAAAAAGAATGAGTTATTCAGTGTAAAGCGCAAACAGTTAACTTCCAACTCTTTTGGTCAAGGTGAAGTTGTCCCACACCTTGCTTTCTTTTGACATCTGTAAAAAACAAAAAGAAAAAAAAGAGAGAACAGCAAGTGTGCATTAAATATGCATTGTTTAAAAGAATCTGTCTCGTTATATATGGGCCATTTTCAAACTCATAGCCTACATTCAGCATTTTTCTTAGCTGTGTTTACACAATATGACTTACACTACAGCCCTGGCTATTTATTTTAACTGTAATAAAGATGTTAAACTAATTATTTCAGCTTATTATTCAGACTGTAGCAGGTGTGAGTCTGATTAATTTGTCGACCTCCATCTTGTCAAACTCACACACTCGTCATCCTCTAAATAAATAGCCGATATGAATAAATAAAAATAAAGCTAACTCATGCACATCATAAAAAATGAGGATCACTCGATATACTGTTTGTTACTGCTCTTCACGCCGACAGGAAGACCGACTGATCATCTCAATAATATTCCACGTTTTTCTCATGAATCAAACTCGGACTAAAAAACCGTTTTCAACTTTCATTGTTATCGTCAGAATGGCAAAACTTATCATGATAAATTTTTTAGCCTATATCGCCCATCCCTAGTCTGCACCAAACATGGGACTTAATTTCCTTTTCGTCAAATTTAAAGATTGTTTTTGTAAATGTCATCTCAGGCAGGAATTGGGTGTCAAGCTGCATAAACATTCTCAGTCTCTGGACAGCAGCAGGTGAAATGATTGTAAAGTCGATTAAAATACCCTGTTTCTATATTTGGTTTGTCACCCACACTGTATGTTAGCTCTGTGGTCCAGTCTTCCCGGCACTCACTCCAAGAATTTCCGTGTCGCGGCTGTCAGGAAGTCAGGAAGTTTGTGTTCTTCGCCAAACCTCATGTTACCGAGTCATATTTGAACTTGAACTCGTCCTCAGGCTTTCTCACATGACACGGTTTCAGCGGGGAACTGTGTCACTTCTTCACTTGAGAGTTCGGGAACAGAGGCTGGTGGATCCTGGAGGATTTGGCTCGGGAAGTTAGGGTGACTCAGGTCCCACGAGTCATGCTGCGGTGGGGACAAGACGTTCCCTCATCCTCAGAATGAGTCGGTGTATGTTTGATTCACATTCAGCAGTAACTGAGCTGATATTTCCCAGCCTGTCGACTTAAACCGTCTGACCAGGAAACTGCCATAATCCAGTCTGGATTAAGTCGAAGTGACCCGTCTGAGACCCTGAACTTCCTGCAGGAGGAGGAGCAGGAGCAGGATTTTAGTGTTTGTTCTGCTTTCTGTGTGTTTCTCATGTGAATCTCACCTCCCTCCTCAGATGGATGAGAGCAAAGATCGCCTTCACGTTCCTCAACACGGTTCCCACGGCAACTGGAGGATGCGGCCCTTCACCAGAGTGGCACTGAGCGCGCTCGGAGCCTCCCTCCTGCTGCTCCTCTATAAAGCTGCAGGTGGAGAGGTCCCTCTGCGGGTGTACAGGAGTTTTCTCTGAACAGCAGGGAGGTCGTGTTCGTCTGTTTGTTCATGAAGTCAAAAATTGGGTGATTGTTTCAAACGTCTGATTGTTTTAGGACTCGTTTTTTTGGTCTTTGCTGGAGCTTGTCTTTAAGTTTAATTTTGATTTTTATTTAAGTTTTAAGGGTTTGATTGAAGTTTCTTTTAAGGAACAGTTTCTTACTTTGTGAAATTAAGAGTGGAAAAAACTCCTGAATCTCTTTCAGTGCCTGCAGAAAATGTTAATAAAAATCCTCAAATTATGATCGAGAGCCTCAAATTCTAATTAACTTTTATTCTGTAATTTTGAGAACTCTCCTGTGAAGACGGAACAGAGAGGAAAGCAAGCCGGGATCTCTTCATATTTAAAGACAAAAATGTCATCCATCACTCGGAGCTTTAACCCATTGTATTGTTTTATCCGTATACAAACAGAAATGTAAAATCAACACAATGTGTCATACCAGGAGATATTTGCTGGAGCTGTTTCAGAGCGAGTTTTGTTGTCACTGCGGTGTCACCAAGCAACCGGCAATCATTACCTTTTGCTGCAGGTATGTATCAATCAGACCAGATACAACAAGCCAATTAGGGAGCTTGAAGAAATGTGAGTGGGTGTTTGTTTTTTAGAGAGAGCAAGACAAACTATTTCCAACATGTCCGGTCTTCATGCTGAGAGAGGCTAAGTGCATCCACTACGTAACAGTAACAAATATAAGCATTTCCATGATGATGATGTGAATTTTATAAAGCTGCGAATCCTTTTTATATCACAGACGGAAACATATATAAAAAAAACTTTTACTAATAACCACCTAAAATCCTTAAAAACTTAAAAATCTGTCGTCTTTGTGTTCCTAATTTAGCAGCTTAGTCCTTTAAAACAGCTTGGAGTAGATATTAGCAGGTTATATAATAGACTGAAATCAATATTAATGCCTTTATATGGTACACAATTAAACAAGACCATCAGCATAACGATGAACTGTTTCTACAGAGATATCTAAAATATCTGAAACTGCTGCACAGGGCAAGTGTCCTAAGGTAGGGCTGGGCGATAAACCAAAATATTACGGCTACCGAAATTTACGACCATAACTGACGTCATTTTGCTCGTGTCAATATGTTTGGTGTCAAAAAACTAAATAAAAGTTGGTTTTGGATGTGTGAAGGTAGGCTATCCCACTGCACAATGCGACGTCGAAATGATATCTGTTTAGCGTATTTTTTCGACGATGAGGTACAAATGTGGACGTCATTTCAACGTCTAAAAGAGGTCCAATAATGACGTCTAAATCTTGGATCAGTTTTGCACGTTGTGCCGACTTCTAGATTTGGTCTTCAGATGACGTACAAATTCTAAAAGTCCGAGTGACGTCTGAAAAAGGTCCAATTTGGGCTTCAAAATTTCTTTCCTATTTTGCACGTCGCACTGACGTCTAGATGTGGTCTTTGACGGGATCTGCATGTCTCTTCGACGTCTGATGTTTAGTGGGATGGTCTTGGTGACGTGACTCCACCCCATCCAGTCTGTAATAAAGAGGGAAAGACAGGTGAGGAGATGGAGGACAGTTCAAAAGTTGTAGCGGCTGAAGTTGACGAAGTTAATGTGGGAGGGGGTGAGCAGCTTGTGGAGTAGTTATTGTCCTTTTATTGTTATCAAGGTGAACTGCCATCGTGATATTGATTTGAGGCCGTATCGCCCAGCCCTATGACCCTAACCCCTCGCAGCATGACTCAATAGTGGCCACACACACACAAACACACCATATTTTGGTTTGGTGAAAAACTTCCTTTAATTTAGGACATCCAGTGACCAACAGAGATGAGTGGCACGAGTCTGCAGTCTTCATGCAGGAACATCGTTTAGACATTTTAATTTTGGTCTTTATTTGTGTCATCTGAAACATTTTGGGGACATTTTTCAGACTTGCCTTTAGGGGGCTCCACACAGCAGGACTCCCTAACCTGCTTAATAAGGCTGCTCAATATATCGTGATATTGATTTGAGGCCATATTGCCCAGCCCTATAATAAACTTAACTGCTAAAATAGAGCAGGATGATGTTTTTTGTTAATAGAACGCTGTTATATTTGCTGAAACTTAAGAGTAATATGACAAGAGCTACCACTTTGTCCACAAGGGGGCACCAAAACTGACTCTAACCTAGAATTCAATGAATGCAACTATCTTAGATGACTTAATCTAATTCATGGTGAATTTTGTCTTCTACACAAAGCTCAACAAGTGACTTTCCTCCACAGTGGTGATATTAGATAGAAAACACAAGCTAAGCCCTTCAGATGAGGCAGTGAAGTGCAGTGATCCGTCTCCATGTGATCTGGTGAGGCAGTGAACAGTTCCTGCCAATTAAATCGACTTTATATTTCTGACTTACAGCAACTTCTACTGCAACAACTGAGTCGTGTCCAATGGGCTGAGAAGTGCAGGAAGAGCGCTTACAAATCTCCTTGTTGTTTTATGGTTTTCTTCCACGGGGATCATGGGGAAAAAATCCAATTTGCCCATTAATCTCATCTGGTCAGGGTCTCCGGACCTCCAGATACACCCGGAGCAGATCAAAGATGGAGGAAATCCCGTGTGACAGTGGTACAGATTTCCCCGTGAGACTTCAAAAAGACCAGGAGAGATAATCCAATTGAAATGGACACATCACCTTTAGGTGCTGGTTTGGGAGAACCAGTGAGGAACTTTTTTTTTTTTTTTCATGGCCTATTTTTTTCAGGACCATCAGATTCCTGAGTTATTAGTTGGGCTTAGTGATGGTTTGTATAAGGCTGTAAAATAACAGTGCGTCATGCTGAAGTATTTGGCACCTGAACGTCAGAGAGGTATGGGCAGAGTCTCACTTTTTTAGGAAATCCATATTTTGTTAAAAGATTCGGCCTTAATAAACAAAAAAGAGAAAATCTATGATGGGAAGTAGTTATGTAAGGGTTTGTAACCGATAAATGATCATCTCTGAGGCCAGGATACCGTGCGTAAAACTTGGACCATGTGCTAGAAAAACTATCTTCTCCCTCTGAAATTCGCTGCTTCCACATTGCACAATTTCTAGCGGGGTCGTGCGTGTTTTTCCGGTGGCTGACACTTTCTCAGAGCTCAGAGAGTCCTCTCCTCCTTCCCTGAACGCGTCGTCTGTGCAGTTGGAGTTGGAGTGAAGCGCCTCTTCTTCTTCTTCTTCTTCTTCGTCTTCTTCTTCAGCAGTAGCAGCTTGGTCCACTTCTCCAGGAGGGAGAGAGGAGAGAGCCGCGGAGCTTCGGTCTGGACGCGGGCCAAGCCTGTCTGGTGTCAAACCAGCCTGAACAGATACTCTCAGACATCTCATTTCTTCACCTCATTCCTGAGACGGGACTCTGCCCACCCCTTGTGTAAAGCAATTTAAACCTGATAGCTCATCATCTCCACTGAAAATATTTGCTGGACTATTAAGAGTCTCTCTTCACTTTTCTCCCTCAGATGCACTTTGCCACCGTGCAGAGCCAGAGCCAGAGCCGGGCATGGCTTTTACGCGCAGACCTCCGTCCTCAGACCCTCCTGTTGTGAAGATCCTTTTTTAATCTCCGCGTATTTTTTTTGGATACACACCAACCCTTACCTTTTTTCTTTTGAATGTTTTATATTTTTTTTTCAACTTCAACACGTGGAAATGTTCCGTCCAGATCCATAAAGGAGCAACTTTTGGTTTAATATGAACTTATTGCCAAGTGGAATATGTTTTTATTTATCTGTAGCAATCTGCTGGCTGATGGCCGAGGTCGATGCGTCCTGGTGGTGAGTACAGCGTGGATTTTTTTCACATCTCCAGAAAAAAAGTGCAAAAAAAAAGTATTTTCTCTGGAAAATCAACGTGCACGTTTAACGCCACGTGCGTAAAAATGCGTTTAAACAAATTGAAAGTCTTGATTTATCCTTCAGTCTCAACACGGCTTCTTTAATTAGTGTGAAATTATCGCTTGTTTGGATCACGTTTCAAATGGTTTCTTAACTACTGTCTACAGACATTTCCCACAGATAAAGTAACCTAATTCCCCCCTTTAGTTTACATTTCTCTGCTTTAAAAATACTGAGGTTAAAGGCGGAGTTTTTTTGGACAGCTGCTTCTCCAAGATCAAGTCATTCAATATGATTTAATTTCTTTTTTATTTGCTTTCTTTCTCTTCAATATTTAATAAATCCAGAGATACTGTTTCCATATTCTGAGGAGGAATACTGAGGTGCGGTTTGAGGCTGCGAGTTTCTCCCTCCAGCTTTAATCAAATTATAGAAAAGTCCCTGCTGTCTGTTCTGACTCCATGTCAGTCTCCAGGAGCTTGTTCTGCAGTTTGCAGCTGATTTATCTGGGGATTTGTAAAGAAGACACATCTGCTTTGTTTTGACATTATCTGAAGTGGAAAGGTTTAATCTGCAGATAAACTTTAAAGTGTTTTTGATCAAGGTTTCTTTGATCCTCCACCCCTGCAGGTACATGGGCACCCTGGGCTCTCAGGTGATGTGCGACAACATCCCCGGTCTGGTGAACAAGCAGCGCCAGCTGTGTCGCCAGCACCCGAAGGTGATGCAGGCCATCGGGGCCGGGATCAAGGACTGGATCTCAGAGTGCCAGCACCAATTCCGCAACCACCGCTGGAACTGCAACACCACGGCCAGGGACCACAACCTGTTCGGACGGCTGCTTCTGCGCAGTGAGTTGAAACTTCACCAACCTCAGACTGTGAGACAGAGTCCGATAGTCAAGGCTGCTTGTTTCCATGATTCTGTCCCATCTATTTGTTGAGTCCTCAGTGTCTCCAGGTGGGATGTATCCTGGGCAAACTAAGACAAAACAAAAGAATACAATCAAAATACAGTTTACACGCCGTCTTACACATTAGATTACCAACATCAGGACAAACACACATGACCTCTAATCCTTCAGGAGGACATTTAGTGAAAAATGAACCAAATATAGATCAAGTTTTAGGGATTAGTGAAGAGGGAATCACATTACTGTGGGCTGTGAGCTTTTGTGGGTCAGTCTCAAATCACATGTCCATCTCAGAGGATAGTTTTATTAAATGAAGGATATAAGATCATTTTTATTGCCTCTGTTGACATAAAATGTAAGTATAGTCTTGATAGCTGAGTCCTTAATGAATTGGGATCAGCTGATCATCGTCTTTTAAAGAACTTATTGTGTCTTGTCTCTTCACACCTGTTGTAAACAACGTGAAACGCAGACTTAAGCACAAAAACAGTGGTCTGCATGAGGCGTATTAAACATGATATAAGGACTTGAGGGGCTGTCAACGCTGCATGAACTAAGAATAGAAAGTTAGTGACTCCATCGCCTGCAGCTGTATACAGTATCCGCCGGTTTGTGTTCCCAGGTCTTTGTCCGCTGACACTGAATACCTCCGTGATTGTGGAGGTATTGCGTCGGATCTGTTTGACAAATCTAAGCGCACGGTAACTCCGCGGAGTGTGTTGCGGTTTATTTGCATTGCCGAGCCCGTCTGAGATAGAGTGAGTTCACTTGCAGATGTGCTCTTCTTCTTTTTTTTTCTCTCTGACAGAGGTTGGATTGCATTCCACGCCTCGTCTCACTTTACAGTTTCACATTTATCACACAGAGGAGCAGCTGACTGGTTTCTCTGTTTTATCTTTGATAGGGGCCAAAGAGTTCCTCAGTGGGGGTTTTTAGACGAATATTGGAGTTTGATCAGGTCGGTTCGGTGCAGTAAAGATTTCTGAGGAGAAGCACTATTGTCCCTCTGATTCAGATCTATCATGACAAATCTCATGTTTACGTTACATCCACTTCAGCTACTGTCACAGTGGGCTGATCACTCTCCTCTCAGCCCATTGGAATGAGATATGGTAGAAAATTTTGGGCCTTTTCAAAGTAAAAGTAATCCCCTCACTTTGAAGATCCCTGCTGCGTCATTAGCACTGTTTATCTTCTCAGGAGAAAAGACTTGATCGATGAAGCTTTTTGCGGTCCGTTCTGAAGATGCAAAGTGCAAAATAGTGTCATGAAGAGTGTGACGGATGACGACTCCTCTCCGGGAGTAATTAGTCGGTGTGATTAGCAGTATTAGAGGCTGGAGTGATGAACTGATAATGAGCAGCGGTAAGCAGATGTACGTTCTGCACAGAAGCATCCTGTCAAATCAGACGTGTCGCTGAGCGTCTTCTCAGCAGATAAACCCGGCCTGTGGTTCCTGCAGGAACATGCTGGAACAGGTCCTAATCTTTTTTTATTGCCACTGGAGGATCACCAGGACCCGGCGGCCTGATGTTCCTCTCCCATGCCCTGAGATTTAACCTGCGAGGCGGATCCTTCGACTTAGTCTGTTTCATGTCGGGGGGCCTCTAATCAGTCGTGTGGTATTCGGACCTCCCAGCCCGGGCCCCCGCTGTGTCACACAGCATTACCACGGTGCGTCCAAACCCCCCCTCCTCTGTCAGAAGCTCCTTATTGTCAATGTCAGCGGGCTAATTTCAAACAATTACACAGGAGTTTCACTTCTCTGGTGTCGTGTTCTCTCAGCGTTCTCCTCATTAACCTCGTTAGACACGCTCAACTTAGCTACCGGACTCACACACACTCATCCGTGCACTGAAGAGACCGCTGTACGGGTCTGTGTACCACCGAGAGTTTACCTGCTGACTTTCATGAACTTGAAGAAGTTTCTACTTTACACAAGCAGCTGTTAGAAAACTTTGCTGAAGTAAAACAGCACTTTTATTTTGGAGAGGAAGTAAAAGTCAAAATACAAAGATTTTAATTTGAAACTGAAAGACACCTTTTGGTTTTTGAGCGGTTTGAAGAAGGTTACAGATATAAAGCTGTCAAGAGATCAGCATTAACGAAAATCACCATTACAATCATACTGTGAAATTTATTTAATGAGTGTAACCATAAAAAGGCAAAACAAGAGTGGAACAACATACTAAATATGCTCTTAATTTAACCTACATGTTACTATTTCTAGTTATGTGCAAATTTATGTTTCACCCTCATCACCGGCCGTGTAATCTCATAAAATGATTGTTATTGTTTCAGTCTCACCTCTGAGTTGCTTCATTTCCTACATTGAAAATTTATGCTTTTATTTTGAAGTGTAAGCTACTAGGGCTGAGAGAAAAAATCGATTTACATAAGTATCGCGATTTTTTGTTGTACAACTTTTAAATTGATTTTAATGTTCAAAAATGTTTTTTTCTTTTTTCAAATTTAAGAACAATGTACATTATATAAACAAGTGTTATCTTACCTCAGACACACGGCTAGTCGCTGCTCCGGGTCAATCGGCGACCTGAAATTTGTCAAAATTTGCCTCAGAATATTTCGTAATTTCGCGTTGTATATTTGCATCATTCCCGGTATTTAAGGACCTTTACATGTGATGTGTATTTTTTGGGAAATATGGTTCCTGTAATAGTCAGTAGACAATCATAATAATTCAACTGTTTCACTGGTGTTAAAAATGCTGACTAAAAATCGAGAAAGTCAACAATATCGTAGAATCGCAATTAAAATCAAATCAGCATCCAAAAAATTGTAGGAAAATCAAATCGGGAAAAAACATGTCATCCCAGCCCGATAAACTACTGTAGGTAGATCATAAGTTACATGACTGAATAAAAAAGAACGGTTGGAAAATGTTAAATTGAAAAGTAACCTGAAGAGGCGCCTGCTCTACAGTTGCATTTGGATTCACAGTAAATCAGGATTTCTGTTTTTTAAAGTGCAAAATCAACTTTTAGAGAGCTGCGTCTTCTTCGTCTCTTATCAGTTTTATTTTATTTGGCGACCCGCTTCAAAAATCTTATTTTTAGCATAAGATTTTTCGTATTTCACACCACGAGACTCAAGCGTAGAAATGAAACCACGTCATTATCAGCTCCTCTGCAAAGTTATGTCAGCATTATTGTTTTTTTAAGACATGGTAACAGACTTGGACTTTTTTAAAGTTTAGTCGTCTATAACAAGGAAACTTTGTTCTCACTTTTACACTGTGCCTTTGTATAAATGTGGACATTGTGCCTCCATCATCGTCTCCCAGAGCGAGACATGAAGCCAAAGATCTACCTTGACGGGTGCTGACTCATCATACCAGTCAAACCAAAGAATGCACACGGGCGATCTGACTGGTCGAGCCATTGAGCTGACATCATACCCTGACCACCAACCAAAACACATTTTTGATGCACAGATAAAATGTCTGGAGATCCTTTAGAGTCCACCGCAGAACAGATGATTGTCTTATTTTGAAGCAGATACTCATGGTTTTTGGAAGTTCAGTGTCCTCGAGTTTTCCTCCTGTAAAAATTTGTCAACGGAGCTGTCAATCAATCAATTTATTATTATTACTAACACACAAAAGTACATCGACATGACCTGTGACTTGCAAATGACACTGTCCTTAAAGGGATATTCCGGCATAAAATTAATTTAAGGTCAATCACAGCGTAACACCGAGTTAGACACCCTCTCGAGGGATAAATGTTGCCGACCACTTGCTCCTTTTTTTATTTCTTTATCATTTCTTTGAAGTAAAAATCACCATATTCGTCATTTTACACTGCAGACGCGGTAGTTCTTCTGCATCTCGGTTTGATTGCATTTCCCTTGAAGAAATAATCATAAATGTTCTTCCTTGAGCTGCGTCACCCGCTAGAGTCCGTAATGGACTGGCCTGAGGTCTCGCTACAAACAAGTGGCTGCTGGAAGAGAGTAGGTGACTTGTGTTTAGTCTCTTTGCTAAAGAAATTAGGCAAAGTTAAAAAGATGTTTGGTGGCTAGTACTATGTCTGGGACCCTGTCTGTCCTGTTGATGAAGTTAGGTGCTGTTCTGAGCATTATTTGTGGCTATAGAGTGGCGTTTACGTCGAGGTTTGTTTATGGCTCCTCAGACTGCTGTGTATTGCTATCGTGCGGTCGTTACTAAAGTTGGTATAACTAGAGAAGCAAGCGGTCGGCAACATACATCTCTCGAGGGGTTGTCTAACTCGGTGTTACGGTGTGTTTGACAGCTGGAATACCCCTTTAATCCATCCGATCACTGTGCGGTCATCATTTCTTGACCTCTACCTCGACATCTTGCGACCTCCACCTCAGCATCTGGTCTACGGTACATCCAGTCTACGAGATAAAAGACCTTACAGCTAAAAATATTTCTGACGTGAAAGATTCACCTCTTTCATTTGAGATAGTTTTGTATCAGCGCTTACACACACACACACACACACACACACACACACACACACACACACACACACACACACACCCTTTGATCTCCCATCAGTTACATGTGGAGGCAGATAAGCGCTCTCCTATCAGGGCTCTGCTGGTAAACGTTGGCTGTTTATCCAGTCTGGAGGTAGATGAAGCGTTTTTCATTTCATGCCTCACATGAAATAAAAGTTGTGTGCAGATAAAAACAAACAGGAATCATACAGGTAGCTGCTCTGGCCAAACATTTGAAGATTCTCTCCGGCTTCATTTTGCTCTCAGCTCGTATTGGGAAACGAGATCAATAAGAGATAAAGATTGTTATGTTAGATTTGCATCTGATCTCACTACACTGGAGTTACTGATGTAGAGAATCGCATCGCTGAATGTTAGTTTTTTTGCTTCTTTTTGATCAAACATTGAGATGAAAACGTGAGGAAAAATGTGAAATAAGTACGGAGAAGTTCTTGTCTGATAGCTCTAAAAGAAAACACATTTATTAGTAGTTATCTTTACTCCCACAAAGCGGTTTCTACCTTTGTTTCGAACCTTTTCCTCCTCGTCCAAATCATTTCTCCCTCTCCCCTCAGGTAGCCGTGAGGTGGCCTTCATGTACGCCATCTCCTCAGCAGGCGTGGTTTACACTTTGGCACGAGCCTGCAGCCAGGGGGATCTGGACTCCTGCTCCTGCGATCCCACCAAGAAGGGTTCGTCAGTGGACGCCAAGGGCTCCTTCGACTGGGGCGGCTGCAGCGACCACGTGGAGTACGCCATGCGATTCACTCAGGCTTTCGTGGACGCCAAGGAGAGGAAGGAGAGGGACGCGCGGGCGCTCATGAACTTGCACAACAACAGAGCCGGCAGGAAGGTGAGGAGGAGACGATCGTCTGAGCGTCTGTTGAAGTTGATCAAATATTGTATCGTGTGTTTTTGTATTAGATGATTAGAGTTTATCAGTAATCATAAATACCAACCTTTAGGTAGTCATGGATACTTACAGGTACAGGTGTCTGAAACGTCCTTCCTGTTTCCTCTCCGTCCAGGCGGTGAAGCGCTTCATGACCCTGGAGTGTAAATGTCACGGTGTCAGCGGCTCCTGCAGCGTTCGGACTTGCTGGTTGGCCATGGCCGACTTCAGGCGCACCGGCGACCACCTTCGCAAGCGGTATAACGGCGCCGTGCAGGTGGCCGTCAACCAATACGGCACTGGGTTCACGACCGCGCACACACACTTCAAACGACCCAGCAAGAACGACCTGGTGTATTTCGAGGACTCGCCAGACTACTGCATACGGGACCACGAGTCAGGTAAACAAGAGTAGACCTTCAGAGTGAGTCTCTGTAGGTGATGAGACGACTCTATCATATATTAGGGCTGGGCGATATGGCCTCAAATCAACATCATGATATATTGAGCAGTTCACCTCGATAACGATAAATGGACGATAACTACTCCACAAGCTGCTCACCCCCTCCCATATTAACTTCATCTACTTTAGTCGCTACAACTTTTGAACCGTCCTCCATCTCCGATGAAGGACAGCGTCTTAAAGGGACATAAGACAATGACCTACCTACACACATCCAAAGCCAGATTTTATTTATTTATCTATTTTTTTGACACTGAATATACCAATATGGGCAAAATGACGTCGGTTATGGTCGTAAATTTCGATATCGGTAAATTTTCGGTTTCTCGCCCAGCCCTATATTATGACACCTTCCCCAGGCAGCAGTTATAGATATTTAAGATGTCTCTGTAGAAACAGTCCATCATTAGGCTGATGGTCTTGTTTAATAGTATAGGCCATATAAAGGCATTAATACTGATTTCAGTCTATTATGTAACCTGCTAATATCTACGTTAAGATGCTTTAAAGGACTAAGCTGCTAAATTAGAAACACAAAGACGACAGATTTTTGAGTTTTTAGGATTTTAAGTGGTTATTAGTAAAAAATTGTTCTTGATGTTTCTGCCTGTGATGTATCATCATGGAATCGTCTACTTCAGCCGCCGCTACAACTTTTGAACCGTCCTCCATCTCTGACGTACGACAGCGTCTTAAAGGGACATGAGAACATAGCCTACTTACACACATCCAAAACCAACTTTTATTTATTGATTTATTTATTTATTTTTGATCCCGAAAATGTTGACATGACGTCGCTTATTGTAACTTTTGGCATCGGTACATTTTCGGTTTATCGCCCAGCCCTATCATAAACTGTGTAAAAGCATGCAGGCCTCTAAAGCAGCATGTCTCTCAGTGTGTGAAATCTGTGTTTACATATGTGAGGCTCTGAACAGGACAGTGAGTGTGAGAAAGAAAATGTTTGTGTATGAAATCTGTGAGAGTGAAGAGTGTGTGTGTGTGTGTGTGTGTGTTCCTGAGGAGCTGTGTATGCCTGTCAGGCAGCAGATGATCCGTGGCGATCGGGTGTCGGCCAGTTTAAGACCCATTACACACTTCTGTGGGCTGAAACTTTAGAACGCCGCGGATCACTATAAATCACCACCGCACACACTTGCACACACACTTGCACACACACTTGCACACACACACACGCACCTGAGGGCACGACTGGCCTGCAAAGAGAGGCAGATTTCAGGGTAGGGCTTTATCACACACCCCGATACACCATAACAACAATCAGACATACATTAGAGAAGTTTTAACGTGTGTTTTCTGTCGTCGTCGTTTGTTCAGCGAGAAAAATAAGAAGTCTACCAAAGGTTTTAACTTGCGTGATCAAAATTCGCTTTGGTTTGTTTTTTGTCGGAGCAGAGGATGAGTCAAACCTGGGAACGGTCTGTCACGGGACAGTGTCATGTATTCAGTGAGCTGTAGGAGTTATCAGGCACAGTCATGGTCCTTTAGGGGGTTTTATGACCCGAAAGAGGCGTGAAGAATCTGTAGAGGCATGGTTTTAATTTAGAGGGCGAGAAGAAGAAGACGGTTTCCTGCTCGGAGATAAAAGCCAAGGGATTGTATTTTAGTCTTTGAGTTTGGAGGTTAAATCGTGATGTTAAAGCTTTTCCATCACCGTCTCACCGTCTTTTGACTCGTGATCATCTCACTGAAGTTTGAACTTTGAGGTCAGGAAATAGGAAACGATAGTGATGCAAGAAAATTGGTGTCTGTATTGGCGCCTGAAGCCGTTATCGGGGTGAAGCACATTGACTTAGCAGCCTTTTACCCTCATTTCTTCTTCAAGATCAGAAAAAGTTAGAAGATGTTTGTCTTGACCCACAGGAGACCTAAAATAGATACAAACCCACAATTCCTCGTAGAAGATTCAGAGGTACTTCAGGGTTGTAACAGGCTGCATCGGTTGGATTTGTTTGGTTGTGACTGAGACCACGTTTCCACGTGTCTGGCTATTTTCATAAACAGAATTTTAACTTGGGTGAAGTCCACGTTTGCCAGTCAGAATCCAGCATAGCAGCGACAACGACAACAACAACTTCCCTTCCTTTTTTCCTGCACACAATCTGCCATTTTTCAGAGTTTTCCAAAATCTCCACTTTTTAAGAAGCATCATTTTCAGGTGCGAATCCTCTGTGTGCATCTAAACGAAGGGTGCAAGCGATGGTTAATGTCTCCGTTTTTGAAAATAACCGGGTACGTATAAACAGGGCTTGAGTGAAATCGCAGTTTTCTGTTTTAATCACCCACTCTGTCACTTGTGTGTTGTCTGCATTTGAAGTTGTGTTGAGAAGTTTCATAAGACATTGTGAACAATCTTTGTCTTAGTTTGTAAAGCTGGTAGAGAAAGGATAAAGCAGATACTGGATCAGATTTGACAGGTTTGTAAGGGCAGGATAGGCAACTCAAAAAACTCAAATAAAGTAGGGTGATCACATGTCCTCTTTTTTTGGGAGTTGTCTGGCTTTGTCTGGGGAAGTTTATAAAATCTTTTAAATGTCTGCGGTTTTGTATGAAGGTTTTGAGTTTGTGTCACGTGGACTTACTGAGTTAGAAGCGCGTTAAAGACACTCGATCTGACCTGAAAAACTCTTGAAATTAACTTCGTCTGTGACTCTGTGACTCCCTTCCTTCGTAGTTATGTCCATTTTGGGGGGATTCAGAATATGGTCATCCTAAATAAAGTCGTAATTCAATAAAAGTGTAGATTTGTTTGTGTCTGCTCCCACCCTGTAGCTCCCACATGCAGACAACAGTGGTCCAGGAAAAGGGAGTTAAATAATGTCTCTTTCGGTGCGAATATTTACCAGCTATGAGGCGTGCAGCCCCTCGAAAATTGGCGCCTGACAGGACGAATCTCAGACCCTGCATTTTAATTCTTGTTCTTATTTATGGAGGCCTTACTAGAGGGTTGCAAATTAATTTCTGCTAGAAACCTGTTGCATGGCATCTACTTTGTATGCAATGAAACATCACAGAAATTAATCAATTTTAAAACAGTTAAGCGTAGAAAATAATCTGTATTTGATTGATCGTCAAAGACAGTAATGATTAGCTGGATTTCGGCGGTCTAACATGGCCTCACGGGCTTCCTTAATCCCTCGCGCTGAAATACTTGCAACCTTCTGATGCGTCTCTGGAGATCTCAGGGCCTCCCTTTGGTGATCTGTGGAGGCTTCAACAGCAGACGGGGAAGGCTCTCTGTGCTGTGTACATGTAAGCAGAGTGGGCTGACACACACTCAGAGTGTTCACCCACAGCGTCTCATGAGAACCCGACTCACTGCCTCCCTAAAGACACAGAAACATGACGTGTGCGGCACCTGAATTCAAACACACTTTTTTTACAACCTTGATGCACTTATTCAGTCGTCTTTAGAAAAACCTCTCAGACATGCAAACTCATCCTCAGTCTTCCTGGTAACACACACACCCACTCTCTCACACACACACACACAGAGTCCACAGAGACAGGGAGACAGCCCCTCTGTGCCTCTTTAAAGTGTGAAATCAATTTCCCTTGGCCCCGGCGAGGCTCAGGTGCTAAACTCATCTCTCGGCGCCCCCTCATCTTAATTCAATAAGCAGACGCAGGGAGAGCGAGGAAGACTCTGGCCGTGATGTCATCCCAAGCAGGGCAGGCATACCGCAGATGACGGGCAGGCGTTCAGCCAGAATGGGGCGGGGCTTCAGGTCAAGCCCAGACATATTACCTGGAGAGAGGACGGTGAGGAGACGTCGTCGTTCCCTCAGAGCGGAGCAGAATGTAAACACGAGCAAATTCCAGAACAGCGTTCGAGACGGTACTTGAAGCTAGCGCAGGATTTTTTTTTTTTCCCCTCAAACTTTATTTATACAGGAGAAGAAGAAGAAGAAGAGAGGTGAAGTCAGACACACACACGTGTTCCTCCTCAGAAACACTCAGAGATCAGAGTCAGACAGTAACAAGTCAGTCACACCAAACTCTGCGAACTCCACATCAGCAGAAGAAACAAGTCCAGGATTATCACCGAGCAGAGAGAGTCAGGCTGGTTAGGGTTTTAAAAACTTCATCAAAAGTAGTTTATCATCTTTCTGACTGTTACCACTTCAACTTATTATTTATTGTGAATGTTTTTTCCATTATTATAAATATCGTCTTTTTATATTTACTATCCTGTTTCCTGCTTTTTACCCCTCTTTTTTACAACGTTTCTTTTTCTTACCTATGTTATGTTTTTATTTTGGTCCTCATGGTCTCATTTTATGTTGCAGGGTTCTTGTCTTGTCTGGGTTCCTTATGACAAATGAACTTGGTGCTCAATTCTGAGGCCTCGTTTTAAACTGAGTTTTTGTTTTTTAATTTTTTTTATTTCCCTGTGCTGATCATAGACTGTTTATACTACGGACAACTTGGTTCCACCTCCCGCCTGTATACAGATTTGAAGCCAAAAGCTCTCGGTATTTGCACGATTTTTCTTCATTTCCTGAAACCACCACTTGCGCAGTAGCGTTGTACGCATTCAGCGGGAGTCGCTGTGATGACGCTCGGCTCAAACAGCGTATCCCCCGGGTGAGCTACGCAATCCCTGAACACCAGTAGGCTGTATCAGGTGTCAATCAAAGAAAACATGAACCCTCTAATAACTTTTAAAAATGGAGCCGCACAGAAAAAAGAGGACTTGAACACAAACCAGTCTTACTGTAACTACATGTCAACATCACAACCAGGGGGAGAAAAATTTATGTTCTGTGTAATAAATTTCTAAAGTTTGTCCACAGCTCCATCGGGATTGCTGGAGGAGGCGGGATTTATGACCTGTACTGCAGCTCGTCACCAGAGGGTGCTTCACCCAGCAAGGAGGCAGACAGCGTCCATTCTGTATACAGTCTATGGTGCTGATGTTCTGTGCTTTACGGCTGTTTGTCAAAGCACTTTGTAAACTTTGTTTTCAAAAGCTATAAAAATAAAATGTTATTACTTTTATTATTTTTCGGGAATGATAAAAAGAGACATTTTTAAAGCCTCTCGCAGCATTCCAGGTTTTAAAAATTACAATCTAAAGATCGTGGAGCTTGTCACTGACGGTTTTGTTTGTTTTTGTGTATCATAAAAAAAGCATCAATATGAAATTTTGCTGATTTCATGAAAAAGAAAAAGCTTTAACCTTTGAAAGGTCAAAAGTAAATTTAACTAAAAGCCAGAGAAATCCTTCAAATGTCTAAAATATGATATTAATTAATCCAAAGGTATTTAAAGAGATTGATTGGTAATGTTCAAATCTATGCAGCACAGGAAAGTCCTCTTAGTGAAGGTCACTGACAACCTCTCTTTTTAACATGACCTAAATACTTAATTTAAAGAATAAAGTTAGGAATCAGACAAACTTTAACTTTTTTGTTTTTAAAAGTTGTAAAAAAATATATACATGTGCCCAGACCAGAGCTTAAACTTTTACATTTGTGTCAAATCTAAACAAATTCAGAGTATTTTTGGTTTGGTCAAAACAGATCAAAACAAAGCTTTCATGATTGTTACGTGAAGCACAATTATGGTCGTCACAGGCTGCCGTAGTTTAATTAAAACTCAAATTACTGCTTATCTGTTTACTAGTTTGTTTTATTAGATTTTGCTTGTGGACAGAGAGTGTGTGTGGTCCGCTTCAGGTTCAGGGGAAAGTGACAGTGAACCATCAGTGTGAGGGGATAGTGTGTGTGTGTGTGTGTGTGATGTCTCCTGTAAAATGAACAGCTGATGAAGACTTGGAGTGCGGGCTGACAGCTCCTATCATCAATCCCTCATCTCTCTCCCATCTAGTGCTCATCATCTTACTCACCCCTAAACCCCCTCCTCACCCGCTCTGTCTCCGCCTTAAACTGCGCTCTCATTGGCTCCTAATGTCCTTTAAAAACACTCCTGATTGGCCGCGTTGTTACTGATGTATGACATCTTCTGGAAAAAAGGAGCGTAGATTAGTGAAATGTTCCTTTAAAACTCGCTTACCCTTTTTTTATTTTCAGGGTCGATGGGGACAGCGGGTCGAGTCTGTAACCGAACATCCCGTGGCGTGGATGGCTGCGAGGTCATGTGCTGTGGGCGGGGCTACGACACATCACGAATCAGCAGGACCACCAAGTGCGAGTGCAAGTTCCACTGGTGCTGCGCCGTGCACTGCCGAGACTGCAACCAACAGGTCGACGTGCACACCTGTAAAGGCCAGACGTGACCTCGCCACACCCGGACACTACTGACCAATCACGTTAAAGCAGCGTTCACACCGTGTAAAAGCCACCGCCACCGTGCAGAGTTCTGACTGGTCGTTTTCTGATGACTTGTTTCTAATCGTGTGAGTTTGTGTGGCGTTGACGTTCCTCCAGGTAGAGTTTCTCTTTTCTTTCAGCCGTGCTGTATTTATGCTGCTCATGCTAATCACACGCCTCCATATTTAAAGTCTTACAGATGATTTAGGCGGGATTTGGGATTTGTTAAAAGTCGACCTTACGGTGGCCGAGAAACGCCACTGCTGCAAATAAAAGAGAATGCAAAAAAAGAAGCCACAACGGAAGTTATTGATTCAAAAAAAAAAAAAAAGTGGCCAAGCAAAAAACAAAAAAGTTACTTACTGTGAGAATAAAAGGATGCAAATAAAAAAGTGGAAAAAAACAAACAAACAAAAAAAAACAATAATGATGATGCACCGGTGTTTTACGATCTAGCCACAGAAGACGATGGAGAGAGGACGAGCAAAGAAGTAAGTAACAAGGTTATTGTTTAGTTTCACTTCATGTGCTTTTCAATGTGTCGTTTGGTTAGACCATGTTGCGCCTGAGTCGATGTGAAGTTGAAGCGGAGGATGCCGGTGTAGTGTTAGCTTTGACCAACACGGGAAAACCACTATGCCCAGAAAGACCACCCACGAGAGGAGAATTGAGTTTGGTTGCTGTACTCATAGAAAAAAGTACGCAGACCCCTCGCTTTCTTTTCATTATTGGTCCCCGGCAGCTCACTTCCACTGTGGCTTTTTTTAATTGCATCCTTTTGTTTTCACAGTAAGTAACTATTTATCCTTTTTTTGCATCACCTTTTTTTTTTCATCATTAGCCTCTATTTTTTTTTTTTTTAATTTGCTGCCGGCTCCGGTTTCTTTGTTTTTTCATCAGTAACTTCCGTGTGACTTTTTTTATTTGCATCCTTTTATTTTCACAGTAAGTCACTTTCTTTTTTTTTGCATCACCACTTTTTTGTGTGTCATTAACTTCTGTTGTTGCTTTAAAAAAAAAAAAAAAAAAAACCTGCACCGTTTTTTTTTTTTTTTTAAATCTGCAGCGGGCTTCGGTTTCCTTATTTTTTCATCGATAACTTCAGTTGTAGTTTCTTTTTTTTGCATTCTATTTTTATTTGCAGCAGTGGCGTTTCTCGGCCACCGTAGCACCTGACTTGCAAAGCAACAGCAGGATTGTAAACTACATTTTTCCAGACTAAGACTTCATTATGTCAGATGCACCGAATTGGTAACTGCAAGCAAAATGTGACCGAGTCTAGATGAGAAACTGGGTCAAGAGAATGATGAAGGGTCAGGTAACACCGGTGTATACTGGCTGAGCAACATCTTTAGTTTATATACATAATGGTAGCACTTAGGTTAAAGCACAAAAACAGATGTTAGAACTGCAGCAGCTATTAGTTCACTTACCTGTAGGTGGCGACATCCACATATCTACATGTGCAGCAGTGCAGACTTCCAAGACCTGTGGGACCAGAACGAGACCAGAAACTGTCTCTGCAGCTGGATTATATGTTAGCTGACTGGATCTACTGAAAACTAACCAATCAATACATTCACATTTAAAGATGTGTTTTTTTTAACAAACACACTTGAGCAGAAAGGTTCTCGAATCAGTTTAATCGACTTTGGATTCAAATTAAACTAAAACCAGCTTCTCTTTCTGCTCACCTGTCCTCCTGAGATGTAAATCATCCTGTTTCTTCTCTTATTTCTTGTATTTATTTACCTGCCAGTGTGCTAAAATGTCTGACCTGTGTATTGAAAAGATGTTTGTCACATGTTGAAAGAAAAAAAAAAAACCCTGTACGACTGCACTCTGAATAAATGACTCACTACATCACTCGCAGCATGTGTCGATAATCTGTAACCTCCAGGCACGCTGACATTCAAACCCTGAGCTCAGTTTAGATCAACAGCTCGGGTTGCTGTGAGGATCTTCTGGTTTATCTGGAATTTGGCACCCCCTGTGGACAAAGTGACATCGCTCACTCTTGTCTCAAACTCATTCAGTGTCAGGTTAATTTATGCAATTTTCACCCAGTGCCACTATTGACCACAATAGAAATTTCCGTATCTTTCAGGACCCGCAGAATATCTTGTGTTTGGACTAGATTTAAGTGCAGTATCTCAAAAGAAAGAGGTGATTCTCTTCTTTCCTCAGAAAAAAAGTTAGTCTCTAACCCACTCCTGTGTTTGGTTATTGCCTGCTCAATGCAGCATGGTCATATCGTTTTTGACGATCCAGAAGAAGAAACCTGGGAAAAACACATTTTTACGAAATAGAGACTTTCAAGCAGAAAACTCTGATCGTCTTTTTCATTTCACTTCTAACTACTTTACAGGAGGCATCAAGCTCCTCCCTCCTCAGACACCACTCCTCATCACTCGCAAGATCTGATTGTGATAGGTCACTTTGTGGCGGCAGGAAGTTGCTGTGGCTGTCTGCAAGCGGCATAAACCACACAGACTGCTGGCATCCTCCTTCCCGGGATACAATATACTTTTTGTAGGACGGTAGGGGAATGTCCCGCCTCCTTCGCCTCTGATTGGCTAGAAAAGCTGGAAACGTCACACGCTCAAGCCAAACACGGGCTGTCGGCTCTGTACATCAAACAGAACGTTACAGATTATTATTGCACTTCTGAATCTCCTAACCCTCATCCTAATCCTGACCCTAACCCGACAGACGATGACGTTTCAAAAAAAAATTCGCTGCCAGGACTGTCGTTGAATTCCAGCTCAGTCTCGCTCACCAGTACCAGCACCAGTGACACAACAATACGCCGGAGAATTGTTTCTTTGATTGTCTGCTGACGATGTGAAGGTCCGGTACCGAGATCTCCACTGGATCCAGAGACGGTAGCACCTCGCCCAGAACGTTTGCTCTTGGCTAATGACTTTGACATTTTCCTCCTCTCCTCATAGAGTAAAAAAACACTCACAACTCGGCTAACTGGCACACTTCTCACTGGCGAGTACTTGTTTTTGTTATCCTAACATGGTTAAGACGTATTTGTCAGCTTTTCTGCGTTCAGAACGACCCCAAACTCAGTGGCATGCCGTGGAGCACCCTCTGGTGAAAAAAATGAAAAATCTGTTGAAAATCCGTCAATGAGACTGAATGAGTTAAAGTAGTGTCTTCATCCTGTTGTCTTAAAACGGTTGAATGTTCCACACACAACAAGATTCTCAAATACCAAATCCACGTCCTTTTCCACAGCAGATCCTGGATCAGATCAGACTCCTCTGCCTGTAGAGTAACAGGTTAGTTCTTGGTTACACACGCACTCACAGGGTTTAACAGATAAACAACATAAACTCACCAGCATGTGTTGACCCGAGCAGCAGGTCCGGGTGGATCAGGTCTTCATAGTTGCAGCAGTTAAAGTGCAGTAAATCAAAATCTCAGAGGTTGTTTTTTTTTTGCAGCATTACACAAAAAGTCCTTTATTGGATTTTTTTCTCCTCACTTTTTAATGATGGCAACTGATCACCCCTTTTTGTACAACAAAAACAGCTTTAAATGATCAAAAACCCAAAAAATGCAAACATATCAAATAAAGTCAAAAACCAATTGTGGATTCCATCATTTTGCCTTTTTTTGTCCCTCGCCTCCTGCCATCGTCCTCGGTTTGGTTTGAACTCTTGGCACAAAGTGTGTGTCAGTCCAGTCCAAAGCAGCGTTCTGGGTTTCAGTTCAGCTGGTTCTGTCTGAATGGAGGTTGTAGGCTCCTGGTCCTGGTTTTTAGGTCTGGGTCAGATGCGGGTGAGCTGGTGCCAGAGGCTGGACGGCAAGATGCTCTCCACCTTCTCCATGATGAAGTTCAGAGGAGCGAACAGCGTGCTGAGGAACTGCAGGGGGACAAAACACGGACGGGTTTTACAGATGAGCTGTTGAGCTACAGCTGAGATTTTGAATTTTTCAGATTCTTTGTATCGGAGAGTAAAACACTTTTCTACCAACAAGAGTCAAGCCGCCTCTCTGAAAGTGGGTCGAGGTCTAGAGTACACTGCACTTTTCCCCTCCTCTCCATTAATTCTGCATTTGTACTTCAAACCTGAGTACAGGAGGACTCACTGTCAGGCCTCGTCCTCGGTTTTGTTTTGGCAACAACCAGAGAAGAAGAGCTGAAGGTGAAAGAGAGGGGGGAGGAAGAGAAGGAGGAGGAGAGGTAGCTGGGGGTGATAGGGGCTCCGGCAGAGCAGCAGCAGGTCACAGAGGTTCCCACTTTGTCAGACGGCAGATTAAAGTCCTGACAGAGAGAGTCTATCTGTGCCACCCTCCTCTTCACCTGCATGAGTCTTCCTCACTCATCAGATCTCACATCTCTGCTCCGGCTTCAAAGGCCACTTCAAAGTGAAGGTGTGTGTGTGTGTGTGTGTGTGTGTGTGTCCTCTGTGTTTGAACTGAGTGTGCGGCCAAAGACTGTCCCGTAATCCTAAAGAAGTGAGGACGCACGACTCGGATGAGCGAGACCAGCATCTGAATCTGCCTCATTAAGCAGGTCAGGGAGTCCTGCTGTGTGGAGCCCCCTAAAGGCAAGTCTGGAAAATGTCCCGAAGATTGACACAGCTGACACAAGTATGACTGAAATCAAAAGGTCCAAACTGTGTTCCTGCGTGAAGACATCCACTGCATTCAGCAATGTGCAGATTTTGTGCAGATGTGTAGCTCTTTCTGGAACCATTTGTTATCACAAGACCCCTACATATGAGGGGAGCTTAGACTACAGCTGCACCGAGGTACGAATAGACCTGTTTAGACTCATGCCATCGGGGTCTCAGGGTCATAGGGCTGGGCGATATGGCCTCAAATATATATTATGATATATTGATCAGTTCACCTCGATAACGATAAATGGACGATAACTACTCCCCAAGCTGCTCACCCCCTCCCACATTAACTTTGTCTACTTCAGTCGCTACAACTTTTGAACCGTCCTCCATCTCCTCACCTGTCTTTCCCTCTTTGTTACGGACTGGATGGGGTGGAGTCACGTCTCTGATGAAGGAAAGTGTCTTAAAAGGGACATGAGACCATAGTCTACCTACACACATCCAAAACCAACTTTTATTTATATATTTTTTTGACACCGAATATACCATTATGGGCAAAATGACGTCCATTACTGTCGCAAATTTCAGTATCGGTAAATTTTCGGTTTATCGTCCAGCCCTACAAGCTACGACACAGTTTTGATTAACAGATTGACCGTCTGAGCCTCTTGGTGTTATTTATTTATGTTCCTATAATATATTGGATGATCATCCTTTTTTGTATTTGAAGGAAGGTCTCGCATTAAAACCGTCTCGAATCGACTCACAAGATTTCATGCAAACAGTGAAGAAGAAAAAAACTGATGACTGAAAATAAGCGAATATTCAACAGTTATCCGTTTGGACCTTTTCATGTGTTTTCTTTGCGTGTGTGAGTGTGCATGTCGGGACATTTTTTTTTACACTGAATATATTAACAAAATGACGTCATAGATTTTGGTCTCGGTAAATTTTCGGTTTATCGCCCAGCCCTAGTCCACCATAACATCAGGACCCTACCTCTCTCTTTAGTACTGGGGGATCTGAACTTTGTAACATCAGTGTGAATATAAAACTAAAAGCAAGCTCCCTATAATAAGTGTGTGTGTGTGTGTGTGTGTGTGTGTGTGTGTGCACTCTGCAGGTAGATCACATCTGCTGATAGTGTCGCATCAGGAGGGAGAAATGAGCTCAGGCACATTCCAGCCCTGCAGGCAAGGAGGGAGCAGAGAGGGAGGAAGCGCCCTCCTCTGGCTGCTGGGAGAACAGCACACCTGCTCTGTAGTGTTCAGCACTGCAGGAGACTTTGGTGTGGTGTTGTCGAGCAAATCCAGGGTTTGGAGTGGGCGTCCCCCAGGTCTCACAGTGAAGTTTGACTAAGTTTGAGAATACTGCAGTCTTAAATTAAATGCACGATCTCTTTCCAGTATTGGCACTTCTTCTACTTATTATCATTTTTGTGATCACAGCAACTTTTGAACCTTTCGCTAATATCTTATTAGATCCTCAAATGGATATCTGAGCCGGAACAGCCTGTTCAGCCTGCCAACAATCCCTAAAGGGTTCCAGAGATGTCTCTCCCACAAGATTGAGCAGTCAAATACACATTTCTAAGCAAAACCTGAAAACACACTGCAGAAAAATAAGGGCCTGTTTCCACTTACAGCGTTTTTCATGCTGAAAGTGCCAACTACACTTGCTAATGGATCTGTCAATTAGTTACAAAAGTTGCTCTTACTATTGAGTCTGTTTTTTAAATGCTCTGTATGTTTTTGTATGTAACAGTTTTTAAATCCCGCCTGAAAACTAATTTTTACTCCTCGGTTTATAACCCAGCATGAGAGTTGTGCGATCTGTCTCTGTCTGTTCTTTTGTTGGATTTTTTATTTGCTCTTACAGAGTTTTTATTGGATTTCATTTCTTCATTATTTATTTTTTTTAAGTGTTTTTATGTGGTTTAATGATTCCTTTTTATTTTATTTTAGTCTCAGACAACATTGTATTTTGTGTGTTTTAACTTATTTAACAGCACTGTGAAGCACTTTGCTAAACTTAATTGTTTTTTTTAATTTTTAAGATAAATAAAGTGGATTGGAGTGGAACAATGGAGGGGAAAAACGTCACGGCAAAACCCCAAAGAGCAGGCCTGGTGCATGAGATAAACTTAACAAGAATACGAGACAAAACTAAGATTATATAATCCACTATTTCAGGCTCAACAGGGTCATTTGAGGTAAAAGCATCTCACCCTAACCCAATCCTACTACTATCATAGGAACCCAGCAGGAAGTTTAAAAATGCCTGAGTCAGTTCCTGCAGCACCATCGGTGTCGACATCGCTGTAATTGGAGGTCTCACTCCTGCTTGATCTCGACTGGTACGCATTTCAAGAGTTGACCTGTTTTCTACTGAGAGCGACTCAAAAGCAGATGCCGAGGATGTTTTCACTCCAGGAAAGCCGAGAGCTACAACTACTGGAGTGTTTGTGCAGAAAAATAAGAGACTGAGAGCTGAGAAGAAATGTGGTCGGCGGACAAGAGAAGGAATGCCTTCAGCGGCGAATGTCTCCGACGCTGAGACACGGAAGTATGGGTATTTATTCATGGAAATAAACCGATGATGATTTTCTAGTCTGGAAGCTCTGACACTGAGGGATTAAAAGTGGTGGAGCTGGTGGAGGAAAGGTCAGAGGGTCATAAATTTTCGATGAGGAACAGTGTCAGAGTAATGTGTGCGCTACGGCGAGGAATCATATGTGAAAAGGTCAGAGTTGGTGGATCTATTCATTCCTCCCATGGCTGTTATGGAAATGGAGTGTTTAACTTTTACGATCCGACGTCTTCATTATGCAAAGTGAAGAGACGGAGGAAAGTTTGGAGCTGCAGCAAAGGTCAAAGGTCAGCAGAAACCGAGACGGTCTCTACCCGCAGAAACACTCGTGTTTTGGGGGGATTTTTACTGCAATATTGATGCAAAATCAAACTTCTCTTCATTCTCACTGCAAAACAAGATAGAGCTAGTGTGTGTGTGTGTGTGTGTGTGTGTTTGTGTACTCACAGCTTTAGCAAACACTCCCATGAGTTCAGGAAACTGGTGTGTGAGCAGAGCCAGCATGGCGGTGAAGGAGCAGAGACCGGCTGTGAAGAGGATGAAGAAGGGCAGCTCCTTCTTCGGGTAGACTGACACCTCGTGAAACACTGCTTCCACGCGGGACAGACACAAACGCACACACACACAAACACACACGACACAATGTTACTTTGGTGGCAAAGATCTGCAGAGTCCTGGTATTATTTCCGACACATCTTTTGAGCTCCATCTCATGTGTTTCTGGTCTCATAAATCATGAAAAACAAAAATGATCCATCATAATCAGAGCATCGTTCTGTGTGAGCTGCATGATAATAACCTAAACACATCTAAGTGCAGACAGAGCCAGCTGTAACACAGACATGTCTGATCAGGTAACCTCGCACATTCAGCTCCATACAGTCCAAACTCAGAAAGACTCTATCAGAGGAAACACCGAGTCATGGGATATTCCGGCGTCAATCTAAGTTATTCATTCAAGTGATTATAGTGCCAATAAGTTACTTAAATTTACAGCGGAATATCCCTTTAAATCCGTCTCAGTCTTTTGGAGTAAAAATGACGTTTGGTGAACATTCACAGCACGCCGTAGTATACAAGGTTGTGAATATCCACGCTCTGTCCTCACGGTGTGCTGAGCTGCTGATGGCTGCGAGCCAGTTTAATCGAGGGACGGTCTGTTTGTGTGAAGACAGACGAGCTGCTGAGCAGACAGCAGGACGACACAGACGCACAAAAACACACAAATGCACATGCACACACGCCTGCGCCTGGAGCTCTGTCAAGGGACTGGTCTCATTTTCGACATAATCAATGACTAATTTTACCATCACATCTGTGTGCTGCAGATTAAACTGAGCAGAGGTACATCGAGAGAAAGGAAGCGGTTCAAACGTTATCTCTAAGTCTGTCTTATCAGGTTCCTGCTCTATCCAAGGATACATCAACTGAATTAAAGATGCTAAGGAATTAATAAGAGACAAAAGTAAATTGACATTTCAAAAATTAAAGGGATAGTGCTGTATTTTTAAAGTGTTGAAGTATGAGTTACGTGTCACTTTAAGGTAAATCGCCTCAATGGATGCTGCTCAGCTCTGCTTCTTCAACTAGAAACTGCAGGTAGACCTGGCATGCAAGTTCGTAGGGCTGGGCGATATGGCCTCAAATCAATATCCCAAAATATTGAGCAGTTCACCTCGATAACTATAAATCAACGATAACTACTCCACAAGCTGCTCACCCCTTCCACATTAACTTCGTCTACTTCAGCCGCTACAACTTTTGAACCGTCCTCCATCTCCTCATCTGTCTATCCCTCTTTGTCATAGGACAGCGTCTTAACGGGACATGAGACTATAGTCTACCTACATGCATCCAAAACCAACTTTTATTTATTTATTTTTTTGACACCGTATATACCGATATGGGCAAAATGACGGGTTATTGTCGTAAATTTCAGTATCAGTAAATTTTGGTTTATTGCCCAGCTCTACAAGCTAGGACACAGTTTTGATGAACAGATTGACTGTCTGAGAATGTGCATCATGTCGGGACGTCTCTTACTGGGTAGCAGCTCTCTGTCGGCTGTCTCTGTGCAGATGGGGTAAGGGTAGAACAGGTGACCCTTCTCCAGAGGATACGGGATCATTCTGAATGCTGAAAACACAGAAAACAGATTCTTCATCGTTCAATATTTACTGTTTGTATCGAATCCTCCAGCGTGGAAATGACTGTTTTCTTCTGAACCGTGTGTGTGTGTGTGTGTGTGTGTGTGTGTGTGTACTCACTGCCCTCCCAGGTGCAGTGCAGCAGGTTGAGCGCTCCCTCTACCCTTTTCCAGTGCTGCAGGTGGAAGAAGGCGTAGGCGATGGCCTCGCTGTCTCCTCTCTTCAGGATGTGTTCTGGAGGAAGAATCAGACTCTTCATCTCCAGCAGATACTGAGGAGGAGGAGGAGGAGGAGGAGGAGAGGGGGAACAAAGGTGAGGAAGAGGATAAAAAAAAGGTGTTGAGTGACTACAGTCAGTCTGAATCTGACATTAACAGTGAATGAGCTGAGAGTAGAAAAGAAACCACGTCTGAATGAACGCTCATTATCCAACTAAAGTGTCAACTCAGAGGAATATAATCCAACTGGAGCACAAAGACTGGAAATGTTAGAGCCTAATAAAATAAAGTGCTTTCTTTTACAGTCCATTTGGTTCCTATTTTTGCACTTACAGACTCATCTCCACAGTCTGGTTCAGCCTGATATCAGCTCCGAGGGAAAAACGGCCAAAATCCACCAAATAAAACCAAGTACAAAACAATAAAAGACATATGCGATCGCTGGCTCTGTGATTTATGAATCAAACGTTTTCAGGAAGCAGATCGCAGCTCTGAAGGTGGAGGCTTTTCATTCACATGGTGACATGGATTTTAGAGGAAATAAATTATATACGAACCATAGAAGAGAAGGAAGACGGATGTCTGATATTAGCATTTATACGTAGGTTTATGTGACTGATCTACATCCTCAAACAGCTACAGAGAGACTGAGAGTTTTCTCTTTTTCTCTTAAATATTGAATCTCTCCATTTCTTCTTTCGGACATAAAAGTTTGATTTTTGTGCTTTACATCAGAACTAAAGGTAACACTTCATAATAAATTCTGTGTGACTGACTTGAATTAATTGTTAATAATCCACTTTTAAGACGTTAGAAGAGTTTAGTGTTAATAAAAGCAAAATTAACGCATTTATTTTGCTTATAATACACATGTAATCTCGTAAGAAACGTGTTTACAGTTTGTACACTTTTGTAAATATCATATCATGAGTTCATTAACATTATTTAGCCTCTAATAAAAGAGTTATTTATAGATTAATAACCATTCTTATCATGAGCTTGTAACACATTTTAATTATAATAACAGTAAAGTCAATTTTAACATTTAAATATGATGTTTATCAACATTTACAGAACTGCATGAGCCTTTATTGTAAGTGTAACATTTATTCTTTATTACAAAGTCCTCAAAAACAATAATTAAATTATTTGATTTAACATTAAAAAGACAACAAAAAGGTCATGATTAAGGCCTTGTAAGGATTAATAAAGCTTTCATCTTCCTCTAAATAAATACTAACAACACTCCTTTGCATCGACTGGATCTAGTGTGAAGGGGTCGAATAAAAATGAACAAATCTTTTACTCTTTAAGTGCAGATGTAGGATGAACAATAATATATGTTAGTCAAGCTCTTGTTACCACTAATAAGTGTTCATAAATACCTTATAAGTCTTATTAAATATAATTAATGCTCATTACAAGGATCTAAAGATTAAGTTTTGGTGATGATAGTTTGGATTGTTTGAAATAGGAAGTGTGAGTCTCACAAATGAAGCAGAAACAGACTCGTGAAGTTACAGCCAATCATATTTGAGATGAACAGCTCTACAGGCTTACTGCTGCTTTTTTAGAGAACACACAACATGACCTCTGCAGGTGTGTAGAGTGTGTGTGTGTGTGTGTTTGAGTGTCCTGTGGCGTGAATCTGACTCTCACTTTGGGGACGTGAGGGTTGAACTCCACCGCTCTGTGGATGGCTTCTACTGCGTTCATCTCTGCTGTGCTCAGCCCTCGCCTGGATGCTGCTTCTGGAGAGAATCTGTACACACACACGGACAAACACGCACAAAACACTCATGTTGGTAATCTGAATTGAGATTACACATCCCTGCGTGATCAAAGTGGTTTTGAAAACATCTCCAGAGGGTTTTGGGTAGATTCAGTCACATGTTGAAATAAAAACCACCTGCTCTGTGTGAGCTCTTCACTCCAAATCCCCACAGATTTAAAACACCGAGGTGAGAGTTTCCAGATTAATTCAATTAAAAAACACATTAGAGTGTCGGTGCAGGTTAAATTCCTCTGCTAAAATATTCAAATGGTGCCTTCGAAAGCGTCAAACTGATTTACTGTTGCATATAAATAAGTTTGAAACCTATTTCCACCTCCTCAGACTGAAATTTAACCTGCTTCTCTCGCTCTGTCGCTCAGTTTTCTTAACTTTCATCCAAGCTTTATGAACTGTCTGGGCGCTAAGTGAAATAAAAGATAAACTGGGTATGACACGAGGCTTTTATCTGCCAGTGTCCTCCCATCCTTTACCTCACTTGTGAACAGACTGAAATTCATATTGATGCCTTTTTATGATACATGTCATTTGAACAAGTTAAATTAAGATCAAATATAATCCATTTTCATAATTATCATTCCTGCCTTATTGAAACAGTCAATAGCTATGAGAAGGTTACATCTGCACCTCTGGGTGAGCGACCACAGGGCTGCGGCGGAGCAGAAACACTCACTCTTCACAATAACAATCATCAACCCTGAAGGCAGCTCTGAACGGCTGCTGGAAACACACCGGCGCTCAGCTCTCTTTTCCCCTCATTCACTCTGAACGGCTCCTCGGGCTGTTTTCAGCTTTAACAGGTATGTGGAGTATTGAAGGCGGTGGAAGGAGATACTCACTTGTCCGAAACCGCCCTGGCTTTGAGCAACGCTGCTGTGTAGCATATTGTTGCAGATTTAGGTAAGCTAATATCTGTGGAGGAGACAAAGCAGATAAAGACAGAGGGGGAGGGGCGGTTAGTGAGGGTAAGGTGACTGTGGTGAGGTCTGGTTTCATAGCTTTGGGGCTAGTCTACAGTTAATCTCTTAATGTGGTCTGCCCCTTTTTAATGATATAAACTTAATGGTTATTATGTAACTGAGTGTGTGTAAACACCTGTAGAGCCTGAAATCTGCAAAACATTTGGCTCTATTAAAGGGATATTCTGGCGTGAATTCAAGTTACACACCGTAACAACGAGTTAGAGACCCTGTCCAGAGATGAATGTTGCCGACTGCTTGCTTCTCTAGTTATACCAACCAAGAGACACAACTCACCCACTCTCCTCCAGCAGCCGCTTGTTTATGGGGGAGCCCTGAGGAGTCGATCACCAAGTGTAGTGGATCATTTCCATGAAGTAAAAATCATCATAATAATCATTTTGCACTGCAGACGCAGCAGTTTTTCTGCCTTAGTGTCTCGGTCTGATTGCTTTTCCAAGAAGTAATAATCATAAATTTTCTTCCTTGAGCTGCGAAACTCCACTGCACTCAGTGATCGACTTTTCAGGGCTCCCCCACAAACAAATGGCTGCTGGAAGAGAGTAGGTGAGATGTTTTTAATCTTTTTGCTAAAGAAATCAGGCAAAGTTAAAAAATGTTTGGTGTCTAGTACTATGGCTGGGACCCTATATGTCCTGTTGATGAAGTTAGGTGCTGTTCTAAGCATTATTTGTGGCTATAGAGTGGCTTTTTGTTAGAGGTTTGCACATGGAGATGTAGACCGCAGTGTATTGCTATTGTGCGGTCATTACTGAAGTTGGGATAACTAGAGAAGCAAGCGGTCCGCAACATTAATCTCTGGAGGGGGTGTCTTGTGTTTGACCAAAACTTTTATTTCAGCCGGAATATCCCTTTAACCAGGTTCGTCCCTTTGATATCAAAAATCACAGACAGCAGTTTTAAAACTGAATGGAGCGGATTTGAAAACATTTACAGACACCAGCTCCAGTCGATTCACAGAAGACTGTAGGCTGATAGTAAATTAAATATAATACCCAAAAGCCCTTTTACCTGCACAAGCATTTGAGACGGGGAGGATAAAAAAGTCCTGAGAGTGCCATGAAAACCGTCCAGAACTTTTCTGTGTGATAGCATCTAAATGATAGACTGGTAACAGGCCAAGAGTTTCCTTTGAAACGATTCTTTCACTGTTATTTTGAAACTTAAAGAAGAGGATCATGGGGAAAAAAAAGACTATGACACCTGTTGAATTAAACACCACAGACTCATCCTTCATAAAGTAAAAGAGGTGACACATCCAGACAAAGAGCTTCAAAAGAAATGATAGTTAATCCTCTTTCTGAGAAACATCTAAGTCCTGTTTTATCCCTGCGTTCGTGGCGGTACCAGCGTCTGTTGTGAGGTTTTTGAAATTCAAACTCAAACGTTCGTGCGTGCGAGTGTCTTACCGTCGTACTTTGCCAGAACCGCCTGGACGTCGGCGTAGTTCTGGAGCTCTAGTAACGACTCCAGCAGGTTTTCGTGGATGTTGAACATACTGAGGAGAGGGAACTCCTTCATTAACTGGAAAACACACAACTGTTGTTACATGTAATATCAGACAGGGGGCGACACTTGCACAGTCAGCACAGCAACAACTTCTGGTGATCACAGAGCAGTTTCAAACATTCAAATGTGAAGCTATGAATTTCAGAGGATAAGTGTGATTAAAGCTTCTTAACTTTAAAGGAGTAAAAGCACATAGTGTTTCTTTAATTTTGTGTGTCTTTTGTGTGTGTGTGTGTGTGTGTACGTGTGTGCACTTACATCTCTCATCATTTTAACTGCTTCTCGTGTCCGGCCGAGCTTTCTGGAGCACATGGCCAATCTTCTCTTTATGTACACCAATACGTTGGTGTCTCTTCCTGGTGGACACACATGATGAAACACAAACACAGATTAGTTTAACGGTCGACAGCTGTCCGTACACTGACATTAGAGGCTTAAAGGACAAAATTTCCAACTGCAGAACTAACAGTAGGGAATTTATTTCAGCTTCTTTGAAAATAACCAAAAAGTGCGCAGAGTTTTGTGACGACAGACTGTGAAGGCTGCAGCTCTGTGAAGCACTTTGAAGGGTTCAGATTGTTTTTCTAGAAACTCAAAGATTAAATTTACTAGGGCTGGGCGATATAGCCTCAAATCAATATCATGATATATTGAGCAGTTCACCTCGATAATGATAAATGGACGATAACTACTCCACAAGCTGCTCACCCCCTCCTACATTAACTTTGTCTACTTCAGCCGCTAAAACTTTTGAACCGTCCTCCATCTCCGACATAGGACAGCGTCTTAAATGGACATGAGATGATAGCCTTCCTACACACATCCAAAACCAACTTTTGTTTATTTTTTTGACACTGAATATACTGAAATGGGCATGATGACATTGGTTATCGTCATAAATTTCTGTATCTGTAAATTTTTGGTTTATCGCCCAGCCCTAAAATTTACAGTAGAAGGCAGTAGCTCAGTTGAAATGCATCAATCTGTGTCCTTTTACGTCTGTTTGTTAATTTATTATTGCACCATACTTAAGTATTGTTTCGAACCCAAATTATCACTTCTGTGCACCATCACTCTGATTGTCAGCGTAGAGTTCATGCTGGTTTTTCTGATGAAAAAAACTCAGTACAGTTGCAGTCATGCTCTCCGTGTTTAAGTCTGTTTTGCTGACTCCTCCATTCCTCTTGTACGCAAAGTATGCTGCAGACAAAGTTGGGCATTATCCAGATTTTGATTCTGTTGAATCTTGGGGGGTTTAGAGTATGTACTGTAATTTAAAAAATCACAGTGTAGGCTCTCGGAGGAGCCGTCTAGCTTATTGATTTATAAGGTCTGCATGCTGCCAATATAATATCACAACCATAACAGCAACATAGAAAGAGCCACTGATTTAAAGCACATGAATGTTGCTTCACCAAATTTTTAATTTTCTTTCAATACTTCTCGAGTAGTTATCGTCCATTTATCGTTATCTACGTGAACTGCTCAATGTATCGTGATATTGATTTGAGGCCATATCGCCCAGCCCTAGCTCAGATGGAGTCCGAGTCTCATAAACGTGTGCACCAAAAACAACCAGCTGACTTACAGCTTTAAACCTGCAACTTATCATTTCTGCAAAGTAAAACTGCAGTTTTCTTAAATACAGTGCGGCGGCTTCAAACAGCTGTTTCGGGTTGGACAGCAAAATGGTCGCTCTCTCTGCAGGGACCCTTATTTTTGAGTTATTAACCACTGAAGGATTATGTTGTTGCTATTACAGCCAACGACCGGCTTTAGCGATCGGCTGGGATAACTCCTAACCCTCAGGCGGTGATATTTCAAAACACGCAAAAAAGAAAAAACCAGAACATTTTCTTGCTGCGGTCTGCGATGGGAACTGTTCTCGCTGGCTGGAGAGATGAGTCACAGCCAGCAGAAGAAGATAAATATCCTGATCATTGGCAGAGTAAATACTGAGTGGATTATAATATCATACTCACTGTGCTGGGCTTCATATTGTGTACCGTGATGTTGGAGCTGTTGGCTGCGGCGGTAGCAGCCCTCTCCAGCTTTTAGCGCCTGTTTAAACAAACGTTCAGCCTCCATGATGGTTGTGGCTTCCTCCTCTGCCAGCAGGATGTACGCCGTTGCACAACTACAGGACAGGAGCAAGAGAAGAAGAAAAAAGCAGAGTCTTTATAGCTTATCCTCCTTTCCTTGCAGATTCAATCATAATATACCAACTCATTGTACCCAGCACGGCGTCACTGTGCCTGAAAAACTGCTTTTTTGGGCCTCATGTATTTTACATTAAACTGAGCACTGATCAAAGAAGTATTTCTCTGAGTCAACCTGCTGTCACAGTCTTGATATGAGCTGCTGGCAACAGCCACAATTCCTCTGCAGAGCCTTTGTAGTCAGAGATGCGACTAAAAATAACCCGCAGTGCCATGAAAAACTCCCCTATAGTTGATGCAGAGACCCAGGGGACCAATCTGAGACGAGATGCATCGTCCTGAAAAACACTCAACAGGATACTTGCTGAGCACTTGATCGAATAAAGAGTTTTATGACGATAATACTTGGAGAAGTTGAAGTTCTTTTACACCTGCTGCATTATCCCTAAAACAACAAAATACTCTAAAACATTCAAGCGCACACCATATGTTTGATTGTTTCTTCGTCCATGTAACACTGCTGCATTATTTACATCATGTTTGTTGTTATTCTAAGTGATCTGATTGATAAACAGTCACGATAGTACGTATTAAGCACATTTGGGCGAACCTGAAGAAGCTGCAGGTTAAACATGCGGTTCGCTCCCAATAGAGTTTTGGTAAAGTCAATTTCAGACCCAATCCCAATCCGACCTCTACACACTCGCCCTCCATTTGCGCATTTGGGGGAGGCTCCAAACCACAGAGTGCGAAGGGTGAGTGGACCTTAATGAGCGAGTCTGTACCGGTGCACACTTACGACGGGATTTGCAGATAGTGCATGGAGGAGGAGAAAACATCATACAAATATAAGTTCTGTCCACCTTTGTCTCACTGACAAAATAAATCACAAAAGACGTGGTTTGGAAAGATCAAGAAAACTTGGAAATCTTACTCGGTGTTGACACTTGATTTCATTGTGGAATGACTAACAATCAGAAGTATAATTTAACTTCTGACACTGTGATGGTTGTTGGATTTAAGATTTCACTGGGACGATGAAAAAAACGAGGCGGCCGGTGCGGCTTCAGAACTGTACATGATGCCCGTTTACTTAGAAAAGAAACGCTGCCATGTACAGGACGCATCTTTATGTTTCTATAGCGATGAATCTTTCCATTTCCCGGTGGAGTGAGGAGGGCGTCCCATACCCGCCCTTCTTGTTTATGTATACCTTCCCAATTCAATTGAGGTGCACTCCACAGCTGTGAGTGTAACTTCATTACGAGTGACACTCGGTAGTTAAGGCCGAGTGTGTAGGGGGTGGATTGGGATTGGGCCTCAGTGTGCAGCCGATCTTTTCTTCTTTGGTGTCTTTGGACCTGATAACGACCAGAACCTGACACCTAGACTGTATTGATTCTGGTTTTAGACGGTCTTCTGTGATGTTTGATATGACAGATAAACTGCACATTATTGTTCTCTATTGGTGTGGCATGCTTAAGTGAACATTTTCAACCATTTCTGCACTGCTAAGTTTACTTTTTTAAAATTGGAGGAGGAAACCTCTGTTTCTTTAAATACTGGTCCATAAACATTGTCCTTTGTTTGTCTGTGCAGTGAGGCGCTTAACTTTCTTTTCTTCGTCCCTGAAACTCGGCATATAAAATTAAAAACAACAGAGAAGACAATAAAACCTGAACGGTGTCAGACTGTCAAGTTTGTGCAACAAAAGCAGCAGGAAAAGATTTTATTTGTCCACAAGAGAACGAAAGGAAAAATAAAGCTCGACCTCTACTTCCTCGCCGAGAAAGACGGTAAAAATTCAACAATGCAGAAGTGGGCGGAGGAGTGTTAACAATCAGCCGCTGTGTATGTGAGTGGGCACGCCATTGATTAGCGTTAACAGGCTTTTCACGAGCTGAAAACATAAATCCCAGTGAGCGACAGGAGGGACACGAAGGACCCGACTCTCTTTGTTTAGAGATGAAAAGATAACAGAGAGACTAGAGTTTCAAATATGTGTGTGAGGTGAATTCAATAAAGTTTAATTGCATTGCAGTATCACTTTTGAATGGGAAACAGCTGCTGCTTCATTTTGTTGGATCAAAATAAAAACAACAACATAGAGATGATTATCTTAAGACGTGACAGTAACCAGAGAGGAAAATCTGTCTGAGTTAAACAGAATAAAATCGGATAATGACTACAATCAGGACATCCAGCGAACACACATTGCTTCACTGCGGCATCACGCTGATTTAAGCGCGTATTGAGCCTCAGTAATGTAAGGCGGTTAAAGGTGGAAAGAAAGAACAAAAATCAATCTGTGTTTTACAAGAAAATTAAGTATTGATCCCACATTATTATGTTTTATGAAGAGTCTCTAAAATTAACATGTCACAGTGTTTTACCGGCTTAAACCATTATCATTTATAATCGCCAGGCGTCAGCCCCGAAAGATTCAGCGGACATTCATCAAAGACGTACTTTTGCTCTCTAATAAAAACAGCATTATTTTAAGGTGAAGGACAGCGCCGCTTCATATATCAGGGGAAAATTGTGTAAAAACAACAGACTAGCAACAAAGATGGAGACAAAGAAAGGGAGTGTGGACTCACTCTTCCAGCTCCAGGGCTTCATGTGCTGCAGAGATGCGAGCCTGTGGGTTCCTCTCTCTCCATGCTTTCTGCATAACTGACACCAGACGAGGGAGAAAAACAAACAGACAAATTCAGGATGAAGATGAGTTAATTTAATATGTATGTAATAAAATAAAAATGCATCAGATTTCATATAGCGCCTTTTATTAGTGACCCTCAAAGCACTTTACATTGGATACATTTAGGGCTGGGCGATAAAACAATAATGATATATATAAAAAAACAATTTCCCTCGATATCAATATGAAACATGGTCAATATGCTTTTTGATAGCCGTCATTCTGCCATGTTTTGGTAGACTATACGAATAGCCACTGAAAAGGGGGAGTAGCTCCATGTCCGCGCCGCACCGACCATTCAGTCCGCTTTCAACAAAACATCGAAGAGACACAAAGACCTCACAGATGCAGTAGCTTGTTGTATTGCAAAAGACATGCTTCCAATAAACACTGTTAAATTTCATTTAAGAGTAACAGGGAACATTCAAGATTGACAAGTGATCTTTTTATATGGTAATATATAACAATATCGACTGATATGAAAAGAATATATCGTGGTAAACTTTTCCCATATCGCCTAGCCCTACATACATCATTCATTCGCTCACACAGTCACACCCTGGTGGTGGTAAACTACCGTCGTAGTCACAGCTGCCCTGAGGCAGACTGACGGTGTCGATACCAGTTGTGTTCCGGCTGCCAGATCAGCTCGGAGCCCAGCGCCTGTTGAAGACGTCACACTACGGCAAGTCCACTTAGACAAACTACATTGCGCACAACTACAAGTCAAATATGCTCGGTTAAAAGCCATCCGAACCAACTTCCAGCCAATCATGTAGCGGGAGGTCATCAATAGACGCCAATCTGGCAGCCCGAACACATCTGGCACCTACAACGGAAACGCGGCTGCCAATTTGCGCCTATGGCTTCTCCAACCACCACCACACAACACTCACAATCATACACTATTTGAGAACACACACTAGGAACAAGGTAGGTTAAGTGTCTTGCCCAAGGACACATCGGATAGACTTGGGATGGGGCAGGAATCGATACGCCAACCTTCCAGTCATTGGACGACCGTTCTACCTCCTTAGCAACTGCCATCGTATGTATGTGAGGGTGTGTTTTCTTACTGGCGTCAGCAGGCCGGAGGTGGTCTGAGTCACAGGTAAAGAAGGTCTGATGGTCTTGTGCTGACAGGTTCATGTCGTAGTACGTCAGCGGCTCTCGACCTGTGACCCACGTATACCTGAAGACGAGCACAGAGACACATTAGATCTGAATCAGGGTTCAGCTGTTATTACAGTCTGTGTGACATTTAAGTAAAGCGCCATAAAAACTACAAAACTCCCCCTTCAAAATGTCTAATGACACAAAAAACTGTCATACAGGAGCTGCTGTGCTTTCTCAGATGTTTATAGGATATTGCTCCGGTGATTGTAAATGAGTCATGAGCTGTGTTGACTTAATGGGAACCGTGCATGACTGATATAGGCCAAAGTAAAGAGCTGAGCATGAGGGCTGATAGGTGGAGAAATGACAGGATGATTATAGCATTAGAAATGGAAAAATGGCAGATGACTCAACAGGAGAAATCAAGAGGAAGAAACATCCGATGGAGAACAGAGGAGGAGTGACAGAGGAGACAGATAAGAGCGAGTCGGAGAAGTTTGAGAGAGGAAAAGTTTGGTGAGAGAAAAGGAAACAGAAAGAGGAGGGATAGGAAATATACCGAAACACTCATGAGGAAGAAACTATGATGCAGCAGAATAAACATGAAGAAGTGCAGCTTAAGAGAATAGGAATGAGATCGGGGATAAAGAGAGAGAAGGAGGCCAGAGAAGAAAACCAAACCAGCTGAAGGTTTCACATGCAGGTAAGTTTGCTGCTCTCACTCACCGATTATATTCAGCTCCACGAAATAAATTCAGCGGATTTCTCCATACTTTACATTCTGCAGAAGGAAGAGAGAGAGAGAGAACAGCAACTGACGGTGAGTGTCGAGGGTAAAGCCAAAAGCTCAGCCTCCTCTAAAACACTTCAAAGAGCTCCACTGTGAGCTCTGCCATCCACCCTGCAGCTGCCTGACTGGCACGTCGACCTTTTGGAGAGCATGGATGACGAGGAGAGGGGCTGAAAGCTCCTCAGTGACCAAACATGCTTCCACTGAAGCTCCCACTGATGGTGGAAAACATCTCTGTGCTGTGATTGGTTCAACAGACACAGAATTTAAAAAATGTTCTCAGAGCTATAATTAACTAAAAATCAACAAATCAGACTTTAAAAAAGTGCAGTAGTGTTGATTATTATATTTATTTAGCGGGACCCTTTAAAAGTTTAGCTGCAATCACAGACTGTACATCGAAAAACACGTTATAGGCTTCACTGACTGTGAGGTCAAAACACTCAGAGCTCCCCCTACTGACTGATTGCGGGATTGGTCACAAGCCCCGCCTCTCTTGTGTTAACTGATGGAACATGGGCCATAGTGAAAAATCAAGATACATGTCAGATTAATCTTTCTAATACACAGTTTCTCTTTACACAGTTAGTTCATATCATGCTGATTTATATCCAAGAGTGCATTTTTTTTTTACATTTTAGTTTTAATTATTTGATTTAATTCTTTATTAAATTACGCGTTTCTCAGACTCATTTTAGCGCTAACAGATATTTCTTTGTTTAACCCTAAACATGTCAAATTCATACAAAATTAAGGCTCATTTATGCTCAACGGTACATATGGGCATGGACAGAGCACTCCGTCTCTGCTTTGCGTTCTTTTCGTCTGTATTTCTGCACGTATCCTTAAAGTTTACCGTACAGGCCAGACAGAGCAGTACCACTGGAAACAGTGTGAGGGCAGTGTTGCTACTGTCACTACCCGATACGCATCTCTAAAGAGAAACTGAAAGTACTGAAAATGACCATTGTCGTCAATTTCTCTCATTGGTACTACTAAGAAAAGAATTCTCCATCCTCCAACCATGAGGCTTTTGACTCCAGCCTGCCCCCTGGTGGATGTAATGGTTAATATCCATGGCAACGTAAAGAATGCATGGAAGTATGTGGGCATTGACGGACCATCGCTTAAATTGGACGCGTACATTTTCACACGTATGGCAAATATAAATGAGCCTTTACACGCCTAATTTACTCCACACTAAAAGTTAAATCCTCCATAACCTCCTCCATATTTCACACCGTATACAACACATTATTAAAAATGTGTCGAAGAGCTGATGCATGACTGGTGAGTGAGGCCACCGCTCTTAAATTCAAGCCGTCTGTCTGAGGAACAGAGTTTATTACAGTCTGCGGCAGTCTGGCTTTAATGGACAGATTTACATAAAGCAGATTATTAGCCTTTAAAAGAGGATTAGTACGGTCGTCTCTTTTCTCTGTGAGGGTTTTGTCGATCAGAAACAACACGTTTAATCCTATTTCATTTGAAAGCTGTTTGGCTGAAAACAAAACTTCATGTGAGCAGGAGGAGGAGAGTTCAAGAGTCTGGGCTGATCAGCTACAGGTCTATATGAGTAATATTATTGTTTCAAGTGGGCATATCACATTACTAATGGTGCTGCAAGAAAAGTAAGCTGAGTCATTTTACGTGTACTGCATTTCGGCTGCAGAGGTGAAATAATGTTTTCTGCGATTATCCGGCAGAATCAAAGGAATTATTCAGTGCTTAGATGTTTCCTGTTTGGACCGACTTAATTTCCATTGGGAAGCAAACACACATTCAAAGGATTAACTGTGATCAAAGTATCACTGACGCGGTGAGTAAGCCAAGGAGCTGCTTTGCCGAGCACACAGAGCAACTGTGGAGGAGGCTGCTGAAGTGACATGAACATTTTCAGGCTCTTTTTTCGCTGCATTTTAACAAGAGCACGGACAGGGGGTTGAGTGTCCGCCCCGTGGAGCGCCGTCTTCGCCTTTGGGAATGTGGAAAATTTGCAAATAAACAGAAATGGAGGCGACAAAATAAGTTGCTCTTTAAATACTTTGTTCGGACAGAAGAAGAGAATGATTTTAGGATACCGAGCAGGCTGTAAATAAAAGCATGAGGCTCCGAGCAAAACATACTGACATATTTTATAACAGCTGTGGTTGCAATAACTGATGTTTTTCTGGAGGCTGGTCCATCAGCAGCCTTAACAGAGTAAGTCATAAAACAATATGACAGCACTCAGTGAGAGAGACGGGGATGTTTTCCGTGAGTCATCGCTGGAAGCTTCAGTCCAGCTCATCCCTCGGGGAGGTCAACAGGTCGCCGTTGACTAAATCTAAACGTTTCAATTTTTCCCTCAGCTGTCAGGACTCTGAACTCGTCCTTTCATCATCCTCCTCTTCTTCCTCTACGTGCATCAAGACTGATGAGAGATACCAGGGGTTCACTGTACAGTTGGATGTGTTGTGCTTTCTGATCGTACCATCCTCCATTCAAGTTTTTCTTCTTGGTGCGGCGTACATAAAGGATTTATTCGGCCAAACTTCGCTGTGCAGAGGAATAAATAACTGACAAACCTATTTTTGTCCATATGCATCCGCTCCAAAAAGAACTTTTTAAGGCTCCTATAAGAGATATTTTTATGGCGTTTCTGAAACAGACTGAAATTCATATTGATGCCTTTTTTATATCCCACTTTTTAATGCTTGAAACTAGTGTGTGGGAAAGGGGTCAACTAAGCAGCCGAGGAGAACAGCTCTGATTTTATTTTCCACCTAAAATATTCATGAGAGTTTATCAGTTTGGTTGTCAAAAGTTTTAAGCATTTGAAGGGAAAGGTGAGCATAGACTGCTTTGCCTGCAACCAAAAATTCCTTACAGGTGCTTTACTTTCTATACTTCAGGGCTCTCTGGTTTAACATTTCTAGTGACTGTAGCGGTGTGTTTTTCTTCTTTTTACCATTTGCCAGAAATCTTAAATGACTGATTTTAAGACCTTTTTAATCTGCTTTTTGTTTGGTTGCATGTGTGAACACCTCAAATGTGTCTTTCTGATATTCTTTTCTGAGCTCATCTTTTACGCACCAAACTTTCTGCCTGTTTTATTGCAGGAAAGGCATGGGACACTGATCTGGTGGCAAGAAATGAAACTTTTTGACTAGTCACTGTTTTATATTACTGCAAAAATGATTTAAAAAAAGAAGAAATCTAAATTCCTGAAGTCTTCAGAGTGAGTCAGTACTTTGAAGCAATAACACACAACGCACGGTGACCATCACAAGGTGAGAGTTGTATGATCTCTGTCCATTTATGTCTTTTTATGGTTCTTTTATCACTTTTATTTCTTTTATGCTTTTGTGCTTTTCCTCGTGGTGTTTTCTGTAGTGTTTGTCCTTTTAAATTTTACTGTGCAGCACTTTGGCAAACTTGAATGATTTTTAAAATGTGCTAGATAAATAAAGCGGACTGGATTGGATTGTAAACATTTCTAGCATCCATTTTTCTGTCTAAGTTGTTCTTGTTTGGCTCTACTTTGTCAGATACATTTGAAGAACTTAAAAATCTGCCATTTTAGGTATTTTTAGGATCATTTTGAGTTATTCTTGGTCGTTAAAATGTTTTCCATAGATCAGTTTTAGTGTCTGAGACAAACTTAGGATTTAAGTGCTAAACGTTTTGCTCTCTTTAGTCTGTAAGGTCTTCTCCAGTTCTCAGCTCTTACCGGACACACTTTGCCGATTGGAGTCGGCCTCTCCATTACTGGTGTTGGAGTTGCTGGGGGAGCTGCTGTCCACTCCGCCCAGCAGGGGGCGCAGGTGGCTCACAGACACCTGCTCTATGAAGGAGGTCCCATATTTCCTGAAATACCACCACTCAAATATCTAAAGGAGAAAAAGAGAGACAGAAAGAGAGAGAGAGAGGGGTTTAATGAAATGACGTCATTTATGAAAGATTACCACAGCAGCTGTTTGAAAACTTCTAATGTCTCACCAGCCAATCAGATTTCGAATATGGATGAAGATCATCTTTGGACAGTGGTTGGCTGAGAAAAGGACGTGGTCAGCTAAAAAGTTAATTGAGCTCCACTCGTGTTATTCCCCCTCTCTGCTTTTATTTATGGTTTTAATCATTTGCACTTAACTCCTCCTGTGATTAAGACTGTCCGCACCACTGAGTCTCTCAGCTGTGCGCCACGCTGGCTCTGGAGTGTGCTTCACCACAATTTCAACTATTACCACCTGCAGCTGGGGAGATGGGACCGGGCAGGTATTGAGTACCCTGCATGAGAGCTGACTCGACCCGATTAGCAGCGCGACACCTTTCATTCGCAGTTCCCCGTCTGTGTGTGTTATGGTAAACAGCGGGCTCTGTAAAACAAGCTGCTGTGCTCTCAGGTTAAAAGCTCTGTGTGTACTGTAAAGTGCAGCAGTCCATTTAGTTGATGTCCTGTTCTTGTACCGGCCTTGAGCAGCACTCACACATCAGGTAAATTTGTCCCAGTCTGTGCGTCTTTGAAACCAAAAAACTGTCCTTTTCTTTGCCTGGCATCCCCCAAACTCTTCCACAGATGAGCATAAATCTGGAATTCCCCAAGATCCAAACCCCCTAACGATTTATTTCATTGCAAATACTCTCATGGTGCAGTCTTCAGGATAAAACCAAACAAACCCACAGTCTAATAATTCAGATTATCACTGTTACCGTCCATTTTCTCCTGATTAAGTCAGCATGTACAGACTTTTCCAATCTATATTATTTAACTGCAGTTCTACCAGCAGTAGGGCTGGGCGATATGGCCTCAAATTAGTATCAATATCTTTCCCTCTTTGTTACGAACTGGATGGGGTGGAGTCACGTCTCTCGAAAGGGACATGAGACCATAGCCTACCTACACACATCCAAAACCAACTCTATTTTTTTTATTTTTTTGACACCAAATATACCGATATGGGCAAAATGACATTGTTTATTGTTGTAAATTTCGGTATCAGTAAATTTTCGGTTTATCGCCCAGCCCAAATCTGAGCTCACTCACTCACAATTACAGTACATAATCTTAACCCCCCAAGATTTGACATAATCAAAATCTGGATAACTCCCAACTCTGTCTGCAGCATACTTTCTGTACAAGAGGAATGGAGGAGTCAGCAAAAACAGACTTAAAAACGGAGAGCATGACTGCAACTGTACTGAGTTTTTTCATCACATAAGCCAGCATGAACTCTACGCTGACGATCAGAGTGATGATGTTAGGAAGCAATAGTTGTAACTTTCGGTATCGGTAAATTTTCAGTTTGTCTCCCAGCCCTAACCAGTAGTACGCCTGGTTGTTCCAAAACACCAGACTACTGAAGAGGACAGAGTATACACATTACAGCTCCAAAATTCTGGTATGATCAGGTTTGAGGAAATCAGGTCAGCTGAGTCAGAGATCTTTTTTCAATCCTTTCTTATCCAAGAGCCTTTCCTGCTTTTTGGTTGTTTTTAAATTTACAGTTGAATTACAGTCTTTGAAAAGAGCTTTACTGCTTCTGGAGTTCTTTTAAATGACTGTTTTTATGATGTGTGATGATATTTTGGTCGGCCTGTTTTTCTTGTTTTAACTTTTTAACCTGTTTTTTCTTCCATCAGTTCAAGCCACTGATACCAACTCAGGACAGAACGCACTATCAGCACTTCCCCCCACCACCCCCTCAGTTTTTACAAAGTTTTCCTCTGTGCTTGGACATAAACAGACCCGGACTTGTCCCCCAAAAAACTTAAAAACTTTCTGCCATTGTCGTCTTTGCTGCTCTTTGCTCTGCCGCACCAACACTAGGGACAGATTGCAGCCTTTGTGAATTTGCATACGCATTGCCAAGAGCGAGTGTATCTCCGGTCTATGAAGATGATCATGTTTTAGGAAAACACAGGATTTAATCATTGGGATTTGCTTTCGCATGTGACAAAGTGGTTTCCGTGGCGACAAGGACATAGATTCCCTGAGAGTATCAGTTTGCCAAAACATGCCCAGCTTCGTTCTGCAAAAATATTGTGATTTAGGGAAGTCCTCCAACCAAAGCAGATAAAACATGAGCCTGCACATTAGCTCAGCTCTCAGGTGAGCGATAATAAACCAACTTCAACAGCAGATGTATGTTGCTGGTTTGATTTAAGAGCCGGCTGTGAAGCTTCACGAAAACAATATCTAACCGGACCATAGACAACAATAACATAAGCATAAACTTGAGTTTTATGGCTCCTGTGAAGCAAACACTTAAGAGTTTGGCTATAAATATCATGTTAGTCTCTCACTTTATGATAAGATTGGGTAGAGGTTTAGAAAAATAGGATCCACTCAGCAGTTATAATATAATCACAAGAGAAAACATCGAGAATACTGATGAGTGCGAGAGCTTCAGTCTTTTACTACGTGCACAGACTTCATCATCTGACGCTGTTATCCTGTCAGGCTCAGTTTGAGGAGGAAAAGTGACATTTCGATCGGACTTATCTTCACTGAAAACCATCTTAATTAGGACACAAATATCAATTCCAATTTCAGAGGAACGAGCGCTATCACTCCTTCGCTTCCACATGTCTTAATCGTCGCAGAGAGCATGTGCAAAGCTCAACAGATTTTCTGAGCAGCCTACACATATTGGCCAACAGCCCCGCAGGGGAAGAGAGAGAGAGAGAGTGAGTTAATTAAGAGAGGAGCTATTTTAAAATACAGACCAAACACTGTTGCACAGTTGGCTGTCTCTGGGAAGAAGCAGAAAGAGAAGAAATACCTGAAAACAAGGAGGAAAAGCCGTGCCAACAGTATCATTATTACCATGCTGCTCCTCTGTGATGATCTCTGTCGCTTCTTCATTTGTTGTTTCTCATTCTGAATACGGACGTGAGCAGGAAATGCAAACTTTGCAAAGCCGAAGATAAATTAAGGTCTAAAAAAAGCTTTAAGCGTTTTGCTGTGCAGGTCGATGACTTGTAAGCATTTAGAAGATTCACTGAGTGATTAATGCACAACGGCAGGAGATCCTTTCAATTCAAAATAATCACTTTAAAATGTATTCTCAATAAAAGATGCAAACTGGAGTTATTTATTCATCAAAGAGGACCAGAGTGTCTGGATTTCCTCTTCTTCACTTCTCCCTCAGCCTGTGAACTCCGTGCTTATACTTCTAACAAATAAAATAAAATATAAGATTTTTATTCTTCAACCAGGAAAGGCCTTTTGTTTGTTCTTTAAAAAGATGGGTGGATCGGTCTGCTCAGACAAATACAGGTGGTCTATCTTTTTGGGGAACTTCCATAATGTCGTCAGTTGCTTATCTACCTATCTAAAATATGTGCTTGTAACAGCAACCTACTATACCTGTCATCCATAAAACACAGTTGGGCAATGACATCATGACATGCACGTATCAAAATCAAGTTGAAAATAAATGAGAGAACCCGCTGTATTATTGTACAGTGAAATGAGGTGTTTCTTACCAATATGAGGCCTGATATGAGGGAGGAAGTGCCCGTCAGAGCCACGTAAAACTTGGGCGTCAGGGTGTTGAGAAACATGCTTACTGCAGAGGAGACACAAAGAGAAGAGGAGACAGAGTGGTTAGAGTTCAGGTTTAGATACTAGAAAACTTCTACATCAAAGGAGGATCCTTGATAAAAGATATTTGTAGAATCAAGATGCTGCATTCATACAGAACTGGGTCACGTCTACTCAGAGGACTTGTAAATTATAACAGCAAGAAAACATCAAACAGACTCCGAGGACTGAAAAACATTTGTGACTCAGAGAGACATGAAAGGTTTCATGAGAAAAAGGCGTTATCCACATGCAGGGTTTGGCATTTCCCGAGGAGCCCTGCTGTTCAGACGTGAAATTACACAACGCCGGGGGAGCGGGGTAAGCTTTACTACAGACTGAAGGTGCACTGTGGGTGGAAAACAAGAGAGGAGATTCAACTCCTTTGGTGGCCTTGGCTGAATTTAATATTGAAAGCAAAAGTTTCCCGAGCAAATATGGCTTCGAGCGGGAAAACAGTGTAAAGATAAAGCCCAAACACAGGGATGAAACGCATGTGGTGAAAAAAAGCAACCTGAAGACAAAAAAAGAGAGCGTATAATAATATCACATCAACAGCAAGGACGACGAACAGGGGTGGGAATCACCAGTGGCCCCACGATACGATATTATCACGATACTTGAGCCACAATAAAATATTATCATGATACAATATTATCACGATACTTGGGCTGACACAAACCAAAAGTTCCTCCCAGCAGCTTTAACCCTCCTCCTGTGTTAAGGTTGGCACCAGCTTGTTTTTGGTTTTAAATGCATAAAAGAACCACATGATTTTTACTTATTTATTTATTTTTGCATCAAGTGTCTTGACTTTGTCAAGAATCTCTATTCCGACAAAATCAGATTTTTTTTTTAATTTACTATATCATAAAATGCTCTGGTTAAAATTATGGCACTTGTCTTGGTAGGGTTGCTGTCGACCTGATTCATTTTGCCATGTTTTTCTCTGCACAAAAAAAGAAACAACAGGCATGTCCAGTCATGTAAGATCAATTCAGTATCGATGTCTGTGTGAGGAATATACTGACAAAGAAAGACCCAGAGGCCCACAACAACAAATATTATAAGCAATATTTTCATGGATAATGAAGCCTAAGAAGGTAACATCAAGATGAGAACCAAATTGGATGATCGAGAATTGTTTTTAGTGTCATTTGCAGATGACACATAGTGAGAGCTAACACAGGAGGAAGGTTACAGGAGCTAAGACAGCCTGATGGGATTTGCTTATTAAAACTGTTTTCTTCAGAATATGCTCTCAAAATGAATTAAGGTCTGACGGGTTTAACGAAACAAAACAAAAACTTTCCTCCTGAATCCCACATGAGCTCTTATTACCTCTCCCTCGTCAGCAAAGTCAGGTTGTTCTACACAATTTATTTCTTGTAGCGGTTCTATCAGACCCTACCAAGTGGAAAATTACAAATCAGACCCAACGATCCGTATCTGGAAAAGCCTTATAGAGCTGATCCATGCTTCTCTTAAACACCAGCCCCCATGAATCATGATTCATGATGGGGTACACTCCATTTCTGCTCTACCAGCAGCAGTGCTGTGGCTCGTGTATTTCACTAAATGTAGGAGATAACTTGAATTTTCCCATCATTGTCACAAGTTATCATCATCTGTTAAAAAGCATAAATGTGGGAGTAATTGAGCTGCAGTGATATTGTTGTGTGGACAGGATGAAGCAACAGTGTCACAGAGTCTGGCTCTGCCATCTGTTTCCAATTTGTGTTTTTCAATTACAAGAAAAATCAGCGATAGAGAAAAAAAGGAAAAGTCACTGATTGCTTCAGTGGTGGATGATATTTGGAGCTGTGACCTTTCCACACACTACAGGATAAAAACCATGAATGCTACAAGTATATCTGAGATAAATTTGTCGTCAGGGGATTATTATGATTCTTTAAAACTGATCATATCAAGAAGAAAGCAGGTTCAAAAATACCTTTTAAGACTGTTTTAAAAGCCACATAAAACCACTTCAATGAAAGGAGAAAAGGAGAAGCTTTTTGTTTTGATCAATGAATACTGATTGAAAAAATTACACTGACTGACTGTTTCTTCTTGTATTCAACCTGCATTTCTTTCTGATGCTGGGGATGCACTCAGAGAAAAATGTGGAAGGGTTTAAGGCACAAAAATGTGTCAACTGGAACAAAAGAGGATAGTGTTACTGTCTCGTCAGCTCATTTCCACTCCAAGGAAGGAGTAATGTGGGGACATGAGAACAAACGATGGACCAAGGAGTGTCTACAAGAGAAAGAGAGAAACTTTAATCATTCTATAGTTGAAAATCTGACAACTTCAGCTAAAAAACTCGAGGTCCTTCTGGAGAAAAATGGTGTTCAGGACAACCAAAGAAATTACAAATCAGCAGGACCACATCCTCTCATCTGAACTTCTCCCTGAATCTTTTAAACTCTGCCTACTGTACCCCAATCCCCTGAAGTGAGCATATATTTCAACATGTCCCTTCCTTCTGCTGACAGGATGCTGAACACTGACTGCAGAAAATGACTTGCATTCAACTAACCCTTCCTACGTTCATACACGTATCTATCTATCTATCTATCTATCTATCTATCTATCTATCTATCTATCTATCTATCTATCTATCTATCTATCTATCCATCTATCCATCCATCCATCCATCCATCCACCTACCTACCTACCTATCTATCCATCTGCCTACCTACCTACCAATCTACCTATCCATCGATCTATCCACCCATCCAATCAACTTACCATCCATCCTTCCAACCATCCATCTAAATCTCCCAGTTCTGCTACAAAACTATCAATTATGTTGTTTCACAAAACTGAACTGCTTGGTTCTTGGTGTAATATCCAAATTTCTAGACCCTGAAATTGTAAAATAATTATGTTTATTAAAACTGCATTATTAAACTGTGAAGTGCTGCAGAGACATTTTGGCCCACAGATTTTGTTCAAGACATCAGCTCAATGTCATGATTTCAGGTTTTTTTTTTTAAAGTGTAAAGCAAAGTTCAGTCGTCAACTGGTAGTGTGAATTTTTAACAATCACAATAACGGTTATAATAATTGATAAATAAGTTTTTGGTCATTAAAAAACGTGAATTAAAATGTGAGTTAACCAAAGCCAGTCAGGCACTCTTACTTTAATATGAGTGGTGCATGAGCATCAACACAATCCCAGACCCCCCCTTAGAGGGAGCGATCCCCTCTGGAAATCAAATCCAGATTGATGGACTGAAATGGGATGTGCGTTGTTTCAACATTTGACTTATGTTTTCTCATCTCTCAGACCACAGACCTAATTTTTCTATGGCTCATTTTTGCAAACAAAAATCATAATAAATAAAAAAATTGTAGAAATGGTCCCAGCGCTCAGGGACAGCAAGTTATTATTGATCATTACAAGTGTTAGCGCTCACAGTTTTAGTTGTACAATGTCAGTTTGGGGTGAATAAAGTCATCTAAACCAACAAGATTTGACGTCTATGTGACAGAGACCCTAAAGAAAAAACTGAGGGTCTCAGGTGACCCACATAAAATGCTTTAAGGTTAATGGATTCTGCAGGCTGAAGTAAATGATGCTGGAGTGATACGCCTTCGCACTTGGTTGGATGGGTTGGATGGTTTGTCACCCATTAAATCTATAGAGGTCACATTGAGGATAGAGAGGGTGGGACAGAGACCCCACTCAGATAAACCCCACACAGGCACACAGAGAGAAGAGCAGCTGCACCTCTATTCATCACAGTGAAGTGGAGGCTCTCGTCCAAACAGAAAAGACTCTTTCAGAGGGGTCTGTGGTCAAACAAGTCCGACAGCTGCTGCCGCCTGCACTTGTGAGAGGATTCCGCTGTTTAGTTATGGACTATCATCTGTGTCCAGCAGAAAACAATCTGTCATAATTGAGTTTTTAATGCTTAAAAGAGATGGTTTAAGAGATGAAACGATAATCAATCGGAAAACTGATGCACGTCTGTTTAAAGTTTGGACAAAAACAGCCGTTTCCCTCACCCTGCTGCAGGGTTGCAGGATTAGGGAACAGATCCTGTCTTCAGCGGATATCTTCACTGGAATCAAACCCTTCAGCCAGAAATGATTCATCCTCTTTGTGAAAGTTAATTACAAAATCTTCCAGTGAAATTTTAACAGGAATTTCCCATTTGGAGATGAAGCGAGTATCAAACCAAATTAAACTAAACTGTAATCAAGCCTTAATGTCACACACTTACTTTAGACCTCTATTTCTGTCCTTTTTATCTGAGGAATCATTTAAAGTCCTTTTTAAGATCATTTATTTGTCATTAGGCACTGTAGTCCATTATCTCCTTCCTCCTTCATTCAAATACTGCCCCAAATCTGATTTAAGCTCAATTCACACATGACTCAAATTACCTGGAACCTCTTAATAAGTGCTCACGCTTTCTTCTTTATCATCTTCCTTATCGTAATCCTGTGAAATCTGCCATGTTTCTAAATTGTACGTTCAAACTCCACAGCAAAGTAGGTTCCATTTTTAACAAACACAGAGGGCGTGTGATAATCCTGTAAGTGCTAATGGCATCTCTGTGATTAGCCACACATGATTAAGAGGAAGCCGAAATCTACCAGAGGAGAAAAGTCTCATAATAAAGAGAGAGACAGAGAGAGTATCTTTACATGGGCTTAAATCTTATTTTTATACATATGATCTTCATCTTCATGTCATGATCTTCAATGTCATGTGTCGTCTGTGTTTGTTTACATCCTGGTAGTAGAGCTGTATTGGATTGGTGCAGCAGACTGATTATGGACCTGGACTCTGGGTCTTGAATTATTAAAATACGGATACTTCCTTTGACCTGGTGCCGACTGGTGAAAATGCTCACATTCAATCTAGTCCACTAATCACACACGTCCTTAACCTTCATTATCCATCAATCTGAAATGTCTCCGTTATGAAAATATTGTAAATTACCGATGACATTTTGAGAGAGCCTTGAACACTATCTTCTAATTGCTTCTCCCACACACTCCTCAAATAATCCATTTACAACAGCATGAAACAGAGAAAAGCAGTCAAACGTCGTTTTAATGGGACCATTTCCATTCACAAACTGTCGTTGATGGGCCATCATTCAACCTGCTGACCCCGTTCAATCAATGCGTTCGCTCCTCCGCCTCTTTTGTGTCTGATATCTCTCCTGTGAGTTTATGTCGGTGGGGAAGGACGCGGCCCGGGAGCATGCTGGTACGAACACATGATGAATTAAGAGGACAAATTCTGACGGACAGACTCGGGACTAAATGTCACCGGAGACAACAGGAGACGTGACCTTTACTGAAGAGGGGACGGTCTGCACACTGCGGGCCTGACCGGAATCATAAAAGACACACACTGAGACACGCCTGAGCATGCACGCATACACCCAAACACACGCAGCGACGGCTGAATATAAGCACACACACACACACACACACACACACATGTATCTTACTACAGAGAGAAAACTGTAGAAGTTTTAAAATTCTGAATATTTGATAATAACATACAGATATTTCTAGTTTTGCAAAATAAGACATTGTGGGATGACATCCTGGGATTTAAACCTCCTCTGATGAATTTAATTACTTGTTCGATATCAATGTAGCAGATCAGTATTATCAAAGGATACACGAATAATAAGAAAGAAAGATGATTTGATTTGGTTGATTTTGTCTTTCAGGATTATTTTTGGGCCTGTATTGTGAAAGACAGAACTATAAGTAGAGTATAGAAGTTGAAAGAAGTGGAGTTATAGGAATCAAGTAATAACTCTGTTTCTGGTCATAAGCCTGGCCCAGCATCCTTTAGTCTTTTCCAGCCTTTTCGTAACATCTTTTAGACTCCGGCTTGACTGCAACTATAGGGCTGGGTGATATGGCCTTAAATCAATATCACGATATATTGGGCAGTTCACCTCGATAACGATAAATGGACGAAAACTACTCCACAATCTGCTCACCCTCTCCCACATTAACTTCATCTACTTCAGCCACTGCTCCAGCCGCTACAACCGTCCTCTATCTCCTTACCTGCCTTTCCCTCTTTGTTACGGACTGGATGGGGTGGAGTCACGTCTCTGACGTAGGACAGCGTCTTGAAGGGACATGAGACCATAGCCTACCTACACACATCCAAAACCAACTTTTATTTTTTGACACAGAATATACTGATATGGGCAAAATGACATCGCTTATTTCCATAAATTTCGGTATCGGTAAATTTTCGGTGTATCGCCCACCCCTACTTAAGACACACACCTGCCTCCTCTTGCTTCTCTCCTCTCTTCGTGATGGTTCGTACCGCTGCAGTACAACATGTTGAAGATACAGCAGTTCACTGTTAACTTTGGCAGGATCTGCAACTGCTCTTTTTTAGGAGGGAGAGGAGGTCACCTGTTAGACGACCAACTTTGTTTCCAGGAGTGTGACCATCTCTGAGAAAGTATCACGTTGTCTCAAAATGATCACAAACCACAAAAGTAACTGTGGTGGAAACAGAGACAGAGAGCAGCCTGATATCAGACGACATGAGGCAGGGCAGCGTGACTCCAGGCTGATGAGGCCAGCTAAGCCACTTTTAAACCACACGGTGATACAACCTGCTCGGCTGCTGTCTGCTGTGATTGAACGTTTAGCTGACTGGGCTGTCGGACACCCAGCAGGGAAGGATGCTGTGTAGTGTGGAGAGATTTGACAATCAAATATAAATATAAAATGACGCTCATGAGGGCTTTATTCTAAACTCTGCTCTGTGACTTCTGTTTTCATGTTTCTTGTCTGAATAGCTCAAACAGCTTACTGGGTGTTAAACCTGATTGGTTTTCATGACTTCAACCTTCAAATGTCAGAGCAGGAAGTAGTTCAGTCCTGATAGGGCCGCAGTGTTCAGGGAGCTGAATTAATGTCAGACATTATCATAAAACTCAAGTGTGACGTGTCGAGCTCCCGCATCCAAACCTGAGATGTGACTCACTCTGGCTCGGCTGCTCATGCCTGAAATGTTTGTTGGCAGCAGCGATTAGGAAGCACCTCATATCCTGGCTCGTGTGGCTGGCTGTGACTGATGGGGCTGCTAGCCGAGCCTGTCTGGGTCTAACTACCTCTGTTGACCTTTGAGCAAGGCGGAGTGCAGCCAGCATCTGTCACTGAAGCAGTGGCAGCAACGCTCGACTGTGTTTGTGTGTTTAAGGATATTAGACGCAGTGTTCCTGTAGAAATGATGTACAAAAAGACACGGAGCTGATCAAAATACAAAAACTAAACTGACTGATTCATCACTGTTCATGGCTACCCACACGCTCTGAAAAATAACTTCAGTGAGCGCCTTTGACTCACCACCACCAGCAACAACAACAACAACCACCACCACATCATTACAGCGGCTGTTTGTGGCATAAACTGACTCCTCATCTTCAATATTCAAATACAAAGAAAGAAAGAGGAGAAAAAGGGAAAAGGATTTTGACTCTAGATGTGCTTCCAAACTACAGATGTGGAGCCAAACTGGTTCTGTGTGTGAGTGCGTGCAGAAACAGAGAAGAGGTCTTCGAGAGAAATCTCTGCCAAGTAGGTCACGATGTGTATTTGTGTACAGCTCGCATCTGTTTCTGCCTAGCGACTAAACCTGAAAATAAAGAACTAGATTCACTTTGTGAAGAAAAACATCGAGAAAATGTGGTCAGAACAAAGAAAAAAGGACTTTCTGGAGCGGGAAGTGGAGAAAAATAAGACCACAAAAGCAGCTTCCAAGTACAGACGGTGGACCCGGAACCACAGGGGGTGTGAGTCTTTTGACCAATCTTTGGATGATAGTAGGGCTGCACGATTTTGGCCAAAAATAAAATCTAGATTTTTTTCTCTGCAAACTTGATTTTAGATTTTTAATTTTTTATTCAAGGCGCGAGACATGATCAAGAAAAAAATATGACAATTTCAATTTTTTTAATATCGTCATTATTAAATAACCTGATTATGATTTAAAAGCGATTAATCGTGCAGCCCTAGATCACAGTGTGTCTGGTTCCGTGCTTTAGGGTTGAAAAGGTATTAGGGCCCGACTGATATGGATTCTTTGGGGCCGATGCTGATACCGATTATTAGGGGAAGAAAAAATCAGATTACCGATTAATCGACCACTCTCCTCTGTGCGTCCCTGAGCTGCCTGCTTCAGAGCCGTCACTCTGCTGTGCCGTGAGGTAGTTAGTGGAAGAAGATTGTCATGAGGTCGCTGCGCCATCTACAGGATAAGTCGGGGAACTTTTCAAATGGCAGAAAATTTTCTAAGTGAAACCGAATCTTATTCTCCGCATTTTATTTCTCAAATATCGGCGAAGGTCGGCGAGTTTTGGCCGATTACCGATTAGTCTCAAACAGGCTAAAATTGGCCCTAATAGGTAGGCATGATACCTCAATAAGAGGGTGCTAGAAAGTAGGACTGTCAATCAGTTGTTTTTTAAACTTCTCCTGACACTAAAAACACAAATACAAACAGTTTCAAGCTGAACTGAACTGGACCACTTGGTGGAAATGAAATCTACAAGCTCCAGCAGGGTCAGCTAAGGGGGCGCAAAGTCATTAAAAAGCCCAAGGTCCAAAACCATCACTTCTGTTTATGCCAGTATCTCTGCTTTTTAGTAAGGCCTGCACTCGTATTTTTCCAAATAATGGATTAGCTGACTATCTCTCTGTATGTGACATTTATTCCACGCTCCTCTTTGAGATTTTAAGCTTTTAAATTCAAAAGAAAATCGTGAAAATAAATAAAAATTAAAGTTCAGCTCCAACAGGGAACGACTAAAATCAACATCTCGCTGGCTCAGTTGTGAGTCTGTTTTATCAATTTTTCTGATTTCTGCTGGTTATTTTGAGGTCAGAATAAATAAAAAAACAGTATCATAAAAGTTTAATCTGCCTATTTCTACAATGGGGCACTTTCAATTACATCTTGTGGAGCTGTGTGGAGCTCTGCCGTTATCGTCGCTGTCCCTTTATGTCAACAGAAGGATGGAAAAGGTAAACAGACAGAAGCAGAGACACTCGGTTCATTCATTGTCTTTGCTGATGGATAAATCGGCTCTCTGGCTGTTTTTCTTTCAAGCGCTAACTAAGATGTTGTGCGGGAGGCTGCGACAGCTTATACAGTCTGTCAGACAGGCTTTTTATTTTTAATTATTTTTTTCTAAGAGAAGAAAGTAAACGAAGAAGAAAACAAATATTTGGGACATCATTGGAAAGTAAACACAGAGATTGAATGATGCTCCCTCCTCCTACCTCAGGCCTAATCTAGCTCTGCTCAACAAGCCAGTATGTAAACACAGATATCTGCCTCACACACTGATACACAGAAGAAAGCAGAAACACACACACACACACACACACACATAGAGCCAGCAGGCCTTCGCCCACGCGCTGAGCAAACCGTCCACTTCATGAATATCAATACAAAATGTACAGGGCCACCTGCTGTACTCAATACAAAGGCCATTTACAAGGGACGGATCAGAGACACAGCTACCGTAGATTTCCTGGCTACACACAGCGGCGAGGCAAATGAAGCGACACAACCACTCCACTCACCTTCCATCCCAATAACACAACAACCACTGGAGGAGACACAAACACTACTGAGGCTCCTGGAATAAGAAGATCTTCAGCAAGGACACACTGGAAGAGAAAGCTGGTCTGGATTATAATCCTCCACTGGCTGATAGATGCTTTCAAAGAGCGTATAAACTCGTGGAGGGGCCCCTGGTCAGCCTGGTTTTTCCCTGATTGGCTGCGGTCTGTGAGTGACAGAAGAACCCGCGCAATCGTGAGCCGGCTCTGTCGTGCCCTCTCGTCTGTAACCCAGCAGAATAAGTCAAGTGGGGGGTGCGGGGTCTGTAGATATGAGTGCAGCCAATCAATAACATGGATTTTAATGAAAGGGGGCGGGGGCAGGTGCTCCTTAGTCTGTCCCTGCAGGGGTAACCATGACAACCCTTAAATGACCCTACAGCAGATCAGATGAAGGAGCTTTGTCAGTGCAGATCACTGAATAGTCCTTCAGTCTATTATCTTGGTATGATCATATATGGATGTATTTCTTAATTTATTCAAAGGGCGTTGAGAAGAAATAGACCTGCAGGATGAGATATGATAAAAAATGCATAAATGATAATATTGTTCAATAATGCTGGTACTATATGTGAAAAATATGAAACAAAACAGGCTGTATATAAGCTCAAACTCAATGTTTGTTTTATAAAAAATACCTGTTTCATCTAGCAGATCGCTATTTCCAGAGATGTTACCAAATCACAGTTAACTCAGATTTGATGTCATGCCAAACTCTGAGATTCGATTTTTAAAGGTTGCAGGGTTGCACTTTTACAGCACAACCCAAATGACCCTAAAGTCACAGGCTTCCTCTCTCCTCACGTGCCTTACTGGCACCAAATGACCACCAGTGACCATATTTAACCCTGAAAAACAGATATCAGTGTTTGCTTAAGCTTGTTCAAACTGATCTAAATAAAACTAAAACTCACTGCCTTCTTTTGTGTTGGTAAGTCGTCATGTTTGCTGTTTAAATTTGATTTTTATTTGACAGGGATGTAACAGCACGGTCACTTTCATGGCGCTGCGAGAGCAAAAGCCTCTCAAAATTATTACGGACCTGTCATGGTACAAAATGACAGAGTCTTTCTGGCAAAAAAAGTGTAGGTTTGTTCCAGCTTTAGTGGAGCAGAGCAAAATGGGAACTACAGCGACCATCGTTCTTTGCCCTCTGCTTGCTGCCTCAGCCGAAATGACAAACAACAGTTGTGAGGAATAGAAGTGGGTTTTAAAACTGTGGATGCTCCAGCAGTTTTTAATTCTGATGTATGAAAGCATTTGAATTCCCAGAAAGGAGAAAACAAACATCAATATGCAGACACTGCTGCGACTCACATGTTGGAAAATAGGGCTGAGAATCTCAGGGTACCTCACGATACGATACGATACGATACGATACGATACGATACGATAGCTGATACATGGCTCATGATAGCGATAATATCTCGATATGGTGATACCGCAATTATCGATACATTGCTCCTGGTAACCTATGATATATCTGTGCATTTATAAGCGTGAAAGAATAAATTTCATAGTTCATATATTGCAGCATAAATTAACCACAGTGCAGTGTTGACTGTACCGCCTATGTTGCAAATTTGCAAGAGACTCTTATTACATACTGCAAAGTCCTTTTCCAGCTTAGTCCCATCCACACTTTAAAAGCCAAAGTGTGTCCATACTCTTGACCTAAACAATGCTGGTCTAACTTCGCCACGGCCATATTTGCTCTGTTGTTTGTTTTTTCTTCTTTTGTGGCTTCGGCCCGATACTTACTCGCCAGAGAAACACCCCCTGGTTGCGTATAAAATGGTGACCCGAGTCACTAAGGAAGAGTGATGAAAGAAGTGTATAGCAGATATAGTTTAGTGATGACACAAAAAAATGAATATGCGGCAAGCGTGCATCGATAATCAATCGTTAAGTTAAATATCACAATAGTCCGCCAATTAATATTTTGTCACACTACTAATGGGAAATACTGTAAAAGTGGGAGTCAGGCCAAAGTAACCACAGTAAGCATTTACAACCAGCTACACAGATTCTCTAAATACAAATCAGTTTTTTAAGAAATGCCCTGATGTTAAATGTAAATGAGGCAAAATACTGGTACAGACATCGTACTTCTATAGCAGATGAAACTCACATAATGTCTGTGCACTGTGCTCAAAAATCTGCATATCTTCAGACTGTGAAAAAACGACACTACGCCCAAATAACTTGAGAAAGACTCTGTTCATGCTCCCACATTCAGTGTTTTTTTAAATAAGGTTTTTCTTGTTAAAACACGTTTTACATTCTCAGTTTTTTCCATCGATTCTAAAGTTAAGATGCTGTGGTAAATCATGTTTTATTCAGTCAAGATATGGGATCACAAAAAGCCATGATATCTATGCAGACACTAGAGGGCTATTTAAACTGCAGGGTTGTGAGGGTTAATGGAGTAATTGGGGCTCAAGTGCTTTGCTTAGGAGCCCCTCAGTGATGGTCTCTAGAGAGGGTGCCGAGTCCAAAGTTTAATTTCAGCATATCGAGTATTTCCCTCCACTCGATCCCAGGACTATGTGGCTCTTCTGTCTTTCTTTGCCTCTCTTTCTGCCTCTGTTCAGTTTGCTGAGATACTACAGACGGAGGAGGATGGAGGAAAGCCCAGCGAAATTAAATGCCTGACAAGGTTAGCTTCAGTTCTTTGTTAGCCTTTGAACATGATGATGACAAATGCGGCGATTTCTTTCCACGAGACGCCACTGGAGCGATTTAATTATCACTGCACTTCCTTGAAGATCAACCGAGAGGAATGATGCGTGCCCTCGCTGACAGGCATCGGAAACGTAAATACCATTCATCGGAAGATGTCAATTCAAATTTAACCTCAATTTACAGGATATTTAAGGATTACAGGGGAGGGTAAAGTGTTTATAGAAGACAAAAAGCCGAGAAATGATAAATACACTGACACTAGTAATGATTACTGGGTTTTTAAGTGTAGAATTATCACAGTGAGTGCGACTCAAGGGTGCTTAAACGCAGGTGTTCACCATTACAGCTGCGCAAGGAATAAAACAGGCAGTCGTGCAGCTGCTACGTTAACATGGAGGACGCAAACAGCAACATGAAGACACCCTGAAAGGAAGAGTAAAAACAAGACTCTTCATAATCTTTCATTCCTCTAAACTTGGCTAAATCAAACAATAGAGACATATCAGATATCGGGATTTTTAAACCGCAGGTCCCCTTTTCATGAAGCCCCAGCCTCTTAAATCCAAAATCAAACAGCACTAGAGCCAAATTCCTCTCTGTCCATACCATAGAGGGTGTTAATCACATTCAAACTCATTTTGCAAACTACCCCGCACCGTATTATCCCTTTTTCATCAGTCGCCAAGCACACACGATGATTATGACTGAGGGAGTAATGCCAAGAACAGCCGCGTTTACATTTCTCAGCTCGCCCGTCCACAGCAGAGGGTTTGATCGTCAACACCAGTCCACTTCACTTCGATGGTTCGTGTGGTTAATGGCGCCAAATTCCTTTATCTGTTATTGATGGTGCAGTTTGGCCTTTTACTTAGCCTTCTGGGACTCTCACTGAAGAAGCAATTTCCTTCAACGCCTCTCCTTGTCATTTCAGTAATGAACTCTGCGTAAGCACTTGGGTTGTCATCATGTATCAATCTTCGCCATGCTTCATGTTTAATTTTGTTGCAACAGCTGTTTTTGACTGTGTCCGGAATGAATCACTCAATCCCTAACCCCTAACCCACATATGGGGTTTCCCTATATAGCTGACTATGTAGTGAGCTCAATCACCGGAGGTTTCGGACACTACATGGCGCACCGTTGTGACGTCACTGCTTAGACTGCAACTGGAGACGCAATGCATGACGGACGCCCACCACCGGTGAGTGACCATCGGATGGTCACAACATTTTGCAATGCTCTATGAGAAATTTTGAGTCGCCTATATGGGGCACTGGAATTGATCACTCAGGTTTTGGACACCCCTCAAAATGGCACTAACCCCCATATAGTCGCCTACATAGGGGTTATGGATCCATTTCGGACACAGCCTTTGCAATTATGGCTTCTTCAGTCAGCCTGCTTCCTGATTGGCTGTTAAGTTGTCTGCATGATCGGCCGTCCCGTCAAGGATTTCTGTTTGATGGTCACGATTTCAAGTTGAGGAAGCCTGATCGTCTTCTGCGCAGATCAGAGGGAAGAAAAATCCCTCTTCACACCTCACACCTCAGGATAATCTGGGAAGATAATCTTTGAAACCATCTGATACTGGGGCGTCTGCTGACCTTGGTCAGAAGGGAGGACTCCAGTGCGAAATCAGCCCAATTAAAGGGATATTCCGGCGTAGATTTCAGTCATGGTTAAACACAGTCTAACACTGAGTTAGACACCCCCTCAAGAGATGGATGTTGCCAACAGCTTGCTTCTCTGGTTACACCAACTTTAGTAACGACAGCAAGATAGCAACACACAGCTGTCTACGTCTCCACGTGCCAACCTCAACCAAAATGCCACTCTATAGCCACAAATAATGCTCAGAACAGCACCTAACTTCATCAACAGTACATATAGGGTCCCAGCCATAGTACAAGCCATCAAACATCTATTTAGCTTTGCCTGCAACTTGTGCCGGAATATCCCTTTGACAGGAATAAAGTTTCAGAAAATGTGGTTTGATTTCAGAGCTGGTGGCACAGAGACTTTAATAATACCCTCATCCATGATTCAAGAGCTGTGCCTTCACTTGTGTAAACACTGGTAGCTGTCCTGTTTCCAATTCATTAAATGCAAATGTGTTAAACTAGAAAATACTCTCACAGTTTAAAAATGTCCAGCGTCTCCTGCACCCAGCTGATAGCCAAAAGGTTTGTTTATGTTAGGGTTACAGAAGCTTAAACCACTTCAATTTTTCTCTTGATGTCTGTGCTATTTCGACCTGTTACACCTGTTGCATCCTCAAAGCCACATCTACAGACATCAACATATTCGAGTATGTGGGTCTTGCAGTTTTTTGATGCTCATCAGCAGGGGTTAAAAAAAGGCACTAAGGGAGTCTGCACTCTTAGATCATTTTTCTGGCTCATACTAATCTATTTTTAGAGTCCAATGCCATTCAGTTCTCACACTGTACAGCCCTGCAACAAGGATTAGAGCACAACTTTAACTTTTAGGGAGCAATGTCAGAGATCTACAATTATGGTATTTAAACATAAAATGCTTTAAATTCTGAAATTTGAACATTTTAGTACAAAACGTTTACCTAGAAAGCACGTCAACACAAAACTGAGTGTGTCAAACTTGGTGCTAGGCTACAGAAAAACTATCCAGGACCTCTTAAACACACACAACAACACCTAAAGCGAGTGGTGTCGGCGTGCTGAGACTGAATGACCTCACCTCCCCTGGTTCTAGCCAAGTCTAAGATCATTAAACTCAAAAGTCTCGGCTCTGTTACTGTTGGCATGAGCTGACGGCTGCTGAAGTTATGGATGGCAGCGGCAAATGGCCTGGGAGCTGTTCCTGTTTGCTAAGTAGTTTCACAACCAGTCTGAGATCCATATAAGGAGATTCTGGATGCCAGTAACATGATGATGTAGAAATGTTTCCAGGTCTTTCTATTAAAGAGTCGAGGTCTTGTCTTCTGGTAGGAATAATCCATTCATAAAGCACTTTTCCGGAGATTAGGGTTGTTATTTCAAGCATTACCTTCTTAAGGTTTTTGTAGTTTTCGGCCGTAATCTCACAGATTTTCAGTTTAAAATGTCAGAAAAGTTCATTTCCAGTGCCAAAAGGTTGGCACAGTTGTGACTAAGCATTGAGGAAAAATCCACTGTACTCTCTGTGATGGCGAGGAACAAAACCAAGTGTCAGTTCTGTCATGAAAAAGCTAAAGCAGCACATTATTAGTGAAGCATTTTCCATTACTCTGCAGTGGTTGGTCTGCCAAAGAGGGTAAACGGATAAACAGGTTTGTTCTTTCTTTGCAAGTGAGTAGGGGTATCGTTTTTGTGGGTCTCATTAAAAGACATAGGGCTTCACGATTTTGGCCAAAAATAAAATCCCGATTTTCGGGGCCTACGGTGGCTTGGAGGCGTGAGACATGATAGAGAGGAAAATCGATTCAACACTTTTAATTTTTTTAACATCGTCCTAATCAAACAATCTGATGACGATTTGAAATCAATCAATTGTACAGCCCCAATGAGCAGTAATGTTACTGACAGGTAGCTGATGTTCAGGTGTTGATGGTTGAATAATTACACTGCTTCTTCCAATCACTGCCAACCTTCAGACAACTTTCAGGCAGGTAGACTTTATAAAAGGGAGACAAATCCCTGCAGCATCAAACTTGGAGAGAACGGAGCTCAAGGTTACCTGATCCCTGAGCCAGGATCCAGGATTCACTTTCTGAGCAAACATTGGCACCTACTTTGACACCATGGCTGCATCTGCACCGGGAGAAGTCAATCTCTAAAACAAAAATGCAGCCAGAAAACCAGAGCAGGTTCGAACCAGCGAAAACCATGTTGTGGCAGAACGTGACACCGGTGACGGGACTGAAAGTGGATCACTGCCCACCTCTGGAAGGCAGCTGGCAATTTGGCCAAGGTGAACTGTTCAATAATCGTGTTTTAATTCATCTGAAGGACAAAAATACGATAGCTGGAGAATCACCTGATAGTCCACGTCATCTTTGGGTTTTACAGCAAAGATACTTCGAGATCTCACATCACAATCAGCAGAGAAAAAAACACAGGCAGACCATTTCCACTGCAGATTTCTGAGGCTTTAGAAATCTGCAGTTTTACACCAAATTAATCACAGATGGAGAGATTTCTCCTTCTCTTGCATCTGCTTGGCGAGGGTTCAGTGTCACAGGTCATGATGTCTGAGGCTGTACTGGTTTCTGCCTCTCACTGCGAGTCCTCGATCTCAAAAAAGACCGCTTTTTGGGCTCGCTTGACACTCGGCCATTAAATGAGCTCATGAGACAAAAATAGCAGAAGTCAGCAGTTACCACAGAAACCTGATCACTCTGCCGCTTTGCCGATCTTACGGGGTGTTACCATGGCAACAGAGACACGCCGCTTGCTAGTCGGAGCGCTGTTTGTCTTTCATAAAACACTCCTTTTTTTTGTGTATGTGAGCTTATTGGGCCCGTGGGCGCTCACAGTGCCACAAACAAATAAAACAGAGCCCACCCCGGGATCCCTCACACAACAGTTCAGACCCATTAGTGGCTTATCGCTGCTTTTGAAACATAATGTGATCTTATCAGCCGGTGAACAAACTATTGTCCAGCTTAAAAAAGACATACCCCCTGTTAGGTTGATAAAAAAAATTCACTTTCTACATTTTCTATCGTCCTCTTTATTTCAAATAAGAAGCAGGGGTCAGAGACTTCTTCAGAACCAGATGGCAAGGGCATCCAGGTGTGAGTGATGTACTAAAAGGCTCAAATCTTCTGTTTTCTAAGCCGTCAGCATCCTCCCATTATCAGAGCAGGCCTCCACTGGCCAATAACATTTCTCTCAGCTCATCCCCATCAATGAGCTTACTGTTACTGATCTAATAATAATCTTACACAGGAATATCCTGGTCCACAGATAGTGCTGTGTTCGGGTTTCTCCCATCAGCGACGGGCATCAGTCTATTTCAGGCTGAGAACATCCCAGCAGACTGTCAAAAAGCCTCGTCAGTTATGAAACTGTGTGGCATCGCACATGTAACTACGCGTACGACGGATCATTAAGAGGAGCTGCAATCATGCGCCCACCAGATGATCAGAAAATAACGGTTTAACATGATGTAACTGATATAATCCCGCTCAGGACAGGAACTGTAATCACACAGGGAGTCACGCAAACTGATATGGAGGTCAATACAGCGTGATCAGATTTACATGGACTAATAAAATCAGAAGGACAACAGCTCATTATCTTTGAAGCTCGGAGAGAGAAGTGGTCAACAGCCGTACGTTTTTAGAGGAGCGTTAAAGGTGAGCGAGACAGTGGAGCCGAGCTTTACAGCAGGACAGGAGCCCCCAAACTGTAACTCACGCATTAATATCTACTCCACTCCAGCCAGGCCAGCTCGGCCCGTTGTTAACGTGAATGTCTCTTGCTGTTGGCAGTCCTTGCAGCTTTCTTGTCATCTTTTTACTGCTGTGTCCATGCTGGAGGGGTGCAGGCCTTAAAATACTCACTGTACACTCTGTCTCGCACAATGAGCTTGTCCAATAAAAACCCCAACAGAAAGGACAAAGTTTCAACAATACTTGGAGAGTATAATCTGTTTATACTTCGGGATAGCTGGAGAAGCCTACGTTTCCGTGAGCATGACATAATTCGACAAAACCTAGTGTTTCCCCTGCTTTCATTCAGCTGAATTACGTGCGCCGCTTCTGAAATTTCACATGATCATTTCAATGCGCCACTATTGCGCACTGTGTGAGCACAACACACAACGTTATTTTCGACTTCTTTTGAGTCATCAACGAGCGCATCAAATCCTGTCGGACCATCTTCCATCAATGTGAAAGGTAACGTTTAAGCCTATGCACGATCTATATAGCGAGTAGCATTAATAGCATTAATAGCATCAATATCAATGCGCCACTAATGGTTTCTACTCGCACTGTGTGAGCACAACAACACGTGTCGTTATTTTCGACTTGTTTTGAGTCATCAACAAGCGCATCAATTTCCTTTCAGACCTGCTTCCATTAATGTGAAGGGTAACGTTTAAGTTTATACACAGTCTATAGCGAGTAGTGCGCAATGTAATGTGAACGTAACAGCGTAGCTCCTTAAGTGGCAAGAGAGTGGGGGCAACAGCATAAATTTGTAGTTGAAGAAATTGTGAAAATGTTATTCTGACTATGCACATACGCACGTGTAAACAAGGTCTAAGGGTAGCACAAGGTCACTAAGAGGTTTAAAGGACCAACATTTAATCTGATGGATTTGCAGATATTCTCAATTAAAGGCTGCAGTTAATAAATTAACTTCTGACTTCTAATTTATTTTAGTATTTATTCATCTTTATCAGGCTTTTGTTGTATTTAATCATGTCCTTATCTTTTATTGTACCACTTTTAAATCACGTTTCATTGGCCTGTACTGTGTTTGTTGTGTATCTGGTGTTGAGTCTATGTTTTTCTGATGTCTCCATGCTGTTTGTCGTCTGGATGAGTCTTCTTGTCCTGGTGGTGAAATTGTTTCCCCCTTGCAGGATCAATAAAGTCTACCTTACCTTACCTTACCTCAAATTTACATTTACCCCAGATGAAAGGTTTTTGTATGTTTCTCATCTTTTTACTGCTAACACCTTGAACTGAATGGACACACATAAAAAGCTCCTAAGTGAACCTATATTTCCTCTTTTACTACACTAAGAAAGAGAGAGCTGTGTTACCGTTGGCCCCTTCACTCCACATCAATGACAATAAGATCGCTAAGACAACTTGACATCAGACGATCAATAACCACGAGGCTGCAGCACTGATTGAGTGGGCTGAGGTGGGTTTAATTTAACTACGAGCCCCTGGATTGAAACCGACCTGAAGTTTTTGCAATAAGTTTTTCACTTCCGCCCTCTCCTCTTTCTGTCACTACTGGCTGCCTTCTAATGATAAAGTTTAAATGACTTTAAAAGAAGAAATCGATAGCCCTTCAGGCAGGACCCAGATCTTGTAGCACATGGAAAACTGCGAGTACTGGCTTCCATTTGGATTGAGTGCAGACTTAGTGCAGGGCTAAAGAATCATCCTTTTTCCACGAAAACCAATTTGAACACACAGGTTAGAGGAGAGAGAAAGCACGATAGCATGCGGACTCCATTTATCCAAACCTGTGCTGAGGTTGGTTAGCTGGAGTGAGAGATGGGGGGCAGGGAGGTGACATCTGATGAGGTCAAATGTCTTTAAAAGAGCTCTGCATATGTGCGTGCATTTACCCAGGATCGTGGGAAGTGGATGATGTTTCTGCTCACACTGGTGTTAGTGAAACACAGATGGATATGCAAAATAAAGGGCTGTGCAAGTTCAACTAAAGCAAAGGCTGCAAAATTTCCACAAACGCCACCTCAGTCATCTTTATGAACACTTGAGCTGCACATGAATACAGAGTGTTGGACAGAGGTATGTTTGAAAAGACAGACAAACGGAGTCCCCATTCTGGATCATGCATGCATGAACTTTTAATAATATACCACATGGTGGGTATTAATAAATTAACCATGGTGGTATATCAATTATTAACCTTATGATGGTGTATTTATAATAACTGCATAATTACACTTTTTCCTTACAGTGTCTGAAATGATTATTTGCATTTCTCTTGTCTTGAGGATGATCATGTTTGAGGGTCTTTCCTCTGCATTTTCCTCTCCTGCCATCTGCCTTCATTAGAAAAAAAGCCAAAAGTCCTTTGTGCCAAACAGAAATCTGGCTCATCTCCCACCAAACCTGATCACTGACCTCAGTGTGAAATGCTGGAGAGGTTGATAAAGGCTGCTGTTTTTTTCTTTTCTTTCCTCTTTTCCTCCTGTGACAGTTTGGCAATAGATGGACCAACGCAATTACGCTAATGTCTCAACATAAATGTGATTAAAGTTACTTAAGGGAACTTTGATATAAGCCAAAAGTTAAAAGCTTTTTACATTCAGCTCGCCGTCAAACCTTGCCAAGTTTTGGAGTAGGCCTTTACACAACTGAGGTACAGGTTCAGGGTCCACCGCAGTGATTCATAGTCGACTGTTAAAGGGTTATGGCGATTTTAGGGGAGAGTCCAGAAGATGCCGCGACGTGCCAATGTGATTATAAAGACATCAAAACATGATGTTTTTAACTGCTGCAACACTTCATCATTGTGTTGTAAAAGAATAATAGATAAGATCAAGTGGAAGTTTGCATGAGATTAGGGAAAACAACTGTCTGCTGGTCCTCTGAGTGAATATTCAAGGGTTGTAGAAAAAACAAGCCATATGATTAGGGCTGGGCAATATGGCCTTAAATCCATATCACGACATATTGAGCAGTTCACCTCGATAACGATTAATAGACGATAATTACTTCACAAGCTACTCACCCCCTCCCACATTAACTTTGTCTACTTCACCGTCCTCCTTCTCACCGGTCTTTCCCTCTTTGTACAGACTGGATAGGGTGGAGTCACGTCTCTGATGTAGGACAACGTCTTAAAGGGACATGAGACCATAGGCTACCTGCACACATCCAAAACCAATTTTTTTTTTTTTTTTTTTGACACCGAATGTATCAATATGGGCAAAATGAAAAAGGTTATTGTTGTAAATTTCAAAATTTCAGTATTGGTAAATTTTTAGTTTATCACCCAGCCCTATATATGATGACATCAGCTCAGGCTTATGGACAAACTGACCAACATTTTTCTACTCCAGCCAAACAAATATATTCTGAGAGAGCTGCACTTCCACATATTAAAGATCGTAAGCTCATAATGTACACTTTGTATTTAATGACAGTCTTTATGGAGACGGTCTAGACTGTCCACATAAAGACAGGGGGATCAGGAGGGTCTTTAACACAGGCTCTTCTCCTGGAGACGACTTCATAGTCTCAAACTTTTTTTAGTGCTCAAGTTTATTTTCCAGCCCGGAGTTTGCTGATGCAGTGTTTACAGCCTGGAAATAAACTTGGACCGAGGCTGTTACCCACCAAAGCAATTCTAATGAAATCGCCCGTGAAAGGGGTTCGACTAACCTCGGAGTGTTTGAACAAATGCTGGTGAGTTTATGGCCAGAGCCTAAGGAGTCTGATGGGCATTTATGATTTGGCCTAATTTTATGTGTCTACTGTCTAATTCTCAGAAGAAGGAGTAACACAACGCACTTGTCGAGTTGATTTTCAGTGCAGGATTGTAAGAGGCAAAGCTGTACATTTTGGATTCGTTGTCAAGCTAACTTAAAGACCCACCCCGATGAAAATAATGTTTTTCTTGTTTTCTACATGTTCATATGGTATTTTTCTGATGCGACAGGACATATCAGGGGAAAAGTAGGTGCGAAATTGCATTTCTGAGTATTTCTTCATTTAAATCACTGTGAATCTCTGACAGACCCAAACGGCAGGCTCAGACACAGTGAGATTTCCTATGTCACAAATCCAAACTCCGCCCCCAGAGCCCCGCTATGCAGGTCAGACTCGGAAAACCAGAGAGGATGCTTGCGGAACAAGCATGTAAGTTGGCGGATTGCAATGCTTGTAAGAACGCTAATTATGATATTAGCTTTCATCATGCCCCTAAAGATATTAATGTCTAAGAGCTGAATAGCTCCAATGTTACCTGCCACTTCTACTACAACGGGAATGTTAGGCTACAACAAGCTAGCATTAAGAGGAGTGTGCAGAGCAGCGCTGTCTCCGCCCATGACTCAGAGGTGAATTGCTAATGAGCTACTGGAGCTCTGCAGGAGAAAAGCCCTTGAAAATGACACAGGTAACATGATTTTGGTTAAAAACTTAATAATCACAATCTAAAGACCACTGAGAAAACTTAAGGTAGTAAAAAAAAACGCTCGGAGTGGAACTTTAAAGACAAATTGTGTACTCTTACACACAAATTTACACCTATTAGTGTTGGTGCGTTGTGTACACTGCGACCATGGTGTTGCAGCACTACCTCATATCTATGCATTACAAATATTTCACTTTCAGGGGGTGCCAGAAGTGGTTCAAGAACAAGATCAACAAAGTGTGGTCTCAGTTATCCGAGTGGGCTTTTGAGTCAAAGCATGTTAAAGATGCTGTGCCCCGTAAAGACCTCTCCATGCTTTATTTATAGTCTTCTTCTGGGGTGCAGTACACCACAGGATGGACACGGACATGGAGGTTGGGAACTTTTGCAGCTGACCAACTGGTGGAAAATCAACGCAGAGACATTTCCCTGGATGGCAAAGCTGGCACAGCAGTGTCTGTGCATACCAGCAACATCAGAGCCTGAGCATGTGTTTTCTGCTGCTGGACCGACTGTGAACCAGCTGCACTCTCCACTAACTCCTGACTGAATGGACTAGCTAACTTTTCTCATGAAGAACATGTCGGCAGAAAACTGGAGTCTGAAATATTTCTCTCTCCCTTTTTTTCTCCTTTGAGTTCTCAAGTTGCAGCAGTTCAACATTCAGTAGTTGGAGCCTCACTCTGCATGACTTTATTTCCACAGAGCAGAGATTAGTTTATGAGTCTGCTTGGACGACTCTTTATGTTCTGTAGCTATGCAAAACCCAAAATTACATGCATTACGCACCAGTGGGCAAATGCATTGAATACAGTTTCTGTCAGAGTTAATATCTCAATTTTTAATTAGCGATTAAAACTGATTCATAGAATTTTTTCAAAATCTTTTTGCTGTAGCTGCTGTTTTTTGTCAACTCTATATTCACTCCCCTCTCCCTACTTTTGTTTCTATTCAGCTTTCTTATCCAGTAAAATAATGACTTGAAAATTGCACATTTAGGCTTTTCTTGAAGCAATAAATTGCACACATGAAAAAATTGAGAACTATAGAGCCACGCTCCAACATTTATGGCTGGTTAAAAATCAGCTGAATGGAAGATTCAAGGCTGTCAGCTAAATACCTCACAATGTAGTTTTTAACATCCAAGAACACATTGATATATCAGCATGTTCAGATATTTTAACACACTTAAACCAGCTATCTCTGATTTGATAACTGAAGAACGGCACAACATCCCTACAGCAAAAAAACTAGGGCTGGGTGATCAACTGAAAAATTACAGACACCAAAATTTACGACAACAACTGACGTCATTTTGCCCATGTCAATATATTCAGTGTGAAAAAAATAAATAAAAGTTGGTTTTAGATGTGTGTAGGTAGGCTATGGTCTCATGTCCCTTTAAGACGCTGTCCTACATCAGAGACGTGACTCCACCCCATCCAGTCCGTAACAAAGAGGGAAAGACAGGTGAGGAGACGGAGGACGGTTCAAAAGTTGTAACAGCTGAAGTAGACGAAGTTATTCTCTATAAATCTTTATCAAGGTGAACTGCTCAATATGTCGTGATATTGATTTGAGGCCATATCGCCCAGCCCTACTGCAAACATGAAGAAATTGAGAACTATAGAGCCACGCTTTAACATTTAAGACTGGTTAAAAATCAACTGACTGGATAATACAAGGCTGTCAGCTAAATACCTCACAAATGTAGTTTTTTGACATCCAAAAACACATTGACTTAATCAGCATGTTCAGATATTTTAAAAGGTTCAGCTCTCTTTCACTTGATTACTGAGAAATGGTTGATTACTTCAACCATAAAACTCTGCAAGAAGAATTTGTTGTAAAAGAAACATCTATCTATAATAGTTTAAATAAAAAACAGACCACAGGGACCCCTTCAGAGTTAAAAATCAATCCCAGACAGCCGGACATGGAGGACAAGCTGCTGTCAAACTGACAAAGTGAAGGCATTATCTGTGACCCTGAAACAACCTTCAATTTTTGGCAAGAATTCAGCTTCTCACATGACAAAGGACGGGACAACCTCACGAGCCGGGCTTCACTTAGATGTTAGATATGATCTAGAGCCGGCTGAAGAACCTCCAGGACACTCCTGGATCTGTACCCGCTCAGCTGTACATTTCATTAAAGTGAGATTAGTTCTGAGAGAAGTGCTGCATGACAGCTTCTCATCACTGGAACACACACACACACTTAGACACACTGTGCATGCCAGATGTGATCGGATGTAGAAGAAAGAAGTTACTTTTGGGTCCAAATGATCAATCAGATGAACACTGAATGTCTTGAAGGTGGAGCAGGTAGTGTGTGGAGGCGTCAAGGTACCAATCAGAGTGACAGTGATTCTTGGGAGGGTGGGGTAGAGGGCATGAAGGGGACCTGCCTGGAGACACCTGCCTCCACATTTCGATCAACACGACAACTCTTCCCGGGACACGTGCGCACATATACAGCCTCTGCACAATAGTGATGTTGTGTGTTTTGCTTTGCTAGCATGAGTGGATGGAGGCACTACGCTCACACCTTGCTGCAATCTGACCGAGCCGAAGAAAGAAGACAGGGGGGGAGGCTGACGCTTCTGGAAACACCGGCGAAAGCATCCATCTTCTGACAAACAAACATGCACCAAAAAAAAACACACACTGAGCAGCATCTCTTTACTATAACACAATCATCCTGAAGAGGAAAGCAAGAACACACGCGCACACATGCACAGGAGGCTAATAGCGAGAGAATGCGAGGCAGGCGGTGAGCTCGGCGTGACCAGCTAGCTTGCATCGCCGACCCTCCGTGCTAAAATGGTAGATCCCAGATTTCTCCCCCGTGCAATCTGCCACCAGCGACCATGGAGGCAAAACAGGAAGAAGAGAAGAGAGGAGAGGAGAGGGATGCAAGAGCAAGGCAAACAATCGTATCCCTTTCCCCTCTTCCCCCTCTGATCAAAACACACACACACACAAAGACAAAAAGATACATGGACAAACGCAGAGGAGGCGAGGATGTTACTTACATGAGGACTCTGTGCCGAACATGGCTGGGCCGGGAGCTGTGATGGAGAGGAGGAGGAGGAGGAGGAGGAGAAGGAGGAAAGAGAGAGGAGAGGGAAAGGGGAGGGTGAGGGGGAGCGAGAGAGAGAGGGAGAGGGAGAAAGAGAGAGAGAGAGAGAGAGGGGTGGTTGATGAGCAGGCAGCTACACAGCGGGGGTCATCAAAGCAACACAATGCAGCCAGCCGGCCGTCACTGCCGCCCAGACAGCCAGATGCCCCAGCTCTGCTATCTGTCGCTGCTTTAAAAAACCCTCCTCCGCGCACGCACGCAGTCCATCCGCATGAAAAAAAAGAGGCCTTTTGGAGGATTATATCAGTGTGTAAGTAAACCAAAATCAAAAGCAAACAGGGATCCTTCAGAGCCGAGGGAAACTGTGGTTAAAATCCAGGCAGAGACGTGGTTGTTGTGGCTGAATATCTCTGCATATCTCCTCTTTCTGCTGCCTATGTCCTGCTTCTCATCCTTTCCTCTCCGTCACTCGCTCGCATCTCATTCCACTGTGGGATTTACTAACGGTGTGTGAGAGAGAGCGAGAGGATAGAGAGAGAGAGAGAGAGAGGAGGGGGAGAGAGAGAGAGGGGGAGGTTTCCTGGGGAGAGAAGAGAGAAGGAGGGGAGTGAAAAACTAAAAATCTGGTGAAGTGCTGCTGCTGCTGCTGCTGCAGCCGCTGTAAGACAATAGCTATGCAAACAGAGAGTGACGTCAGGATGGACGAGGAGAGAAAGAGCTGTAAAAAGACTGACTGACTACTGCTGGCAGATGGAGGGAGAGGGGAGGGAGGGAGAAGAGGAGGGGGAAAAGAAGAAACAAGAAGAAACAGAAAAAGGGAGGGCAGGATTAAGCTGAAAGAGAGATGTAAACGAAGAAAGAGAAAAGGAAAAAAGAGAAGGAGGGCGAGATGATGTTGGACAGGAGGAGACGGGAAGATGGAGGGGGAGGTGGTGGTGACAGCAAAGGTGATCAAATTGAAAGAAAAGGCAAAAGAGGGAGGGAGGAGGAGGGGAGACGGATGAAGAGATACAGAGGAGGAGGAGGAGGAGGAGGGCAGACAGGGCCGAGGAGGGGAGGCACTGACTGGAGAAAAAGAGAGGGAAGGGAGCCAATCACAGAGCAGTTTGTCTACTTGAAGCTGCACACACACACACACACACTGGAAAGAGTGTTTGGGGGGGGGGCAGGGGGCCACTGTCTGTTCGACAAATTGAAACAAGTATGAAGCCGACAGAGAGCTGGAGACTGCTGTGTGTTAAACAGCAGTTAATGAAACACACACACACACACACACACACACACACACATTCACACTTTCACAAAAAAACGAACATCACATTTTATGCTGATTGTTGCGTACTAAATCAAAAATGCACAAAACAAGTTAAAATTAACATTTTAAAATGTAAACAAATCACAGCTGTGAGTATTTTAGAAAGTCCTGAAAACATTTAACTAAATTCAAACTGTTGAGCTGATAATAACCCGTGTCACAGGCAGCAATCTCATCCAGTTTGACAGTTAATGCATACGACAAATGCATCAAATGTACCGTGGTGTATAAGAAGTGTTTCTATCTTGGTGATGCATAAAGAAATACAGATAAAGCTGTTTTCTGAACCATTTAACTTTGAGTCCTAACAGCATGATATAGACTCCAAAGACCTAAAGACACACTACGAGATTTTTTTAAATTTCCTCTGAGGCACCTTTGTAACTTTTTGCGGCATCAAAAATCAGAAATCTTGTCACTCATGGCAGGATTTGACACTAACTTTTGAAGTTGAAAGAGTTGAAAAAGTAAGGAGCACACAATGAACTTTAGGGACACAATGAAAATTGATCAAATAGTGTGTGTATTGGACGACATAAGTACTATTATTTGAAATCAATTTTAGATCAATTGGTCACATGACACTGAGGCTATAGAAGGAAAACAGCCTTTTCTGAGAACATCAACCGGTAATTTATTAACGGTCCCTTATTCAACACCCGATGTGGACAGCGAGGGCGCCGAGTAGATTTAACGGCTGTTGCTATTCCCGGTTAAGGAGAGTGAGAAGACACTGGTAGATCTGCAGTAAATATCCATCGAATATCCAACATAAAACTAACCTCACCGCAGTATTTACATGAAAAAACATTTGTTGCCCCTAAATACATTTTGCAATTCGCACACATCTATTTTTAGTCGCAAATGCGAGTGAAATGGTCCCACTGTCGAGCCCTGCATGGTCTTGTTTGCTTCTGCATTTCATAAAAAGCCATCAAGATGATTTTCAGTCCCTTTCATAAACATACAAAACTCCCCACAGGAGCTTTAATAGAAGCACTAATTCACACCCAGCATGTTTATGTTGTAGAGTCATGATGTATTAAGGACATCAGAATTGGATCCTAAATGATTTAGGTTCTTCTACTTCTTTTCATGGAGCACAGATAACCCTGATATGCTCTGCAAATGATAAGTCTCATTATTGATGCACACTGTAAAACTTTAATGAAGACTGGAGCCTTTAAATGTAGTAAAGTGCACACACAGCCGAGTAACTGACTGTGTGTGCTGCAGCGGTGCAAACTGGGCCTCTGAATTCATAGTATGAATGGGTACAGTGGTTGAGTCTTTACAACAGCCGGCTAACCCGAGTAGATGGGAGGTCAGCCGGACGTCCTTGTGGCCCCCACCGTGAATGGGGTGAAGCCAGCTAGCATGTGGATTAGCTCGGCTCCTGAATAGTGGAGCGTGCTCTGATGGGGGGCTTCTGTTCTTTTGTGTCTCATAACCCAGTCGCCCTCCTCCTCCTCCTCTTCTACCAAAGTCTTTGTCCTTTAAGACGCAGATAGAGACCCCTGCCAATACACTGCAAAAAATACATCTATAGAAGGGAAAATCCCACTCCTGTACTTCTGTCCACATTATTCAATATGCAGCTCTCCTCATATTCACTTACTTGTGCATCAGACAGTTTCAAATCACAGCTGCACACCTCTCGATCTTACAAACCTAATTCTTAAACCCAGTTACATGATCCCAATACTAAAGGTCTGAGTCCTTAAATTTATTCAATGTGAAATCTCAGACTTATAAGCCTAAATAATTGATGTGATATGAATTTAAGATTATCTGGGAGGGAGAAAATCCTGAAATTGACCTGAATATCCAACAAGCAGAGAACAAATCACTCGGCCAAAATAAACGGCAGCGTACTAAGACTTCTTCTTGTTGGCATTATCTGCTTTATACACACACACAAAAATCTAATTTTATTCCCTTTACAGTGTAAAAAAAAAGCCATGAGCCAAATGATTCATCTTTGCTGACGTAAGACAAAATTTTTAATAGATCAAGTAAAACATAAACTATTTTTTTAACATAAACACACTGCAGTTTCTCTCACAGCTGGAGTAAAAAAAAAAAGTAGTTCCAAATAGGTTTTTACAAGACTGACAGAGACAGAAAAAGACCACACTTTAAAGAAGCTTTGAGGTCTAATTTTAGCTGAAAGTGGCCACTTCAAATTTGCTGTGAAATTCTCTGTAAAATCCTCTCAGGTCACCTCTGGTCATTGACAAAATCTGGCTCTACATCCTCTTTGTTTTCTGGGATCCACTGATTTTTTTTGCAATGCGCAAAACACATCAAGAAACTTCTAGAATTTGTCAATGAAAAAAAAAAAAAACTCTAGAATGTGAATTGTTGGGTAATTTGCTGAACTGTGGGTCAATCTGAGTGATTATTGGTCTTGGAAGGTTACTGGAGACGACTTTTTGCATTTGGTAGATTATCTGTTTTGTTTTGTTTTTTAAAAGATGGCCGAAATGTTTAATTATTAAGCTAAAGTACGCTACTTTGGCTATGCTGTCAGTGTCTTTCCCTTTAGGTCCGTTTTCACTTAACACTTTCTGACTCAATGAATCAATAAAACCGTCTTTTTTGGTATTGGTTAAATGGGGTGTTTCTTAAAGCTCCTGTGTGGATCTTTCCAGCGCCCCCTGTGGACAAAACAGTCTTTGCTTATCTTGCGCTTAAGAAGTGTCAATAATAATCTCATCATTCTGATTTTTGATAGGCAAATTTATCATTTATTGTGAATCTTTTAAATAAAAAAGGCAGAGCTGTTATTCCAGCTGCTTGGGCTGACACCTACCCCCCCACACACAGGTTTCAGGCATTAAAAACTACAAGATAAAATCTTGTTTCTGATGTTCTTTTCTTTTTTTATATATCATAAAAAAGTAAGTATGAATCTTGGTGTATTTCATGAATGCCAAAAAGTCCTTACAGGAGCTCTAAGTCATATTTTGAGGCTTGTAACGCAGCAAAATGGACAGGGCATGAAATTAAGAGAGATAGTGAAAGAGACATGCAGGGGAGGAGCCAAATAATGGAATTGAACCCAAGCCACCTGTGCACAGGGGCGAGTGCTTAGTCCGTGAGACTAGCAGCTCCTCCCAAGTCTAAATATTGACATAAGGTTTTTGTTTTTTTAATCAGTGTACATTAGTTCCAAAATAATAACAGATACTTCATGGTTTTGGTTGAAGTGTATCATAAAATTTAGGATGTTTTCCTGTTTAGCTACTCAGGTATTAGTCATCCTCCACATGATTAGACACTCTTAAAATGACAAGATGCTGTCACACTGTAAAACAAAAAAAAGTTAGAGACCAAACAAACAAATCAAGAGAAAATAAAATATATTTCAAGACCTTTTTTTTTTTTTTAATCAGCAGTAGCGACTTTATTACTACACCAGTTTTGACACTCTTTCTGTATCTGCTGTCTAACAACCTGTCAATGCAGCTTCTGCCAAAACACCACATGCTTCACTGAAGAAACACATGCACAGACAACCTGCGCTCAAATATCTTAATTCATAAATTTAAAACCTAGACAGGCACCCACCCACACAGCACCGCTCGTCTTTTTGCTGGTAACTGTAGCTGAATAAACTAATGAGACATCTGGCAGCAGGTAGTGTGATTCCTTAAT